TTATGCTTTTTTGCAGTAAAATGATAGATATTCCTCTTGCGTTGAAGACAGAGGTGAAACACCTTTAATAATTCCACAGTGTGACTTCAAATATACCTGAAATTCCAATTCGGAAAATATTATACTAGTTGATATTCTAAAAATACTTACACCGTTTAAAATCACCTATCTCATTTGTAGATATCATAACAAACGTAGTTTGTTTGAACTATTTGGCTTAGTTCTTATCGGAAAAAGTTTGGTACGTCCACCATTTAATCAGACAGATTCCATTTATGCACAGCAAAGGTTGTCACAAAATCTTCTGTTTCGTGGAAATCGCCACGTCGAGGTGTTTCTGAGGCAGTTTCGACTTGTTTCGTTAAGTAATGCGTCCGTTGCTATGTTCTAAGTCTTATGTTACCACCTCTAAGATGAGCCTATATATAAATACAGACGACAGTGATAGATTAAAAATTTTAAATAACAGGTTATCTGTTGTGTCGAACTAACTAACGACACTTAACTCATTTCAGAAAAGTTATGTCAAACTTATATATTTGTAACTGTACGTAACAATTTCTAATTAATGTCACGAATAAGCTCATTAACATGGCATGCTTTACATAAATTTAGTACATAACTTACGCAAAGCAGCAAATACAGTACAACGCTGCAGTCGTCTCGTAGGTACGTTACCAATTTGCTGTGGTCGTCTAACGTTTGAAACAAAACAAAAACAGTGTTGCTAAGTATTGTGCCATTCTGTTAACGGGTTTGACCGGACCCCATGAATCCTACCACTGGGTACAACCCACCAATTGTCACTTGTAACTCCGCGATTGTTACTATTCATACTTTTTTTGCCTACAACTTAGTAAATTTGCGTACAATTAGGCCCAATTCCTATAGGCCTATGCTCGATACTTTCTTACTTGGTTACAGCGTAATTTTTACAAGTTTATAGATCATTCAACTCGGTTGTTATAACAATTCAACGGTCGAGGCTGAATCAGTCACAACCCAAAAAAATTTGAAGTCTAAAATTCGTTCAGATTCATTTCTTAATCAAACCAGGAGAGATCGATCATTGCGTTAACAGTGTTTACTCTTGAGTAGCCTATATGCTAGTGAGTTTTCTCTATGAAAGAATCGATCTCGAATTTTCAGTTCACTTTTCACTACCCATCCCTATTCTTAAGATATTTAATCTTGACCTTTCTACTCTACAAATTTCATTCAACGTAACCTATGGTAAAAATTAAATTTATTTGAAAAATATTGCACACAATGTTGATAAATATAATTCAATAACAGCTGAAAAAAATATAATGACGAGCCTAATGGTTTCACAATCAGCAGCAAGATATGATTGTTGTATTTTCATGCTTTGCGTGGAAAAGTTGTCTTGGTTTACAGTTTAAAGAAAGATGCTGCTTAGCTTTTAAATCCTTGTTGTAGACTATTTCATCGTTCTCGTCAATTGTAGGCAATAAATTGTTCAGTTTTCTTTCCAAATCCATTCTAAAATTCTTATAAAATGTTTGTCTTTGTACAAAATCTTTTTGAATTTCAATCCAAAAGCTTGCATTTGTTGTATTATTTGTTGATTCTTCTGTTTCGTCGGATTCCACGATTGAGCAAAGATTGTTGGTAAATCCTTTATTTCTTTTAGATGCTGGAATTCTATTATAGTTTTTAGTTGATGTTGGTTCAGTTTTTTTCAAAACCGTACAGTTTTTCAGTGTTGAGTCTTTCTGTATACGTAATTTTGTGTTGTCCCTGAATCGATAGCTATCCAGTTTGCTATTTGTTCTGACATTTCTTCCAATTTTTTTGCTTTCAAATTCAACTATCTGCAAAATAGCCATTTTGTTTCTACGATTTCGTCAATGAAGTTATTCAAAATAATCTCACGAGTAGAATCCGCGTGCTTATAAGCTATTCAGGAATATAGAAGAAAAAATAATATAAAAATTTTGCACACGTGAGAGAAATAATACTGTGGAACTTCATTCGTCAATTGAGTCAAATTAAAGAGATCTTTAACCAAATTATATGTTTCGATAAATCCTATTAGAAAGTGATTACTTCCATTGTTCGATTTAATATTGTCACCCTTAACAACGATTAGAAATTTATTATTGGACACGAAATGGACCTATGAATCGTTTTGTTATTATGTTGTTGTTGGAATTTTTATTCTTATTGTTATGAAAGAAAGTCGAATTTCTTATTATCTGCTTTGAAATATTCAGTGAATAAAGATAGTATTTTTCGATGGAAGAATATTAGTTTCACTTATTTTAAATTTTATGGGCTCTATGGAATTCATTTTTTGTGTGCAATGACGTTCGCGTTAGTCGTGAAGCCTGCGGTATACATGTAGTCTGCTGTGACAGATTGGATACCTGTATTACTTCGTTTTGGCTTTCGTGTCCATATATTTGAGCATCGCTCTCTTGATGCACTGAGTTTCATACCGTAGATAACAGAAAATTTATCTGCGAGTTTTGTGTCGTGTCAGGATTACTAATTGCCGTGTAATCTTGTCTTGGGATTGAGTGTGAAATACGTCATCAATTTTGGTATGGTGAATTACTCAAGCTGCTCAAAGTGATAAATGCTATTAATTAATTGAGAACTTTGAGATTATGGGCTTAAAAAAACAATTTTCGAGTGATGTTTGACCTGTTACTTACAATTTCAAAGTTTGATTATATCGTGAAAATAATAAATTTGAGTTGAATATATTTAAACAAAATAATGATCGTTTGTTTCCTTTTGTTCAATCCGTTTTAATACAACTAATTTCATTTTAACGTATTTGGTATTACGTCAATTCCTTAATCAAAATTTTTTAATAGTACTGTAAGTATTTAGAAAACACTTGTTTAAATCCATTATATAATCATATTGAATGACTTTGGCGTATTAAGATTGTTAATTGAAGCTTCTTGATTCGCAAATGCTATTAAGTATCTCCAATGAACGTATTTAATTCTAGTTCCTAATTGATAAATTGATTTGACGTCTATTGTATGTAATACTTAACGAATGCACTTATCGGAGTAAATCAGGCTATGTATGTTTATTTCAAGGTCAAATTGTCACGACACACCAATTTTTCCGTATATCGTTTATCATATTATTATCGATTATTGTTATATCTAATTCTGCCAATAATGATTATCAAGTATCATCCCATAGTCAAGTATCAGCCCCGTGTTGTTTCTAGTAAGTCAGTTTCAGTGTCTCAATTTAAATCAGGTTTTGAAAATCGGATGCGAATTAAGTCTAACTCGATTGAATCCTGTTTTTCTTAGTTTTTTTTTGTTTGCTCATTTTATAAAATAATTTTTAGATTGGTAGTACGGTTTTCATGTACGTCGCAACTAAATTAAAAGGACTAATAACTGCGAACAGTACATAAAATGAGAAACGGGAAATGCATATTTTTACTAGTATTTACATTCTGTGCAATTAGGAAACTTTTTCTGAACAGACAATCATTTAGGCAGTTTAATGTAACTATACTGGTTCAACTTAAGCAAAGCATCAGAATACACAAAAGCCCAAACCTCGTAGAAACATACAAACCCATGAATAAATTATAAAATTCCACTAAAAACAATAACAGCCAAAATTAACATAATACAAATGCAAAATCTTTTACTTTTCTTCCTAAATTTATGAATGCCATGCAAGCTAGGGTCACGTAGGATATCGTTCCCATGTAACGCAAGTCAGAGATTACGAAAAAATGCAATCTTTTTTCTCTCGTTTTGCTGAAAATACCTTTTAATGCTTCTATTGTGTGAAAGTAGAATTGATTAGTCACCTGAAAGTGGCATAATTATTATGTGTTACACGACGAAAGTATTAATTATATTTCTTGGAAGTTTGTCTTCGACTTATAATTAATTTGTTTCAGTAAAAGGTTGTCATTGAAGTTGATGCAATTCAAACAGTTTGATTCTTTGAAAAAAAATAATTACAGCCAATTATATTTCTATTTTAGTTTCCACCTGCGCTGAATTTGAAGTTACATTGTGTTAGCGGAACAAAAGGCAGTGTATTTTTTCATATAAAGAAATTAAACTTTTATCAAAATAGGCTTTTTGGTCACAAATTTGATTAAAAATGGATTTTCTTGTTAAAAACGATTTGGAATACATATTTTTTTTAAATGAAATGCCGACTGTGTTATTATTTTACATAAATTTGATTTTAATTATTGCATCTAACTTCAAAAAGCCGATAACTCTAATAGTAGTAGTCATCGTATTTTGAGTGGAGTATCTGACAATTATGCTTCACAATTGTACATAAACATATATGAGCCTTCAAAAGGTATTCCCCAAAAACAAGATTTGCGATGTAAAATCAAAAATAAATCAACATTTAGAAGAATGGACGATTGAAAATTAATCATGAATTATAGCTTTCTTTTTAGTTTTTTTAGTTTTTAAAAATAAATCAACATTTAGAAGAATGGACGATTGAAAATTAATCATGGATTATAGCTTTCTTTTTAGTTTTATTTTAAAGTCATCGCGCAAAAGTCTATTCTCGATAAAGGTCAGATTCACAAAACTCAATTTTTGCAAACATCATTTTTATAACAAGCGGTCCCTCCAACCTTTAACTCAGTGGTTCACAAACGGTAGGGCGCGCCCGACACGGGGGGTGTACTGTAGACAATTTTTAAGGGGTCGTGAAGCTGATTAAAAATATTTGTTAGATTGATCTTGCCTGCCCCATTTTGAATATTTACGTTCCATCCACGTAATTTCAACGTGTTTTTTAAATAAGCCTCACTTTCTGTTATTTGTAGCTTATTGGGAGTTAGTTATTTGTGAGGGGGTCGCGAGACTTGACAAACTCTAAAAAGGGGGCGCGGCTTAAAAATTTGAGAACTACTGTTTAACTTTTACTACAAGCTGTTATTATCCATATAAACTTGAGGACATACTTAGCAAAGCGTGTATATGGTGTGTTCTATAAATCGTTTCAACCAATACTGTAAAAGCGTGTTTAACTTTATTTCATTTGAACAATAATCAATAAATAATCTTTGCAAATTTTGTTAATTGTAAGAAAATACAAATTACAGTGTATTACTTCAAATTCAAAATTGAATCTGGATATCGATTATAAATTGCACATTAGAAAACAAAAATTGTCAAATTATTCAAATCTTTTCTTCAGTTTTACGTTGATACCGTCTCCAGGTCGTAGAATAAGATCTCCAAGTAGTTTTATATCTTCACGTTTATCGCACGCTTCGACAGAAAATTTTCTGAACAAATGTGCCAACATAACTTTCTCCTCCATCATTGCAAATCTCTGACCAATGCAATTTCGAGGACCAGCAGAAAATGGAAGATATGCGTATGGATGTCTTCCAACACTATTTTCAACAGTGAATCTTTCCGGGTTAAAACTAGAAAAAGAGTTGAAAGTTGTTCATCAATTTAGTTTTGTTATGTTGAAGAATTTTTAAAGATATGAAGCGATAGATTTGGTATGAACGTATTTGGCTTGGGCGACCTTAAGACATTACATACAAACGACATTTCTTATTTCTAAATATGAAAAAAACTACTTCCTTAAAACTGATTAAAATTGGGAAAAGGCTGAATGAAATTTAAGTAATACACGACATGTAACAATGATATGAAGCAACACGCCAATCAAAGCATTACCTTTCAGCATCCGGCCAAAATTTTGGAAAGTTGTTCACAAGTTGAGGAAATAGCAAGCATTCCGAGCCTTCGGGTATTTTGTGTCCATCGATTCTGTTTTATCATAAAAAGTAGAATGATTACGTATGTCATATTGTATGTTTTTCGCATGAAGAAGATCGCAATAAATATATAAAAATAATTCTTGCATGGTGAACAGATGACTTGGAATGGAAATTGAAAGAGGAGAAAGAAAAAAAGTTTGTGAGCGTCAGATAGAAAAGGAGAGAAAAGGTGCAAGTAGAATTTCTTACTCGCATTCACAGCTTGTAACTCTTCCGATGAGTGGAACAGATGGTATAACCCTCAAACATTCCTTCACAACAAGTTCCAGATAATCCAACTTTCGAAGATCATCCATGGTTATATTTCTGTTCATATCTTGTCCTAATACTTCATCCAATTCTTCCTGAATTCTTACTTGAACTTCCGGGTGAGATCCAATTAAAAAGATTGCCCATGACATTGCTGCAGCAGTTGTGTCGTGGCCTGCGAAGGGGATGGATCGACAAGTAGAAATGTTGTTTACTGTCATATTATAGTATTTACAACAATCGAATACATACAGTCCGGTATCTTTCCTAACGAAGAAATATTGCTAATTTCTATCAATATTACAAGTGGCGTCTATACTGTACAAACTGTCCACAATAAATCTTAAAACGCCGTGATCACAACTTCTCTGCCATTTGTTGTAGAAGTTACCTTTCATAAATTTGGTATTTATGCCATGATTTTGTTTCCGAAAACTTGCGCCATTTCGAATTGAATTCCTTTGAGTTTGTGGACTTTTAAATCTTTTACAGTGGTTGTTCGTTACTTTTGTTTCAGTGATTTTGTTCACATTTTTTTTGACTTTTTGACTATGCTTTGAATAAAATACTCATGCATGATAATGTATTACTGGTATTTTGTTCATAAAAGAATCAATGTGCATAACTGCTGCTGCAAATTGTTTATAATCGATTATGGATATAATTAATAGCAATAGGCGAAACCTTCAAACATAAATGTATCCACTTCTTCTTGAATATCTTCAAATGAAAGTACTTTTCCGTTGTCCGAAACTCTAAGCAGAAGGTCGAGAAACGCTGGTCGTTTTTTAACATCAGAGGTTGCATCTTCATCAAGATTAAAATTTTGCATTCGATCTTTTATGACAGATTTTGTGAAGCCATGTAAAGTATTCAAGCATTTGTAATACCGTTTACCACTACTTGTGAGAGAGAACGTAAAATCCGGCCATAACCATGGAGACCGTATTCGATTGAATAACATCTCTGATATCCTAAAGAGCAGTTATAGTTTATTTTTTCAAGTCAAGGATGATAAAATTTGGGACCTCATCTTATATATAGCAGCAAACATATAGATTCTCAGTAACGTGAGGAGAAAATCCACAGCGATGTATGAAGGCACAATAAAACTTGTAGTACACATATTAAATGACAAAAAATAAGAAATGGTATATTTTTCCATGCACAATTTGTCGACGCCTATACTTACGTGTACAAAGCAGTGACATAGTCCGACTCTGAATTATCCTGGGCATTAATCTTCTTTCCCATTGCTGTTTCGCATATGATATCAAGTGCGCACAACGTAACTGGATTAAAAATATCCAAACGTTCTCCAGTTTCAGCAAATTTTTCCAAATTTCTTGTAAAAACGCTTGATTGTTCGTTCATGACCTCAAGAAAATCTTGGAGTATGCTGAAAAATGCGGGAATTTGGTTGAAAATGATCAAAATCTATATTATCAAATATATAAACAAAAATCAGATAAACAAACAAATTATTAGTGTTGGTTGCTTGTTAAAGAAGGAAGCAATAATAAATCAAATTGTATCTCATTGCTTATCAAGACCGTTCCAAGACTATTCTTGTGAAAAAAATAATAAAAGTTTCATTAGTTATCAGTAGACGTAGTACATGTACACATATATACTATGGTACAGAATATTCCAAACCTGAAATGGAATGTCGGCGTGAGTAATCTCCTCCTTTCCTTCCATTTGTCACCTTTTGATGTCAACAAACCCGTTCCTAGCCATTCAGTTAAAAAATGATACATGAAGCCTTTTTCGTTGTGTTTGGAGCTCCGGAGAATTACTTCTGCTGCATTTGGACCGCAAATGAACAAAACCGGTATCGGGCCTAGAAAGACGCACGCCACTTCACGCTCACTTGAAATCGCCATTTCATTCAAGCCGGTAGTGATACGTGTGTAAAATTCCTCTACTCCTACGCGTTCTCTGAGTAAGTGTCCTACGAGAGGTAATGGTCGATGCGGGGGGCCGGGCACATCTTTGAAAGTGATCCAATTCTTTGCAAACGTTTTTAAAACAAGAAATATTTGGAATGAAATGTATGCTACAAGTAGATATACAGCGTATACTGCCACCCCCATCTTACATACTATCGGTGGCTTTTAGGAATAAATCTGTGATAAATAAAGCAACATATATTTCAATTTCTATGGCTGTTTTTAAAAAACAATTATTTTGGAAATTTCCCATAAAATGATACGACATCAGGTACTCCCGATGTATGTGAACCAATTGGGCGGACACCGTAACGTAGTTTGTGTACCATGTTAGGGTTGGGCTATAATCTTATTCCAATTTTCCATATTTTAGTTCTATTACGAGATCGGGGACTACCCAAGGGACTCCCGTAGTATTTGTACCTGAATTCCGGTTCCGGTGTCCGCCATCTTGGTTCACATACTTCGGGAGTACCCGATAGCGCAGCTACTATAACTAAGAACTAGCTAGGATAGCGTTCTCAATTATATAGCCGAGCACGATGCCTTTCTTCTCAGCCTTCTTGAGTGGCTGGTTCTCATCTTACCTCATGTAAGACCCCATAAACCGTTTGCAGAGACTATACATTTTGCACTCTTGTTCAACTCTCACCTCGCCTTTTAGATACGGTTTAAGCCTATATTGATCACCTATTGTACTTCGACAAGATTCAGTTATGGAAAATAATTATTAACTACACGGAGGCTATAAACGCTTGTCGTATTCGTTGATTGGCTATGGCAAACAAAGTACGTAAATCATTGTGAAATTTGGATTGTATATTTGAAAGGTATGTAGACTTGGTTGTGTTTATGAGCTAATTTCGTATAGAGATATATATGACAAACCCATACACAGTGTACTCAAACCAAAACTCATTTCAAATACCCGAAATTGGTAAACGCCATGGCCTGCTATCTCATTGTAAAAGTACAGTACCCTACATTTTTGTCAGACCCCGCCGTTTAAAATACACATTCTCTCCTTTATCCGCCGATAGCGCTGTCTTGAAAGCCCCTTGTCGACCGCTATTTACAGGTATCTCTGCCGTAGAGATAAACTACGTAATCGCTTTTTCACATCTTCTAGACCAGACATGGGCAAAGTACGGCCCGCGGGCTAAATCTGACCCGCTAGGTAATTCAATCTGGCCCGCTTGATGCTGCCACAAACAAACTGAAACCAAATTTTGATGTTTTAGTTAAAAATAGCTCAATGAATTTGTTGAGATTGCTGTTAAATTTAGTTTTGGCGCGAGGTTAATTGTTTTCCACAGTTGCTTTTGAAACACGATAGAGTATAGACATTGTTCATAAAATGTCATACCCAAATGGCCCGCCAGTTTAGCTGGTCAAAAAATTTGGCCCCTGATCCAAAAACCGTGCCCACCCCTGTTCTAGACGTAAGTTTTCCATTTTAACAAAAATGTAAAATTTAGAATGTAAAAAAATGTAATTTAGATATCACCAGTGGGGGGATTCAGCCGGTTCGCACCGGTTCTATAGAACCGTCTAACGGAATTTTATGAGATCAGCGAACCGGTTAGATTTAGAATTACTGGTTTATTTGCTAGCAAAAAAATATGACTTTTATGATGAAACCCGTTGACAAAAAATTTGAATTCCACCACTTGATATAACATTCAGAAATAAGTGAAAATTGTTCATTTAATTCGTGTGGATAGTCAGACTATACTGGATGAGTTATATCAAAGTGCGATTTTAATCCGATATATGAGAGTTACGAGGCTCAGATAATTATGTCCAACGCGCCACCACTAACTAGCTCACTGTAAAGTAAAGTAGTAGCTCACTGTAGTAAAGTAAAAAATTGAACAATTTTATTTAGAAAAAATTACAAATAGATTTTCAAATTTATACATACTTTGAATACAAAGTAAAAAACAGAACAATTCTAATTCGAAAATAGAAACAAATTAATTTTCGAAGGACAATTCTCGTATTTAGCAAAACATTTTAGAATGAGTTATTATATTGAAAATATGTCGGCAATAACATATCGCCACGCTAATAACCAAATTGCGTAGTCATTTCTGGTAGTTTTAATTTTTCATACAACAGTTATTTTTTATATCATGCGGTTAACTCAGATTTTATTCTAAGGATTCCGAAACACTTGGGAAATTGATATTTATATGACATGCACATAGCTACAATTGTTCCATCATCATGAGCTACTATAGTTTACCGGGCAATTGTGACAAAATAAACATCGGCGGTTTGCGCATGAACGCAAACTTCGAGGTTTCATTTCATGTATGATAAATTGTAAATTTTTCTTGTGGAACGCAATATCTAGTTAGCACAACATAGAGATTGTGGAATAGAATAATGTCACAAAATATACTCTCTAAGCCGTTAATGAATAATGACGCAAAAAATTAATGTTATTCTACCTTCTTCTCGCATGTGAGTTTTAATTATTAAGCTACAAGGGCGAACCCATTGTTCTTTTAAATGTAGCATAACACTTTTGTTTCACAGTTGACACAATACTTTGATTCTCGCCCAATTTGGTTCAGCGTTCATCATTCCACTATACATCGGATCTGAACGAACTACAAGTGAGATGTTTGTATAAGTTTTGTAGCTACTGCCGATTCCTGGTTCTCCGCTAATCCATTTCGTGAAACCGTCCGTTGGACAGATTTGTTTTGTCTGAAAAATGATATTAGAAATATTCCATTTCCCAGTTAAGGTTTATTTTCACATGACCGCGTTTCCCAAATAATAATTCTAGGCCGAGATCCAACATACACCGGTATAGCAGGGCAGTGATGGTTCAATAATTAAATTTCTAGGAGCAGATAAAATAATGCAAAAGTCAATACCGTCAAATTGGCGGAATTGATAGTAAGGAAATTTAACTTAAGTAAAAGACGACATAAGCTTTGTGAACATAAATAGAAAAAATCAGTCCGAAGTTTTGTGAATGATCTGCTACCTTCTCAAAATTGATAATTTTGCAATGACGTATAATTTATTGGGACTTACTATTGGATTTATTCCCAAGCCAATCCATACAGTAATAAATCCACTTTTTGGGCGCAACATCGACATCACAACATCATATTCCTGTCTATTTTTTATTTGTGCCATTGTTGACCAGTACTTCGCACACACATTGTAGGCCACAGTATAATTCAATCCAGGTGCAGCACCGGTCCAAAATAACTTGCCATCGACGGTGGTATAATTCTCTGTGTGAAGAAATCATGTGATTGGTATTTTGTCACAACATGAACATATTACAAAACACTTTCAAACGACGGAAATTTCATATCATGTTGTACTACTCAGCCCTGATTGAAAAGTATATATGAAATAACAAAAACTAGTTATTAAATTATTTTTTAATATTCAGGTTGTACGAACTTGCATATACAAATGATGCTTATTCTCGGTATACCATGGCTCAAGATAGAATGGGAACGGGACATTGGAAATATTACCTCCCGCCTCAATTACAGAATCTTTTATCAAATATTCTTGTGCAGACTTCAACTGGTTTGTTGCTATTTGAAGTTGTTCCAGAACTGTTTTGTTGACTTCCCTCGAATCACCTTCAATTATGCCAAGTACTTCCAATTTTATGTCGGATAAGTTCTCTTGTACTTCACCGAAACTTAACTCCAACTGAGTGATATCTTTTCTCTGCTCGTCAATATAGTGAACAAGATTCGCTGGAGTTTTGTTGCCGACTCCAACATTTCCGATTAGTTGTGTTTCTTGATTTTTGGCTAAAAACACATTTTGTTAGGTTAAAGTAGACTAGTTGGTTATATTTTTGAACGGTTTGAATGGCATATAATGTGGTTTGATAATCTCTGTTTCAAACATTACAAAGAATTTAATGACTGAGAAATTGTGAAAGATGAAAAATTGTGAATGATTGTCCCTTTTTAAGATCTTCGTTATTTTCCAATATTGAATGTAAACCGCATAGCTAAACTAGCTATTGTTACTGGTCCAAGCTTTTCCAACGTTCAATCAAGACCCAAATGCGTCTCACCCCGGATCTCTCTAAATGACAGCACATTGAAATGGGTTTTAAACGCCAAGTCAAACCTTAGTCGGCAGCTTTAAATGATACTTACTCAGCATGTAAACTGTAGCTAATCCAATTCCAAGTAGCGCTGCAAACGTTATTGTGATCAAGATGAGGAATTTTTGCTGACAAACTACAACTTCTACAAAAATATAAAACAACATGAGAATAATGCTCAAATATATGTACACGAGAGTTATATGTTAAAACAGTGTTACCGTGAATGTAAAATAAACAGCTAAGTTTGGGTGAAATATCGGGTTATGCATGCTCTTAAACAAAAAATAATAGTCTCATAAAGACTTCTTCAATTGCCAAGTACTAAAAATTTGCAAAAAATTTGTGCAATGAATGAAGCATTAAATATCGAACTTAACCTACTAGATAGCTTGGAGGTTTGCGCTTCCACATTGGTCACAGCGTTCTTGGTTTTTGTAAGTTCTTGTCTGTGACTTTCTGCAGCTGCATCACCTGCGCTTGTCTGAGCGAGATCCAGATAGAATCCTTCATTACTTGCAATTTGCCTACTACCTGGATAAAAATACAAGTATTGTTTTAGTAAGTTAAGAAAGTCAAAGTACGGTGCACATTTCACCCTTAATACCGTACTCTGGCAGTATGTTAAGAATGAGAAGGAACTCAAGACCATAAATTCACCAATGTCAGTCAATGAGGATATGTGTATAATTGGACACGAAATGTACATGTGGACCGGAGTGGTAAATTCTTGTTGTTGTTGTTGGCGTTTAACTTATCGTTTTGATTGTTATTGAAAGAAAATTGACTTTTATCCAATTATTGCACAGTTTTATATTTTGGTATTTAAATATAGAACTAGCTGTTTCATTCATGGCTGTATGTAAAGTGCAGCTGATGAATTGATGCTTCGTAGCATAAAATGATTTATTTTGTTATTACATGCCAACAAAAATATTGAAAATTTCCAGGCAAATCAATATCACAATCTATATATTGTGGTATAATCCGTGGCTGTGATAACAATGAGTTTTTCTCATTACTCGTGTATTCTGGACTTCTCAGAGTCAAAATTCAATATATATTTTTTATGAGCGATTTTACGGTATTTGCAGTTAGTCACATACTCGTGCGTCGTTTTCAAAGATCTTTTGCTCTTTCTTAATATATAAACTGATATATAAACTGTCTACTGGTAACGAAAAAGACGATTTTTTACCAACAACACTCCATAATCACGACAACAATAATACCAATAATAACAACAACAAAAACGAGCTCTATAGTTCCACTTCGTTTCCAATAACACATATGCTATAATACCCGCCTTAAATTATGTTTAGATAGATAGGATACATACCTGCATTCGCTTCCGAATACATATTCTGTCCCGAACTGATGGGATTTGTTGCCGAACCTTGAACAAAGAATACAAGTTGTTCTATTTTTTACAGTTATGAGATTGCATTGTAGATATTTTCCCATCGCAGGGGTGGGCAACCTTCATTACAGGAGGGCCAAATACAAGAAACTGGGTGGAGCTGCGGGCCGCACCTTAATTTAAAATAGCCTTTCAAGTAGTTGCAGGCCCATTTTTTTTGTTTTTTTAGTATTGATCTTACTGCATTATTAGGAGCCCTTGCGGAAATTGTGAGTTGAAACGCACAAATTTCTATAAAAAAAAATGTTATTTAAATTTACTGTCACAACTACTTTAAACGAATTCAGTAACAGGCAAGTTTTTATAACATCGTGTATTTTGCAACAGGATTTTGGTAGCTAGTTTTGCTAATATCACAGTAGCACCTAGGTACTGGTATAGGCTTTGCGGCGCAAAAGGATTGGAATTGCTCGCACTTACCAGATTAACCAAACTAAAAACTCGTTTCGCTGGCACACCATTCCAGATTTGCACTTCTCCGCGGGCCGCACAATTTTTCCTTGTGGGCCGCTTTTGGCCCGCACTTTGCACACCCCTGGCATAGAGCATTGTTCAGAGTGAAAACTTGAAGTTATAAAGTTAGTGAAAGTTTTTACATTGCACGTGTGGAAAAATATTACTTTTATAATTGTCAGGAAAAGTAGAGAGTTTTTTATTCCAATCACCACATTCAAACGAGCAAATCATTAAATCTTGCAGAGATCAATTTCTAAAATTTACTATTTCATACTTACTTTGTTCCCGTACATTAAATACTTGTGTCCTCAAATCATTTGCATAAATTCTATCAGCCATAATTAACAGTGTCGCTTAATCAGCTAACATAATTTATCTGGTTAAAAAAAAACTTAAAACATTTTACTTTCTATACTTATAATTTGGAAGTTCTAATTTGCCTAATCAGAGCCATGAACAATATTTATTTTTAACAATTTTTTGATTTTATGGAAGTATAACCCCAACCTTCTTAATCTAGATTTGTTTACTTGGAAAAATCTGCTTTACATGACAAAAAAATCTATAAAAGTATCCGTGATCGTTCAAATAGTTCTAATTTTTGGTCTTTTCATTGAATTGAACTTTCATTGAAAGACATTGAACCAGTCTACTACGCAGCCTCACCAGAACTCCGGAAATAGCTCAGACACAATGTCATATATATAGACACATAAGCAATAATAGTTGGTGATAATCGAAAAAGACTTTAATAAACGAAGTAAAATCCAAAAACTAAAATTTAACAGTACATAAAAGCAACACGAAACCAGAATAAAAAGTGCAAAGATGAACAAATATGACTCACAAATGAAGAGCTCATACCGTATATAATGTTCACTTTAAATTCTATTGACAATACGAGTAATACGTTTCAAAAATATAGAGGAAATGCTGACCGTTATCTCGACTTGTTGACGCGCGGTAATATTATTACACCGTGCCATTTTTTCAGAGGTAAAATAAATAATTTTGATGTCGTCATCGCACACAAAAAACCATAAATTCTGCAAAAAAATTTGATATGAATCAAAGTAATATCCTTTAAGCAAAAATTACAATCTTTACCTACTGAACATTTCAGAGCAATTGGTCCGGTAGTGAATGAGAAAAACTTTTTTTTACAAGAAGACGAAAAAGACTAATAATAACAGCAACAACGTAATAACAACACGTTCATTATGCACACTACGTGTCAAAACCTAGGCGCGCGGCCTAGTTAGCAACCCCAGTCAAAATTTCAAAACAGAGTTTTAAGACAAGAACAATTTTAATGTAGTTGGAATTCGAAACGCCTTTAAGAGGAAGTTTGCGATATTGAACTTCAGACTGGAAGCGAAAAAGAGATTTTTCTGGTGGATAGAACCAGATTTAGGTATGTGTATATTTATGTCATGTTTGGCATAGGCAGTTTCCATACTTGTATATTCCCATACAATAATGCCGACCATAGCTAATATAACGGAAGTCCCAGTATTGCTGACGCAGCATACTAAAGTTGCATAGCAAGTCCTTTTTCGAATAGACGTCAAACTTGCAGCTGCATCGCCGATGTTTCTTTGGTGTTGCTGCAATGGATGGAAGAACAGTTCAAGGACCATGACTTGCATTAAAAAAGATGAGATGCTAAAAGCCAACAACAGAATTTATTGAAAAGAAATTTTACGCCCCATCAGCCATCACCACACAGCGCCCTTGTGTAACTTTAGCCGCGGCGAAATTGAACATGACAAATCCATTTGCGATTGAAAAAGACAACCAAGGCCTGAACAATTATACTCACTGTACGTGTAAGAGAGTTCGTTAAATGTGCCATTGAAGGTATGCTATAGGTCAGTGGTTCACAAAGTCTTTTTTTTCGCGACCCCAAATTTTGTAAAATCGCGACCGGCAATAAGAAAAGTACAATAATTTCAAAAATCAGAGGATTATATTCAATTCTTCATGAGAAATGTATATTGTAATTGTACATATATCGTCTGCAAGTTTTTCGTGCGTTGTGTGACGTTGTTGTATGCAACTGTTAGCCTTGGGGTTTCCCAGCTCTCTACCCTGGTGAACTGGTAACATCAAATAAAATGACGACGAGGACTAGTAACAAAATAAGAAATCAATGAAACAGATAATACACCTGTGTTTGAGTAATATTATAACCTAATGTTTTGAAAAAGAGAGCAAGAATATCGGGTTATTGAACTCAAATATAAGCATTTGCATTCACATGGACGGTGAATATTTGCCCAAAATTTGAAGATATTTGGACGCGTTCAACAACGCGTTTTATTTTTCTTGATTTTTATTCTAACGGTATTATCGTTACAGATTTCTTCACTACGAAATTCGAAAGTAAAACAAAGAATGAGAATAGTATAGGAAAAACTTGTATGAGGTCTCAAAATCCCATTTTTTTGCTTGGATTTGCTGTCGTGTTGTTTTGGTATCTAATTACAATAATACTGCAATAATAGAATGCAGCATTATTCACTTATATGCGGAGGCGACGCGGACTTGAACACATATAAGTAGATTTTCAGATTTTGAAGATTTGTGAGAATTGTTAAATACCTTTCTCAACAATCGGAACCTGAAGTGTGATTACTGGGCAAAGACACCACTGCGAAATCAATTGTATTCCTTCTTTCAACACCCAATTTAACGACGGAAGACAAATCGATTAATTAACCAATGTGACTTCGTATTCTCTGTAACCAAGTGGTCACGCTGGCAGCAAAATAATAAAATAAATAAAAACAATAACACGTGTCTCGCGGACAAGATAACTGGGAACTACTGGTTTAGCCTTATGACTTATGCATAAAATGTTAACAGTATTATTTCGACTTTTATGCTATCAACCTCTCTCATTGTTTGCGCTAGTCTGTGGTAATTGTTTTTTGTTTGACTTGAAGGTAGATTTATTATAGGAATTCCGATAATCATTCAACCACAGCGAGTTCACACAGTGCTATGTTAAAAAAATGTCCTTCATTAGCACTCCCATTTCATTATGATGAGTGAAATGTATAGTATAAGCAGGATTTTGCCGCGGTGTGCTTAATTCCTGAACGCTGATTTGGTTTTGTTAGTTTTAAACATTTTTTACTCCAGATATTAATTAATCTTGAAAACTGTAGAAGATGAAGAAATTCTAATTCACGGCTGTGTACCCCTTATGATTTATTGCTTAGTTTAGCAAATTAATCGAATTTGAATTATTTATTACAGCAGTATTTTTAACCTGTATTACGCTTGAAAATAAAACATGGAAGTTTTGTTCACAATCATATCTTTAGCGGCGGTTTGGGCAGGAATTAAGCTACTATTTTTTCTTAAAGAATATAAACGTAAATGGGACATCTTCAAGGGACTGCCAGGCCCGGGAGTCAGGGCGATCCCGTTCTTGGGACATGCTTTGATTTTGACTGGAACACCTGACAAGTACTACGAAAACGTACTTAAACTAATGATTGAAAGTCCTGCACGTGAAACAAGTGATGTCGGACTGGCTTGGGTCGGAACAGTTCCAGTTCTTATTGTCGGTGGAGCAAAAGCCGCTGAAAGCATCCTTCATTCCTCTGATCACACCGAAAAAACATTCTTTTATGATTTTCTTCATTCGTGGCTGGGAACTGGTCTTTTGACTTCATCTGGAGAAAAATGGAAGTCAAGAAGAAGATTATTGACACCGACGTTTCATTTTAGGTCTGCATACCGTATAGCTGATAGCTGAGAAATTTTTTCAAAGAAGAATTTGCCGTCTGGGTGCAATTTGTGAAAATTTAAGCGCATATTCGTGAAGATGGATATAGGCAATATAATATATTGAATGTACAGATTGTAATAAATTATATTTTACTTCAAATGCCCAAAATTTAAATCGAAAACCCAAAATTCAGTCAAATTTTTATGAAATCATTGCATAGAACCTTAGAGCTTTCTAAATAAACCCGTCGGAAATTTTCGGCAAGTGTAAATATCTCAAAAATACTATTCTATCACTTGAATAAAGATAGTTTCGGCGTAAATCATTTTATCATTCATTCATCATAATATGCCACGCTCGGCCTTAATCTTATTGCGTATAATAGACACTCGTACTCCGGGTTATCCCAGCAGTTGTGATTGTTCAATGGAATTCAGAATAATTTTGCAAAAACTTCACAAGTCAAAATATTATACAATTTGATAGTAAACTTCATTTTTCAGCATTTTGAAAGATTTTCTCGAGGTAATGAATGAACAGGCAAAAGTGTTTATGGAGAAATTGAGTCCATATTTGAATACGGAAAAATCTTTTGACGTTTGGAAACCGGTAACTCTATGCACGCTGGACATAATATGTGAAACAGCAATGGGAAAGTCGATCAACGCACAGGATAATGAGAACTCGGAATATGTGAAAGCAATATACAAGTAATTATTGTGTGCTAATTGCGATAAAAGGACCGGTTGCAATTTTATTTTTCCATGCAACTCTGCCAACTTACACAAAATCCAACGCTTAGACATCAAACACACGGAAGCACATGCATATAAAAGCGATTGGCTGTGTATATACATTACCTGAATGGCTGAGCACATTAGGTTGTTTTTTTATGCATGTCACAGGCTGTATATGCATACTTGGCTGTACGAGATGTGGCTAAAAAGAAACGAGACTGACGTCACAGATTGCGCAACACGATTAACCATTGGTAATCAACACTTTTACAGTGTGGTGTAATATGTGTTCTTTGTTCAACAGCTTTTTTGACACAATATCGCAATTATTTTTGCTCTTTAGGAGCCATAGGTGAATGTGATTAATTGCTTGTTGAAAAACAAAATTGCCGTGCGAGATCTGATTGAGTTTTTTGGCGATAGGGGGTTCAATTGCAGAATGACGATTGAGCAATGAATTAACATTAAATTTTGTGTCAAACTTGGAAAAACGGCGACTGCGACTTTGAAGAAATTGTGTGATGTTTATGGAGATTCTTCCATGTCCAGAACAAGAGTTTTTGAATGGCACAAGCGATTTGTGGGATGCAGGGAGGATGTGGAGGATGATTCGAAGTCAGGAAGGCCTTGCACTTCCACAACTGATACCAACATCGAAAAGGTATCAGTTGTGAGTTCAGTTGTGAAAGGCAGTTGATTCGCAGCGACCGTCGCTCAACAATCGCGTCATTGCGAAGTTGGAAAAGACAAAAAAAAACGGTTCGCACCAGTTTGGTTGACACTTTTGGCTTGTGAAAGGTGAGTGCCAAAATGGTGCCAAGGCTGTTGACTGAGGAGCAGAAAGCTAAACGATTAAATGTTGCCCAGTTGACATGCCTTTTTCCAAGTTTGACACAAAATTTAATGTTAATTCATTGCTCAATCGTCATTCTGCAATTGAACCCCCTATCGCCAAAAAACTCAATCAGATCTCGCACGGCAATTTTTTTTTCAACAAGCAATTAATCACATTCACCTATGGCTCCTAAAGAGCAAAAATAATTGCGATATTGTGTCAAAAAAGCTGTTGAACAAAGAACACATATTACACCACACTGTAAAAGTGTTGATTACCAATGGTTAATCGTGTTGCGCAATCTGTGACGTCAGTCTCGTTTCTTTTTAGCCACACCTCGTATATGTACATTTTTGGCTCTATGAGCATAACAAATTACCATCTCCGTTGGTATTTTCCCGATAGTACTGTATCACGTTATTTTTATATAAACTTGTTGCAGATGTACCGAATTCATACTCGATCGTGGGAAATCTCCGTGGCTCTGGCCCAATTTCATTTATCGCCATACTGCCGATGGAAAAGAATATGAAAAATGCCTGAGAATTGTTCATGAGTTTACACGATCAGTTATTCAAGATAGGAAAGAAAATTTTGGTGGAACGTTTGAGAAAAAGAAACGCTTAGCTTTCTTAGATACTCTCATGACTGCATCAGACGACGGTACACCACTGTCATTCGAAGATATTCAGGAAGAAACGGATACTTTCATGTTTGAAGGTAAGGGGATTATTCAAGGCAAAATGTGACCCAAAAAGGTAACACCATCGTGGTGTAGAATAATGCTCACCCTTTAATCATACACCAACACAGTTTCGACGACAAGATTTTGGGAGACTATATCTAAAGTTTAAAATCATGATAATTCTTTATTACTATTTCTGCTTATATGATCCATTTTATTTCAAAGGACATGACACTACTGCAGCTGCATTAAGTTGGGCAATTTATTTAATCGGACTTCATCCAAAAATCCAAAGGAAAATACATGCAGAATTAGACGAAGTTTTTTACGGGAAACTCGATATAGATGTAACCATGAACGATTTAGCAAATATGAAGTATTTGGATCTCGTAGTAAAAGAAGCTCTACGGTTGTTGCCATCGGTACCGATGATCGGACGAGTCACCACTCGAGATTGCACGTAAGACATAATCCCCAATGTCGGTATTATTATTACCAATTCTAGAAAAAAAGAAGAGCACACAAATATGATTATTATTTTTATTTATATATAATGGTGCTTGTTAACAATATTTCTAACAGCTATGTATAAATGCATTCACGAATATGAATGGCTTCTTCTGTAGAAATGTGTTTGAGATTGTTTCTTCTCTTCACATGGTGGATGGGCATTTCATTCCAGAAAGAACAGAGTGTCTTATATTTTTACATGCTGTCAACAATAATCCAAGATATTGGACAGAACCTCTGAGGTGAATAGAAATAACTATTTTATTCACTTCTATTGATTTTCTAGAAAATCATATGTACATTTATATATCTGAGTTTTCCGAACAGTTTTCGTTGGAAAATCGGTAATAATGTTATATCAACAGGCACTGACTAAGCTAAAGAATGGTATATTATGGTATTGTATTTCCGTATGTATAAATATTTTCCAAGTACTTTTTGTCATTAAGTGAGCTTGCATTTTACAATATATATGCAATAAATTTTCAGAAATCTTTCCAAGTGTCATATTCAAACCAGACTGAAAAAACGGCACGCGCACTTTTATATTATATTTTAGTTTTCGACCCTCAAGATAGATTTTTACAAAATGTGTTTTTCATAAATATATTTTGCTTTTTTCATTGGTAACCTTCGAAAGCAGAAAAATTAATTATCAGTTTTTGTTCAGATTCGATCCAGAACGCTTCACCGTTGAGAATAGCGTAGGAAGACATCCATATGCATACGTACCGTTTTCTGCCGGTCCTCGTAACTGCATCGGACAAAAGTTCGCAACGATGGAAGAAAAAGTAATTCTTGCTCATTTCTTGCAAAAATATTCCGTTGAATCATGCGATAGAATTGAAGATATAAAACTCATGGGTGACGTCATACTCAGATCAAGAAATGGGATAAATATAAAAATAAAAAGAAGAAGTGTTGAAATGTGACAATATTTTGATTGTTTATTTTTCAAGTTTATGAATAAAATGCTATAACTGTGATTTCTTGTAATTATAAACTGCTATAGATCAAAATGTTCAAATACAAGCACACTGGTCAAATCCATGCAATACCCTACATACGGCCAACAACGTCGTTGCTGTGTCGAACTTTATTCCGTTTATACCTTCTTACCGTGTTTCCCCGAAAATAAGATCTAGCCTGAAAGTAAGACCTATACTAAATTCTAAAAATGAATATAATATAAGATCTCCCTTTAAAAGCAAGTAGCAAAAAAGCTCTCCTACACCTTTTAAATTATTAATATTCTATGTTTACCCGTTTTTGAAATAAAAACTTGTTATTTATAAGTAATTGGATATCGGTTTCATATTTTGTATATTTGAAAATCTCGTAATTTTCTACTTTGTAGTTTTGTTTATGATAAATGAAAATAAAAGACATCTCCTCGAAATATGCCTTAGCGTTATTTTTCGAAAGAAAATTGAAATAAAACCCTGTCTTATTTTACGGGAAACACGGGAAAAATGAATGCCAGATTATGAGACCAATTAGATGATTTATCACTTTTAACTTACTCTAACCTAATTATAAATAAACAGAACCAATGAAAACATATTAGAAAATTAGTGGAACAAAACTTTGTTAGTGCGTCGAATTTTGTGTTATTCAATAAATAATAAATGGACAAATCAGAATGTTATTTTATTGTAATTTATTTTTCAAGTTTTATTTTTAATGTAAACCCTATCCTATCCTTTTATTCGATGTGTTATTATCGATACGAGATTTGGTAACTGCGTATAAGTAGCAAAAGCGTTTCGTTAGAAGAAACGCTCTAGTTGTAATGTTAGTAACAAACTTCAGCAAATACCTGTTGAGGCCGGACTATGCGACTCGAAATCATGTCAAATACAGGTAATAATAATACGACCTTCTGGCATGATAGACCGAAGAAAAATTTCGGTATATTTTGAACCCTGAAACAATACGGTCCAAAGTTCAACAAGCATATCTTAAAATATTAATGCATTGATATAGCAGTGTGCGAGAAGGTTTTGGGTATTTTCGGGAAGGTATAGCTCATAACAATATGAATATACTATTCGAGCTGAGAACAAGGGCAGCTATAGTATGAATGTGTTAAAGTTAAGGCTGAGATTGTTAGGCTATTATTTATGACCTAGAAAGTATGTTGAAATATAGGATTACGGGAGAGTGTAATATAATTCAACATTGAATTAATATCAAATAATGTACGAAGTTTGACAGAAAAAATGATCGCTTCATTGGTATAAGGTGCTGGAAAATGCGGTGCGTTCTTCTGAGGTATTATGTTCCAATCAATTCTGTATGTGACCGAACCTACTATTAATATATAGTCAATCACAAAGCTTAGGTTTCGTTATATTTAACCATTTATAACTTCTACTACATATATATATATAAATTTCTTCTAGCATTGTAAAAATGGAGGTCGCTTTTCTGACAGTAAGCCTTGTTATAGCTGTTGTACTCGTCAAACTGTTTGCATTCTTCAAAGATTACGTGCAAAAATTGAACGCTTTCAAAAACATCCCATCGCCACTACTGAAGGCTTACCCAATTATTGGTCATGCATTGCAACTGAGAGGTGATCCTGATGAAATGTATGAGTTTCTAATGAAAATGATTAAAGATAGACCAAACCAAGAAGACGAAGTAGGAATAGGTTGGATGGGAATGAAACCTGTAATTGTTATACTTGGACCTAAAAGCGCGGAAACGTTACTCCATAGTTCCAATCACATCAAAAAGTCATTCTTCTACGACTTCCTGCATTCTTGGCTTGGCACTGGCCTGCTGACAGCTAGTGGAGAAAAATGGAAGACTAGACGACGATTATTGACACCAACTTTCCATTTCAGGTATAAATTCATAGTACCGAGTAAGTTGCAAATATCTTTATTCATATTTCAGAGATATACTGGTATATATAATAATATACTATCTACCTGTATGCGCCTATGTTGCTCAAATTATTTGCTAGGCTACTTTTTGCGCGACCCAGCATGCAGTCGCTTTGAAACAAACTTGCCAGAAATATTTATTCATTCCTTATGTTTTTCCTGGTAGCCATAACTCATGAACGCAGAGAGTAATGACGTACGACTATCAAAAATAACGACTTTAATTTAGAGTTGTTTTATAAACTCATCTACAGTTGATATCAATAGTTAACTGCCTAAAACAAAATAATTTGAATCATCGACTCGCTTAACAATTTTTTGTTATATTCAGTATTCTCAACGACTTCCTTGCGGTGATGAACGAACAGGCAAAAGTTTTTTCCACTAACCTTGAGAAATTTGCGGAAACCGGAGAAACATTCAACGTCTGTACATCTATAACACTCTGCACTCTTGATATCATTTGTGAGACTGCAATGGGGAAATCTATCAACGCACAAGATTCTGAAGACTCAGAATACGTTAACGCCATCTATAGGTAGAAGAAAATCATAATCAAATTTGCTTGGTAAAAGACTATTTCATTGAACTTCAACGTTTAGGTCTTTCGTTTAAAATTTTGTAATGTAATATGGCATAGTTTAGTTTTTTATAGAATACTTTCACATTCACAAGTTTCTAACGTTCGCTAATGCCATAACAGAACAAAACAATATTATATATATATATATATATATATATATATACGTCTATATAGTGCCATGTTAATTTGGTCCAATTGGCATCTAAGTATATATATTGTGACCAGAGTTTGGAAAATATGTTGTGATGATAAGAAATATCCGTACTCCCGGGGTATGTGAACCAAGATGGCGGACATCGGAACGTAGTGCGTGTACCAGGTTAGGTTTAGTCCATAATTTTATTCCAATTTTCCTTATTTTAGTTCTATTACGAGTTCGGGGACTAGCCAAGTGACTCCCGTAGTATCAGCACATGAAATTATGGCCTAACCCTAACCTGGTACTCAAACTACGTTCCGGTGTCCGCCATCTTGGTTCACACACTACGAAAGTACCGATATATCTTGTTCATATATATGTTTCTTCATAACATATATGTATTTTACATTGGCTTTCATCATATATATTATTGCTGATGATTTTTAGAACATCTAGCATCATACAAGAACGTCAAAAGTCGCCTTGGATTTGGTCGGATTTGGTTTTTCGTCACACTAAGTATGGTAAAGAATATTACAAATGTCTTGGCATATTGCACGGTTTTACGAAATCAGTTATCAAAGAAAAAATGGAAACATTTTCGGCGAGTGAATCAGGGGAAAAGAAGCCCAAACGTTTGGCATTCCTTGACATGCTTCTCAGTGTTGCAGACGATGGAAAGGTGCTTTCATTTGATGATATTCGAGAAGAAGTAGATACTTTTATGTTTGAAGGTATGCGCAACATATCACTGTATATAGTCTAATGTAAAGTCTATTGTAATTAACAAATATGCCGGCTTGAAAAACTTTAAACTTTTATTTCAATTGGTCCAACACACGGCACCGCCCACAACGAGGGTTTCGATAGAGACAAGGTAGGCGTATATTGCAATAAAACAGTTAATGAGCACATCATCCCTATATATAGCTAATGTGTAGTCGAAGACGATCCATTTATGCTGTGCCACACCTCGTCGTTGGCTCATACTCGACAATATATATAATCGATTTCATATTAGCCAAAGAAGTACAATCAGTATGTTTGCAAACCGTCAACAAAATAAAAATTGTGCTCAGCTAAAAACAAATATTTTCTTTTACCAAGGACACGATACCACAGCAGCAGCTTTAGCATGGGCTCTGCATTTGATTGGCGCCCATCCGGATGTTCAAGCTAAAATTCATGACGAACTCGACAGGGTATTAAATGAAACCGATTCTGCGTACATAACAATGGAAAATCTAAAAAAGCTTGAATACCTGGAAATGGTAGTAAAAGAAAGCCTTCGCATCCTACCATCTGTTCCTATCATTGGACGTATAACGAGCAAAGATTGCGAGTAAGATCGTCCATGATCCCTATATATTAATTATGATCACAATCAGACAAGCCAGAACTCAACCTTTTGGTCACATTGGAATTAGTGATGGGCCGAAATGACTTGCTAGTGATTCCTATGATACATATATTCCAGTTTTTATGATAAATTATCTCTATAAATTTTTATTCAACGTCTGGCTGAGATATATTGATTTATTTATTTCATCCAAACTAGTTCATCACCAACGGTACGGCATTTGGGAATTCCGACTTTTTGAAGGTATTTTTTCAGGAAACCAAAAAATTCAAGGGCAAACCCATAAATGGATATAATTCTTTAATATAATATATTAAAATGGAAGGAATTCTAAAAGTTCATTTCGACCAATCTACTGTTATTTTAAGCAATATTTTGTTAGCAGACAGTTCCCAGAGAAATTTGTTCAATCGTAGGTGTGACCGGTATGGCCCTTTTTCAAAAATGTTCATGTAGAATTCTGGGAAACAAATTTAGGTTGTGTATCATCATAAGAAGACTTTTCCAAATTCAAGCTTGTGCCCTGCCCAACCTACCAAGTTTATCATCATTGATATCGCGTTCGGTATAGCTATGTCGTTATCTTAGATGTTTTATCTCAAACTATAAATCCTATGAATGCAATATTTTTCAGGATGGATGGACATTTGATACCAGCTGGAACTGACTGCGTCTTGTTCACACAAGCAGTAAATAAGAATCCTAACTATTGGACCGATCCCGAGAGGTAATATTTAGTTTTACGATGCCTAATGCGCTTGCTTCGGATAAGGAACTTAATATGAAGTTGGTCGTTTGATTTGTGAATAAGTGCGATTGTATGACGTGTTAAGTCTCGGGCTCAAGTCATTCATTCACAAAATGATAATTCTTTCAGCTCTGATTTTAAAAGCTCATTTTGTATTTTTGAATAACTGCTTCTATTTCAGTTTCGAGCCTGACCGATTCAGTTCTGAAAACAGCGTCGGACGACATCCCTACTCATATTTGCCGTTTTCAGCAGGACCCCGAAATTGCATAGGTCAAAGGTTTGCAATGATGGAAGAAAAAGTCGTATTGGCTCATTTACTACGAAAGTATGCAGTTACATCTTGTGACAAGACTGAAGAATTGCGTTTGATGGGCGATATCATATTAAGATCACGCAATGGTATAAATATAAAACTATCCCAAAGAAATGTAGATTAAATAAGCATCGAGCATGTTCATCAAGTATTCTACTTTTTGAATTTTTATAATTCGTTTCAAAAAATATGCAATAAAAATATCGATAATTGTGAAAATTCTGACTTTATGAACAAATGCAATATCATCTACGTAGGTATAAATAGTTAGACATTACTACTACACTATGTACACTACACTACGTGGTCAGCGTGACGACACGACCAATCCAAGGCGACAGACGCGTTCACGGTTGGCGTGGCCGCTATTTTAGCTCAGTCTATTTTAGCGAAGGTGTAATAAATGCGATTGTCGATGTCTACGAAGCTCATGTTTCTGAATATATTTGGGATAATGTCAATTCTAAATGTTTTAATATGTTCAAATACGTATTCAATATATATATATATATGTATAAACAACAAGAGAGCTATGCTCAAATATATGGACACGTAGAGTCACATAATTTTGATGACGTCATAGCGAAAAAAGAAGTAATAGCCTTCTGGAGAAAATTTTTATCTTTAACCACTAAAAATTTCAAAGCAATTGGTCCAGTATTCGAAGAGAAAAGCGACTTTTTAAAAACGTGTCAAGCGGTACTGAGTTAGCAGTCAGGCAGCATCTTACCTGTACACTGTAGGCCATATACGGTAATTGATCACAGAACAGTTGTTCCCTTGCAAATTTTATGTTGTTTACACTTTAGGACAGATAATTGATCACAGAACAATTCTTCCCTTTCAAATTTTATGTTGTTTCCAGTAGACTCTCATCAAAATGAACAAATATAGTAGGCTACAAGTGCTACAACGCTTGCATTACTGCACTGGTAGGACCGTGAAAGAATAAGTTACGGTAATTTCATTGTGGTAAGACACCGGTACCGGCACCAGTACCAGTACCGTACTTACGTACTGAGCTACCAGTACCGGTTAGCAGTCAGCCAGCATCTTACCTGTACACTGTAGGCCATATACGGTAATTGATCACAGAACAGTTGTTCCCTTGCAAATTTTATGTTATTTACACTTTAGGACAGATAATTGATCACAGAACAATTCTTCCCTTTCAAATTTTATGTTGTTTCCAGTAGACTCTCATCAAAATAAACAAATATAGTAGGCTACAAGTGCTACAACGCTTGCATTACTGCACTGGTAGGACCGTGAAAGAATAAGTTACGGTAATTTCATTGTGGTAAGACACCGGTACCGGCACCAGTACCAGTATCGTACTTACGTACTGAGCTACCAGTACCGGTACCGAACCTGTATGTCTGATATTCCGTTCCGCATACGATAGGCTATAAAACTTGCATTGCAGCATTAGTAATACCGCGGAAGGAATAAGTCAATTTCACTGCGTTACGGCACCGGTATGGCAACTTACCAGTACCGACCTACAGTAGCTGTAGTACTGAGCAAGACAATCGATCGCGAAACCGCTTGAAATAAGTTTAAAACAGTGTTCCCATGAGTAAAAATAAATACCGCGAAATTTTGTATGAAATATCATATCTCATAGGATTCATATAAAATTCAAGAATAAACAAAAGTAATAGCCTTCTAGCGAAAAAATTAATCTTCAACCACTGAAAATTTCAAAGCAATTGGTCCAGTATTCGAAGAGAAAAGCGACTTTTTAAAAACGTGTCAAAGAACAAGAACAACATAATATTGAAACGATCGTTATGTCCACTACGTGTCCAAAAACGCGGCGTGGTGCATCGTTAGGGATTAGCTCGCTAACGTCACTACTGATTACCTTGCATTCGCAGGTTTATGAGCGAGACAGTTGCTGGCAGTGTTCCCTCTAAGAAAATTTCACACTGCGCAAATGTTGTTTTTACTGAGCAAGACTATTTTAAGGCTGAGCAGAATCCTAAATTATTTCAAACTTTGTGAAATGTAGTAATATTGGCATATTATATATTATCGGGATGCAAACAAAGCCCACGCTTAACTCAAATAGCTTCTCATTGTTTTCGTGCCTTTCCAACGTTTATACACTTTGTCCATGTTTGTTGTGTTTATTGCTGAATCAAGCGGCAATCATCCAAAGTGCAATACTTAATGTACCAGCTAGACATTTTTGTTGGTGAAATATCATTGCTTTCATCAACACTCAGGGTATGAAATTTTGCTTGTCTTATGCTCCGCATGATTTCTTCCCTGGCGACAAAGTCTATGCTTATCAAAAATTCGAAGCCGTAATTTTTGCTTCACCATGTATGTGGCAATTTAGTGTATTTTGACATATTATTAATTTGCGACTATTTATTAAAATTTGCGGGACAATATTGACGAATTCAGCTTAACACGTGGTGGAACACTAACTATGTGAGTCTTTATTTCACTTGATGGGATTTTTAGTATTTCACTCTCTTCAACGGTTGGTATTGCGGTGAAAAAATTCGAACAACCTCCTCTTGCTTCCACGTTTCTCTTCTAATGCATCTAGTGCGTCAACGTGCTTATTATGATTTTTAAATGGCATTTTAGATAGTCAACTTCTTATTCCCACCCATGATTTTCATATCACTATCAGGAGACACTTCCCGACAAACGTTGTGGATTATCACATTCCTTGGCGTGAAATAGCAATAAATTTCGCAAAGTTTAGCAGTTATTTTTAGCTTATGCATACCGGTATCCACGATTGCAAATTAGTGTCAAACACCTCACTGTTGTATTTAGCCATTCCACTTTAAAATCAGTTTTCTTATTCTTAGCTTCACTTCCTTGAATAGACATTTCACTCACACGTCAGATAAAGAAAACTAGTATATTATTGGTTTTGGTTAATAAACCACTCATTCTAGTAATGTGCTGAATATGAAAACGCTTAAAACTCTTTTTAGTAATTTCTGGTGAAACATACTTACAACATCGCAATATTATATAACATCGGTATCATTAAGTATAAGCCCATGGCCACGTGTGTACGGCGTATGTTCCCCAGCTTTACACTTTAGGGGGGGTTGGTGTTTCGAAATTTAGGGGGTAGTAAAATGAAACTATTTGTATTCTTAAAAAATGATATGTATTTAAGAAACAATGTAGGCTACATGAGGGGTCCCCCAAGTTGATTGACGGCGAGCCAAAATACACAGCAGAATAAAATTGTAGGGCCAGAAAAGGGGAACGAGGAAAAGTGCGCGACGACACGGCTGGGGTTCAGAGAAAATTTTGAGAAATAGGCACCAAAATAGGCTCTAAGCTTGATTTTAGATACACCTAGCATCGCAGTTTGTTATGCAATGAAATTAATAGTTATATATATATAATATTTAGCTGATATAATTCCCTAGAAATAAATAACAAGCAGGCTTTCAGCAAGTAATTTGCAACTGATATGGACTAATGAAGTTACTTGCTCACCTAGCATATGGCATCGTATGAATGGCTACATATGGCTTGTTTTGTTACACATTTCACATTTTTTGAACATGTTTGTTTGATTTTTGTATGAATTAAGCAATTAATCAAATGTTGAAATACGCGCGTCAACTGATCATAATGGCGAATAATGTTGTATTCCTTCAGAACTGAAATATTTTGTTGGCAAGGAAGACAAATCGCTGAAGTTTGATTCTTTTCAATGAGAAAATAAAAACGCTGCCATTCATCTAGAAAACGTCTATTTTCAGTACCTAGTTTTTGTTTTGTGACTTCTTTGAGCTTTCCTAATATACGGCTGATATCTAAAATACGGCAGTGTGTAATCCTAATACCCGTATGTATACATAAGATCCCAGTATAATTCAATTGTTACGAAATAAACGTGCTTAAACTGTGATAATGGTGTAACGATAGACGGTATCTAAAACTCAATAGGTACCACCATTGATGACTTAACATTTAAGGTATCAATGGTACCACATGAAAACTATTTCACTTTTCAAATCGTTACGCGGGGGGGGGGGGGGGGGGGGGTTAAAATCTCAGGGGAGGTGTTAACCCCTTATAAGAGGGGGAATTACTGTGTGCACCAACCTCGAGATTCAAGAGCCGACACTGCTACCAACTCAGACCTCCTTCAAACCCCATCTAGTTTAGCCTACGAAGAAGATCAAGGGGGGCCACGACACAAGTTTAAAATTGATCATAAAGCGGCTTCGTTTGCATACTTTCCTTTAAAAATATAACCCCTCGTCCAGGCCTTCACCGCAGTCTCATAATCTGAATATGTTATTTGCGATCACAGGGTGTATTTACTTTATTATGCGTGAATTGTTTGTTCATAATTGATTTTGGAATCTACAAATCAAAATAGTTCGCTGGTAGGCCGTCTAACCCAGTGTTCTTCAACCTTTTTTTATCGAAGTATACCTTTTACAGTTTTTCAAGAACTTTGTATACCTTACAAATACCAATGTTTATTTAGGGCCTAAATGAACAATAAATTTTAAGCACATATTGTACTGCAATATCATCATGCAATCTAATAGGCTAGTGACCGCAAGTTATAAATTTGACTGACTGCCTTAGCGTCGACGGGAATAATGTTCGACGTAAATCAAACAAAGTGCATGGCAGCCGAAATCACCAACCCAGACACATGACCAAAGGGAGGCAAAAAGACACCGGAAGGGGGCCACAAGTCATAAAAGGTTGGAACCACTGTTTTAAACCTTCCCATATCTTCATCTGTTTGATTACACTACGGACAACAAGATTTTGCCGGGTCGACAACACGAAATCCAGAGCGCGCGATGAAAATTTAAAAAACCAGCTCGCGCTGGCATACAGAAATCAAGGTATTCGTGACAGACACGTGTGTGAAATCACAATGACTAGTGATCACCAAAATACGCGTAAAACATGAAACGAGCATTCCAGTTGAGCGTTAATTGAAATGACATATGACCCACGCTTTGAAAACGAAATGTTACAATTGCGCGAGAATGAGATTTCACTGGCAAATGTTGTGGTGGTACTGCGCAATTGCGCAGCTTAGAGGGAACCTTGGTTGCTGGACTCATCTCCGTCATAGGGTGGTTTACGTAAGCGCTAGTTGGTCGCGGCGTCCTCCACCACAAAGATCATGGATCTGAAACTAATACCGTATTTCGCAATAACATGGACAAGGGGCGGTCATCCTCAACCCGTACTAGATAATTACCAATCTGGTATTTTAAAGCGTGTCGGGGGTGTTTTTCACAATCTTGCATTAGTGGTGGATGCCTTCTATAGCTATAATATCAAATGGAAAGTACTCTAACACTAACTAACATATTCCCAAAACGTCGGACAACTCTCCCTGTTGTGATGGATTTGTAAAAGTTTGTGCAGGTGTTTGTTAGAAGTTTAGGACACCTTAACTACCATCGAACATTGGTAGAATGTTAGACCTCGCTAGTCTTCTAGTGTTTGTTAGGCCATACTGGTACTGAGTAGAATATTGCATTTGTATGCGATCCAGTAGGGGTGCGGTAGGTTTATCGGGTGGAGGGCAATTTTGGGGTCTGATGTAGTTTCTTACCTGAATAACTTCTAGTGGCCGTCACGTAACAATTATTGCATATGTCAATCCCAACCCCCACCTGTCTGCGTTATACAAAATTAAGTCCTTTCAAACGGGGCTATACGAACTGTCATCCAAGATGTGCAGACGATCATCCGAAATTGGGCAAGGTATTTCTCTCGTTTTAACGATCCCGATATGACAGCTGCTGTTCTGATTAGTGAGTTCTTTATCGTCAGCGCAGAAGCGCAGTTCTTACCACTTTACGGCAGCTCAACCCCAAATCTACCCAAACTGTATCCATCCATAAGATAAACGTTCCAACTTACCCAATATTGATCATCATCAGGGGCCGACATGCCGTGGTTACGGCAGCAAAATTGGTGGTATTCGATTTGCTGCCGTTGGCTTGATCATAGCGGCCATGGTTTTGCGGCAGTTCTAGGCGTCACAAAAAACTTGAAACAGCACTTGTCAGCGCAGATGCCATTTTGGGTGATCGTAGGTACTGTAGAATCGGCTAACTTCGAACGCCCTGTAACTTCGGATGAAATTTTTAATCGTTTATATCTCGACTAAATTACGTCATACTGTGCTTCTGACAGTTTCTAAAGTGATTCCTTATATATTTATTTAAATCAGTTATCATATTCAATCAGGCAATTTAATCTATTTTTTGATAAAAAAAATCATGTTTTACGATAAAATTGACACTCCGTTTTCGAGTGGCTTAAATCGTGACTTGTAACTTCCCTAAAATATCGTCATTCGTCAGAGGGCGTCAAAAGACGGGTTGGCGTAGATTTAAAAATAACAACGATATTTTGTTTGATTGGATCAATATCGGCTAACGCAGGGGTTTCCAAACCGCGGCCCGCGGCCGCGTAACGATTTAAAATGGCCCGCCGAGCTTAAGTGAAACAATGAAATAGATTTTGTTTCTACCTTTTTACAATCTAGAAACCGCCAATTGTTATGTCATTATCACAGTTTAAGCTCGTGTTCATGATAACAATTCGATTATGCCGGTATCTCAATTATACGTACCGTATTAGGTTACATAGGGCAGTAATTTAGTTATCAGCCGTTTAAGAAAGGTTAGAGATGTCAAATAATATACAAGATTCTGAAAACAGATGTTACTCCGATAAATGGCATCGTTCGTATTTCTGGATTGAAAAGAATCACACTTCAGCGATTTGTCCACTTTGCCGACAAACTATTCAAGTTATAAAACAATACGACATAAAGCGCCATTATGAATCAAACAAACATGTTTGAAAAAATGTCAAATGTGAATCCACAGAACCCCAGCTAAACCGTTGCACACTTTCGGGCACTACACTCTTCCGGCCCGCGAACACCCTTTCGATTCTAATTTTGGCCCGCGGCCAATAAAGTTTGGGAACCCCTGGGCTAACGTATACATCAACAGTTTTCTGTGGATCTTGAATTCATGGCGTCAAATGTTGGAAATGTAATATAATTAAATTGATTGAAAATGGCAATTAACGAAAAGCATTTTCGTTCAATTTGACGATTTCAAATTCCTCCATTTGGAACGGCAGCATGGTTCGAAATAGAACAAGAGAGCTACGCACAAATATATGGACACGTTAGACCAGAGCGAATCAGTCCTTACCGGTACCTTTGCAGCTACCGGTACCCTCAAAAAAGTTCTGAATTTCCAGTAGCAAGAATTTTGCAGAATCAAAACGTACAGCCAGTCATGACACTGACTAAAATCCGTATTCGGATGAAATTTTTAATCGTTTATATCTCGACTAAATTACGTCATACTGTGCTTCTGACAGTTTCTAAAGTGATTCCTTATATATTTATTTAAATCAGTTATCATATTCAATCAGGCAATTTAATCTATTTTTTGATAAAAAAAATCATGTTTTACGATAAAATTGACACTCCGTTTTCGAGTGGCTTAAATCGTGACTTGTAACTTCCCTAAAATATCGTCATTCGTCAGAGGGCGTCAAAAGACGGGTTGGCGTAGATTTAAAAATAACAACGATATTTTGTTTGATTGGATCAATATCGGCTAACGCAGGGGTTTCCAAACCGCGGCCCGCGGCCGCGTAACGATTTAAAATGGCCCGCCGAGCTTAAGTGAAACAATGAAATAGATTTTGTTTCTACCTTTTTACAATCTAGAAACCGCCAATTGTTATGTCATTATCACAGTTTAAGCTCGTGTTCATGATAACAATTCGATTATGCCGGTATCTCAATTATACGTACCGTATTAGGTTACATAGGGCAGTAATTTAGTTATCAGCCGTTTAAGAAAGGTTAGAGATGTCAAATAATATACAAGATTCTGAAAACAGATGTTACTCCGATAAATGGCATCGTTCGTATTTCTGGATTGAAAAGAATCACACTTCAGCGATTTGTCCACTTTGCCGACAAACTATTCAAGTTATAAAACAATACGACATAAAGCGCCATTATGAATCAAACAAACATGTTTGAAAAAATGTCAAATGTGAATCCACAGAACCCCAGCTAAACCGTTGCACACTTTCGGGCACTACACTCTTCCGGCCCGCGAACACCCTTTCGATTCTAATTTTGGCCCGCGGCCAATAAAGTTTGGGAACCCCTGGGCTAACGTATACATCAACAGTTTTCTGTGGATCTTGAATTCATGGCGTCAAATGTTGGAAATGTAATATAATTAAATTGATTGAAAATGGCAATTAACGAAAAGCATTTTCGTTCAATTTGACGATTTCAAATTCCTCCATTTGGAACGGCAGCATGGTTCGAAATAGAACAAGAGAGCTACGCACAAATATATGGACACGTTAGACCAGAGCGAATCAGTCCTTACCGGTACCTTTGCAGCTACCGGTACCCTCAAAAAAGTTCTGAATTTCCAGTAGCAAGAATTTTGCAGAATCAAAACGTACAGCCAGTCATGACACTGACTAAAATCCGTGTTCCCATGGATAAAAAATAATACAGCAAAATTTTAGACGAAATATCAAATTTCATAGAATTCACGCAAAATTTTGAAATAAATAAAAGTAATAGCCTTCTAGCAAAAAAATTAATCTTTAACCACTGAAAATTTCAAAGCAATTGGTCCAGTATTCGAAGAGAAAAGCGACTTTTTAAAAACGTGTCAAAGAACAAGAACAACAACATAATATTGAAACGATCGTTATGTCCACTACGTGTCCAAAAAATTGTGAGCAGTCGTGAAATACTGCGTAATTATAAAATATATGACCAGCGATAAATTGTCGCAAATGAGTTCGGTTTTATAAATTTAACAAAAGTTATTTAAATCAAAGTTGCCTATTGCTAAATCAGTGTTTTGTCGTGATTATGCGCGACCAATATTTAAATATTTTCATAAAGAAACAGCCTTATGAATGCTCAATAACATTTATCGTGCGACTATTTACGAAGTGGAGTTTGACAAACGGTATCAAAACATTATCGGCTATAACAAAATCAGCTTTGATCGGTGAATATTCGGATCTAAAGTTACGATAATAGAAAATACAAGAAAGCTATGCTCAAATATATGGACACGTAGAGTAACATAATTAGGATGACGCCATGGCGAAAAGAAAGTAATAACCTTCTGGAGGAAATTTTTATCTTCAACCACTGAAAATTTCAAAGCAATTGGTCCAGTAATCAAAGAGAAAAGCGATTTCTTCAAAACGTGTCAAAGAACAACAAAACGATCGTTATGTCCACTACGTGTCCAAAAACAAGACGTTTTAGGTGAGCACAACTTGAGAGTGCTGCACCGGAAAATCTACGGACGTCATGTCATCATCACCGCCGCTCGCGACGGGGATTGAACATCTGGCATTTACGCAACGACGTAAAGCGTGTTTTGTCTTCTCGCACGCACTTTTATCTCGAGTTGCGGTGACGCAAGGAGGTGATTCCCCATCCGAAGTTAGATATTTAGTGGCGTAGTAAAAATGAGACAATTAAGACATAAAAAATGATCCGATCGACGAGAAAATTAAATGCATGTACAGAGAATTACATCAATGTAATGTTAAGCTTGACGCGAATCGGACAACAAACGGCTGATTAAAGTACTGTATAGTGAAATCATCCTAAGTTAACCAGTTTTACGGTACGGGTACCCGTACCGGTATACTTTGGCAAGCTATATGACGTGATTGTGACATATGGTGTAGGTTTGGGTGGTGTCACAGGTGTAGTCACTAGTCAGGTGAGGGTTAGGATTGATCCAGCTGTCTTATCATCTTTTGTTTCCCCGGGAAAAATATGTAAATCCTATTCTACCTATCCTACTTTATTCCGATTTCCTCTTGTTTATTTGACAAATATTTTATTTTTAATTTCAATAGGCTACATCATTCAGTTAATAGGCTGAACAAAATATATTTGAAAAATAAATTTGTACCAGTACCGGTATGGGTACCGTAGGTATATTAATGTATTAGCAAAACTTTATGTTAATAATAATAAGGCGAATTTATTCAGTAATACCAACCATCTTGAACCATGAACAAAGAGAAACATACTAAAAAATCCACTTCTGGTGATGTTATAGCTGCAGAAATAAAAGAATTTGAATGTGAGATACGTGGAAAACAATACAGTAGCGAGGGCAGCAAAAGACAGCACTGGAAAAAACATTGGAAGAAGAAGCAGTACAAATGCCCTTTATGCGAAAAATGCTTCATATTCAAGTGTTACATGGAGATTCATTTGATTTCTCATTCAGACGAAAAGCTCCATCAATGTAAAATATGTAAAAAGCAGTTTTCCAGAGCAAGTGGCGTAAGTACCCATCTTCGACGTATTCATTCTGAAAACAAAACTTATTATCCATGTGATATATGCGGGAAAAAATTCACCTCTAAATCCTATCTAGAAGAACACATGATGATACATATTGGTGTTAAAATGCATGTATGTGAAGTATGCGATAAGAAATTCACTCACTCTGGAAGCTTGACACAACATTTGAGAACCCATACAAAAGAAAAGCCATATGCTTGTGAAACATGTGGGAAGAGATTCAGCTATTGCAGCAATCGCAATAGACATGCGAAACACCATGCAGACCAGAAAAACTATAAATGTGAAATATGTTCTAAGACCTTTCGTTGGGAGAGCAGTCTTGAGTTGCATTTGAGAACCCATATGCGTGACAAGAGATTTCAGTGTGAAATTTGCGAAAAATACTTCACTGGAAGCCTGAAACGTCATATGGTCATTCACAATTCGGAAAGAAATTATAAATGTCCATTGTGCGATAAAAGATTTAAGAGATCTTATGATGTGCAAGTTCATTCAACCGTTCACACTGGCATAAGAAATTTTGAATGCAAGAAATGTGGTAAGAAATTCAGTCATGCAAGTGGACTTAAAAGACACATGGTGACTCATATGACTGAAAAAAAATTCAGATGTGAAATTTGTGCAAAAACATTTAAGCAACCTGCAGATGTGGACAATCATATGAGAATCCATACTGTCGTATCATAAAACCTAAGATGTAATTTGATGCATTCGGTCTCTAGAGTACTTCCGAGAGTAAGCGAGAAGCTATGGTTCACCATATAATATAGCTAGTTTATAAGACTTCCTCTCCCGCAATAAATCTGAAAATGCCATATTAGCAAATTGTATTTTTCTTTTGTCTATTACCTAAAATCGATGCAGTTGCATAAACAAGGCAACAATTGTATACCTAGTTGTGATGGTGAATGCCATTTCAATTTTGAATAGATCATCGAAAACTAAACAGACCTGAAGTGGGCTAACAGGACTGTATTTGTTAGTTTTCAGATATGATATGTCACATGCAAACATTTTTGTGCAACTGATTGCTTCGCATTCAGATAATAGATGACCTGAATTGCCATCATTTTGTGATCTGTATCTTGGCTGCACTACCAGTAACTTACTTTATTTCGTGCTAAGGTTTAGTCACTCGGGCTAAAGATTAGGCAACAATTTTTGGCCTTTCGTTTCGTTCTTTATATATTCTATTCTCATGAGAAAGCGACAATAGCTTGTGCCTTTGAATACATTGTGTATTTATACCATAATATTGTACAGTATAAATGTTTTGGTTGCATAATTGGTCAACATGGCTCAATAAAGTTTTGTCAGGGATTTTGTCTTTCCAGATATCGTAACCATTCCTCATGACTTTCTCCATCAGTCCAGTTCATGCTCCTGAAAACAAATAACTGGCTAGTCCCATATCCTAAATAAACTGGTATCCTGATGAGAGGCCATGGTTCGTCACATGATTAGGCTTTCTCCGGGTTAAATATGTAAATCCTATTCTATTTAATTTTATTCTGGTTTCCTTTTGTTTATTTAACAAATATTTTATTTATATTTTCAATACATCAATCCGTCATTAGACCGAACAAAATGTATTTGAAAAATAAATTTGTACCAGTATCGTACTTAATGTATTAGCAAAACTTCCTGTCAATACTAAGAAGGCGAATTCATTCAGTCATAACAACCATCTTGAACCATGAACAAGGAGAAACGTACCAAAAAATCCACTCCTGGTGATGTCATAGCTGCAGAAAGGAAAGAATTTGAATGTGAGATATGTGGAAAAAAATACAGTAGCAAGAGCAGCAAAAAACAGCACTGGAAAAAACATTGGGAGAAGAAGCAGTACAAATGCCCATTATGTGAAAAATGCTTCATATTCAAGTGTTACATGGAGAATCATTTGATTTCTCATTCAGACGAAAAGCTCCATCAATGTAAAATATGTAAAAAGCAGTTTTCCAGAGCAAGTGGCGTAAAAACCCATCTTCGACGTATTCATTCTGAAAACAGAACTTATTATCCATGTGATATATGCGGGAAAAAATTCACCTCTAAAACCCATCTAGAAGAACACATGATGATACATATTGGTGTTAAAATGCATGTATGTGAAGTATGCGATAAGAAATTCACTCACTCTGGAAGCTTGACGCAACATTTGAGAACCCATACAAAAGAAAAGCCATATGCTTGTGAAACATGTGGGAAGAGATTCAGCTATTGCAGCAATCGCAATAGACATGCGAAACACCATGCAGACCAGAAAAACTATAAATGTGAAATATGTTCTAAGACCTTTCGTTGGGAGAGCAGTCTTGAGTTGCATTTGAGAACCCATATGCGTGACAAGAGATTTCAGTGTGAAATTTGCGAAAAATACTTCACTGGAAGCCTGAAACGTCATATGGTCATTCACAATTCAGAAAGAAATTATAAATGTCCATTGTGCGATAAAACATTTAAGAGATCTTATGATGTGCAAATTCATTCAACCGTTCACACTGGCATAAGAAATTTTGAATGCAAGAAATGTGGTAAGAAATTCAGTCATGCAAGTGGACTTAACAGACACATGGTGACTCACACGACTGAAAAAAAATTTAAATGTATAGTTTGTGCAAAAACATTTAAGCAACCAGCAGATGTGGAATATCATATGAAAATCCACACTGTTGTATCATAAAACCTGCATTCAGCCGCCAGAGTTCTTCCGAGAGATGGAGAGAAGCTGTGAATCACCATGTAATTAAGCTAGCTTATCATACTTCCTCTCCTGCAATAAATCTGAAAATGCCATATTAGTGAATTGTATTTTTCTTTTACCTAAAATCGATGCAGTTGCACAAACAATTTTGAATAGATCATCGAATACTAAACAGACCTAAAGTGGGCTAACAGAACTGTATTTGTTCATGTGTATGCATGCATTTTTATAGTGCCGACCTGAACGATAATGCTGGTTGAACTTGTAAATAGCTTAATTTGAACTGCAGGAGTGTATTAACACTAGTTATTATTAACACTAGGGATGGGCAATTCAGAAAAATTCACAATATTAGTGTCAGTAGTGTGCTTCAATCAAATTCAGAATACTGAATCTTCTTCTACTTAGATTTACAGTGAGCTGGAAAATTCTGAAAATGATTGATTGAACTGCGAGTGGAAATGTTATGAGAATTGGATTTTAATTGGTGCTAGTCATACATCACTTGTGTTGATAAAATTTATAAATTTGGGCAATGGTTTTCTCTTTTCAAAATTGAACACATATGCCAATCGAATTGCCCATCTCAGACAGTCGCTTCAAAATTTTCTGTGCTTAAAGCTTGTTGTTATCGGTATCAATAAGGCTATATCAATTTAAGTATAAGCTGACATTACTTGTATAGTATTGTGTGTCTTATTGTTATGATGGTGAATCAGCAATTCTATTTGACAATCGAAATGAGTGACTTGCTTTTTTTTTGTCAATCAAAGACTTCAATCATATACATGTGAGTTTCTGGCTTAGTTTGATGATTTATTTAACAAAAGAGAAATGCTTAAATATATTGAAACGAAGGCCCAAACGAAGTAACAAAAGATATCCTTTTTAGTTCTGGGTCTAGGGAGGCCGATAAGACTCGGCTTATGTATCGTTTGGGAACAATTAGCCAGCTATGACGCATGTTTTAGAATTAGATACTTGGCGGTCGAGGTAGGATAGGATTTTACATTTTTATCCCGGGGGAGAGGAAAGACGGCTTATCCATATGGCAAACCACGGCCTTTCGTCCGGTTACCATTCCAAGTCGGGTATGGGATTAGTTACTTGTTTTTCGGAAGCATGGGCTTGATGGTGAAGGAAGCCGTAACCCACCAGCGGTTATGTGAACCACCCTACGGCGGCGAGGAGTCCAGCAATCCTCTCGCACATAACCTTCCCGCATGGGATCCGAACCTGCGAACCCACGCAGAGTAATTAGAGGTGCGGTGGCGAATCGCGATGAGCCACACCAGCGCGCAGGTAACCAGTTACCGGTACCACCCCACAACTAGGCGGTATGGCGCATTGTGCTAAGCGTTAGGAATACGCTAGCCACCGCACCTCTAACACTAATCCCATAACAGACATTTATCGGCAACCTGACGAACGGCCGTGATTCGCCATATGATTAGGCCGCCTTGTCGCAGTATCGACTTTCCTCTCCCTCGGGATAATTATGTAGTACTGTCCTATGATTCGAATCTGCGACCAGAGGCGTCATGGCTATCGTATTCCCAAAGTTTAGCACATGAGAGAGACGCCTCCATTTATATCGTCTTATATCACATTATGCATCCTTGACAAACGGATCTACGCACTTGGGCCTAAGTGGACAATGTTCTAAAGAAAGTATAACTTATACCGGTATACAAAATGATTGGCTCAAATATGAGATTTATTATTTCGTCAACGAAAAATACAGTCATCAATAAAATAGAAACAGCAACAGCATTAACATTGTTTTGGTAGGAAGAGGAGGAACGATACGGCTATTGAGTTCAGTTCATTTACACTGGAAGATGACTAGTGGCAAATTTTGAACTAGTACGATAATACTTTTCAAGCTTCTATAACAGAATTGGGGGATTCCCAAGAAATTTCAATGTTAAACACGACTACACGTGTGTTTTAAAGGGGAGTTGGGTGCCAATGAAAGTAGGGGAATCCCCGCCGTATTCGTCGTCGCAGGAAAATTTCTGTAATAAGGTAGTATGAAGGATCCGATTTGACAACATTACCGGTATCGTTTGACGTTTCATATATCTGTACCGGTACGGTAGGGTACCGGTATATCGGGAAATGCGATGGCCCTAATGATGAATTATTCGTAGCAATTTTTTTTCCAAAGGATGATAAATAAATTATTTAGTAGAAAGATTTTATGTGTAGGTAATAATTTACTGAGAAATAAGTATCAAACTTTTGTAACTTATCAAGCCGCAATTCCTTTGAGACGTGTACATTGTTCTGCAAACTTTTACCGATCCATAGATGATGAATATGAGGACAATGAACCAATAAATGACATTATTGACAGTGAAGTACTGAAATTAGGAGATCACAATGTATTTGTTATACAGCCTGACTTGATAGGCAAGTTTATTTTCAAAGTTTTTTTTTTGAAGCATTGGACAAAAATAAATAGATAAAGTATTTGAAAAACTCTGGGTCTACAGGTCTATTTAAGCAAAGTTTCATGTTTTGAATATTTGTTGATGTTACTGTTAAGCATTCTTCTCATCATACCTCTCCATACTGCCATATGCATAGAGGGACGGGCTATAGATATTATTAAAATGAACTGGTCGTTTCATGTTGGGAGGATACCAGAGACCTTTTTTAAATTATCCTCTCCACTAATATAATATATGAACACACTGTAATAAAATTAAGTAATCTGTTGAAGGGTTAGGGAGAACTTGAAAACTTTCCTCTTATTACTCTCTAGAATATTTTTAATATAACTCAGTTATTTCATGTATTGCAGAAGGGGGGGGGTAAAGGGTATTATTTTAAAAAAAGTGGTTTGGATAATTATTATATGCTCACATTACTGCACTAAGTCAAGATTGTATCACTATCCTCCATTCTAGTTCATCACTTCACATTGTTCATCATGTGTATAACATGGTATTCTGAGAATGCAGGGATAAGTATTGCTTTGTCTATTCAAGCTATTTGTGTATTCAGGTGAAGTTCGTCCTCATAATTTGATCAACACAACCACTGAATTACAACTTGAGGAATCGGTAGCTTTAGTTGAATGTTTACCAGGATGGAAAGTCAGTGGGAAAATGATCTTGAAAACAAGGTATTTTGTAGAACAGCTTGACACTTGGGATATTTGCAATAGTCATTGCAATTTTCAATCTTTTTTTAAGTGCAGTTTTAAGTATTCTGTGGCGTCTGAAGCTGCCCCAAAACCATGGCGGTATTTCCATACCATGGCCGCTACATCCAAACCTATGGCGACTGACTTTTTAGCTGCCACAAACCAATGACAAGCTGCCGTTACCACGGCAGCAAATTGAAAACCAATGGCAGGTAAAATTTTGTTGCCGTAACCACGGCAAGTGGATCGTAAAAACAGGGCTGCCCCTTATGGTGACAAATATTGGGTAAGTTGGAACATTTTTCTTATGGATACAGTTTTCAAGTGCAGTTTCAAGTATTTTGTGGCGTCTACAGCTGCCGCAAAACCATGGCGGGATTTCCAAACCACGGCCACTAAGACCAAACCCACGGCGACTGACTTTTTAGCTGCCACAAACCAATAGCGAGCTGCCGTGGTTACGGCAGCAAATCGAATACCACCAATTTTACTGCCGTAACCACGGCAGGTCGGCTGTAATAGCAGGGCTTCCCCCTAATCTGCTGATGGTGATAAATATTTGGCGAGTTGGAATGTTTTTCTCATGGATACAGTTTGGATGGATTTGGGGTTAGGGTTAGGGTTTAAGTAGATATAATTTCGCATGATAAACTAAAATATGGTACATGAATTTGTAAATATACCGGTAATAGCGCCATAAAACCATGGCAGGAGACGGCGTGGTACGTTCGTGGCAGGAGCTGCCATGAAGTGGTAAGAACTGCGCCTCACAGTTTTGATGGATTTGGGGTTAGGGTTTAAATAGATATAATTCCACATGATCAATTGAAATCTGGTACATACTGAATAGCACTATAAAAACATGGCAAGAGCCTCCGCGGTTCGTTCGTGGCAGGAGCTGCCATGAAGTGGTAAGAATTGTGCCTCCTTTTGAAAGTTGAGAGTCAAGTTGAAATTTACAACAAAAAATTGTTAAACTGAAGGCTTGAAGTGCAAAAAATGTGATGGTGTCGAGATTTTTAACTTTCCTATTTTTGCTGAATAAAACATTTACAGGGGAAGAGATTGGAAACTCACTACTTTCGATTTTGCAATTTTAATTCATTTAATTCAAAAGCTATATTATATGTCTTGCAAACATAATTACAAATACATTTTGTACATACTTAGAACACCACATGAACAAAGAATTTTTAGAGGTGAAAGACTTGAACGTCTGAAAGAACAAATAGTTCAACATCAAGATATCACGGCTATATTTTTAAGTCTGAATGGATTAAACGGACTCCAAAGAAAATATATTTCTGATATGACACGAATCGAAAGTATTTTTGACAGGTAAGATGAAAAGGAGTATATATTGAAAAAGGAGTTTTATCATCACAACCTTTACCTAAATATATAGGTGCTTTAGATGTGATCTTAGTGTGTGAAATCTGTGAATTTGTTACTCTGGACATCAATTGTAGATATGTTGAAACATGAGGTAGCTATATAGCCTAACTATATAGTTATGTAGCCTTTGAATAAACACTGCTTTTGAAGGGTACTCTATGAAATATATTTTTACTGAAAAAAAAATAAAGGTGCAAACTTTCAAGAACATGTGTGAACCATCCAACCTTGTTTACTCCTCTCTCTCCTTACCCAATGCCTAAGATAGGATGGCTTATCAGCAAGAGGTTCGGGCTTCTTGAGAAGAAGTAGATTAAACAACTTATTGTCTTAATCTTGTCTTATATCAAACTCTATGCTCGTATCATTACAGATATTTAAATTTTAGTTTTCAAAATTCCATCAACAGATATTCACTTGTTTTGGAAATCTTCCGATTGAGAGCACAAACCAAACAAGCAAAACTGCAAGTTGCACTGGCCGAAATTCCATATCTGAGAACGCATTCAAAATCTGAGCTAGCATCTTACAACAGACAAGGAAGAGGGTATGATAGCATTATTTTTCATTGATCTATAATATGTCAAATCTATATTTTTATATGATCAATAGCAAAATATGCCACATTTTAATTTTTGAATGTCATTGGGTCACTATGACATCAGTGCCAGTTATATAGCTTTTAGCATGTTCCTCGTCGCTTGTAACTCTACTCTTGGCGCGGCGGTGTGGCTCAACGGGCTAAGCGTTAGGAATACGCTCGCCACCGCACCTCTAATTACTCTGCGTGGGTTTGCAGGTTCGAATCCCATGCAGGGATGGTTATGTGCAAGAGGATTGCTGGACTCCTCGCCGCCGTTGGGCTTCCTCCACCACCAAGTCCATGCTTCCAAAAACAAACAATATAACTAATCCCATACCCGACTTGGAATGGTAACCAGACGAGAGGCCGTGGTTCGCCATATGGATAAGCCGTCTTATCGGCTTTCCTCTCCCCGGGATAAATATGTTAATCCTAATCCTACTTACCTACTATGTAGTACAGCATTGTATCTGCTATACGAAAATGCATGTGACCTTGCTTACATGAGAAATTCATGCACTTACGGTATTTGTTTTTTAATAAGCCCACCCATGGATGTCGAAAATGAGACATAAAATAAGTTTCTGACAAAATAGAAAACTAATCAAAAAAAGTTTATATATAGCAGTGGTCTCTATGCATTACTGGACTAAATATGTACATAGACGGCAATAATTTCCGCTTATAGAGAATTGCCGGAATCAAATTTTGTATAATGACGCACCTGAGATACCTATTCCTGTGTTAATTACGAATGATAGTGAGTATGATCGCAAGTAAACTTGCAACTAACACATGTTTCAGTTACTTCTACTCAAAATGTTTTCCTGTATTTAAAATTTGCTTGCGGGCCACAGTTTGCTGAACCCTGATCTATAGTAGGCCTATAGTGATTTACCTGTTTCTGGGTATCCTTGCCACCACCCTTTGTTATCCGCGGAGATGATAACATGTACGATAATCTAATTCTAATATATTATCAATACATATATATTCAATAAGGCATGGTGCTGTCGGTGGCCCTGGAGAAACGCCAATGGAATTACTGAAACGACAATTCAAAATTCGAGAACAAAAAATTAGATCCCGTTTGACAGAATTAAGCAAACATCGAACATATCAGAGACAAGCAAAGAGGAAGAATAATATACCAGTAGTTGCTGTTGTTGGATACACAAATGCTGGTTAGTCGCTAGTGTTGCTCTTAGGAAGTAGAAAATATGAATACATTTGAAATTCTAATATTCTCTTTACCAGTAGTCAATTGTTTATTTTAGGAATACTTTAGAAGATTTTCGTTTTATCATAACCATGAAAAAATCAACGTAAAATTTATAAATTTTTTCTGGCTATAACACAGATCTGTGCAACAAGTGGGCCACTAACCGGCTCGCCAAGCCATTTAGTGTGGCCCTTGTCAACACTCACTCTGTCCAAAAAGTCACTCACATCAGTCACATGCTTATAAATACATATTATTTTTTGCCCTTGTCACTGTGTTAAATCTTTCGTCGTTTCGCCTTTGTTACTGCGAGGTTAAGCAATAGCTTTCTTTTCTTGCCTTCCTTGCATTGATTAACAAAATTTTATGTGTGGCCCCGTCACTGGCCCAGCTAGATGTCTGAAGTTGGTTATATGGCCCACTGACAAAAAATGTTGTACACCCATGGGGTCATTTAATCAATCTTCACAAATATAAATCTAATCCCAATTCATTATTTATTCGATTTAACATATTCAAATATAATATTTCAGGAGATAGTCAACATACATCCTTGCAATTTTTGGCAATTTAGTTGTTTCTTTTAAATATCAACACATTTTTTTTGTTTAGGTAAAACTACTTTAATAAAAGCACTTACTAAATCTGAGAGACTTGAACCAAAGAATCATTTATTTGCAACATTAGATGTTACAACTCACTCAGCATTATCTTGTGGTAACTTAAGGTAAGATGGCAACGATAACTAATGTTCATGATGCATGGCAATCATGATTCTGTATATTTGAATACATTGTTGTAAAAAAAGTTCTTGATCAACTCCATTAATTAATAGGAATTCGCCAAGTAATATCAGTGTCGTGATATGGTGAAAATTTTCATTATTTTCGCTGGTTTTTGCAAAAAACTAATTGCCAAGCTTGAACCATCTAGGTTATTCTCATGTAAAACAAATTATCTCAAATTATTTTTTCTGAAAAGTTTTTAGTGTCGCGGGCCACTTTCACGCGGGGGAATTCATTGCGGGCCGCAAACGTTTTAACCAAACTCAAATAGCAACCCAATTCCGATTTACGTTAGAATTTGAGCGTCGCTAAATCAAACGCGCCTGGATTGCACAAAAATTTTGCGGATTTCTGAGCACAAGATGCACACAAAGACCATGGACCATGAAATTCAACTCATTTTTTATGAAAAATGCACATACATTGGCGTAAATAATCAAAAAAATAAATAAATATGAAGTCAGCAATTTTTCTCTTCAACTAGTTCGAAACTGGCTTTTGATTGTCATTGCACAACTGTTTAATATCAACGTGTAGTTTTGATACTGCCAAATGTAACTAACTGGCTTGTCAAATTTTCGTTCGTCAGCGTACTTCTAGGCTTCGACTTCATAATTTTTAAAATATAAGACTTCAAGCTCGAAACAGATTTACGGCATATTAGGCATACATCGTTGTCTTACAACTCTTTCCAATCCTTTTGATATTTCTGATTTAAATCCTCAAGTGACTTCAACCTTGACTCCACAATGGGTAGAAAAACCCATTGTATCGCCACAGGTGTCACACGCTTGAGTGGCCTTTGTGGAATCATGTTTTGTAGCGCATAACAACGCTTTCCATATGGCGGAGTCACGTGAAATTATAGCCCAAATTATGGTAAGATTTGATATCATACCAGGAAATTTATGTTAAATATGTTTATATGTCGGTATTTATATAAAAACTACACGTGGGTCGCACAAATTCTATCTGTGGGCCACATGCGGCTCGCGGGTTAGACATCCCTGTTTTAGAGAAAACACAAGAAGAACCAACATTACCAAACTGGGGAGCAATTTGCTTCGGGCTTTGTATTTGCTCTAGTATTACGATTATAATATTCTTCAGTTCTTTATTATTATCATAATAATTATTTATGCAAACATTTTCAAACTGGTACTTAAACTGTACAAAAGTGGCTGTGCATAACACTGACTCCAAATTAGGCGAAGGGAAGAATTTAACAACAAAGATTGGAAAATACAGAATAACCCCTTAATGAAACACCCTACAAAAAGTATACTGCTTGAAATGATTACTGACCTGATGAAAATAAACGCAACATATTATGCACATGTTTAGGATTTACAAATTTACTCATAAGAACATAAAAATTGGATAAGACTGCTCAGTAATATGGGGAACAGCAACTACCTGCCTGGTTACCAGTCTATGTATGTGTGGTATGTAAGAGTTATGAAAAAGCTTAGAGAAGTTTATTACTTCATGCTTACCTAATTATTTTTAAAAATTTTTATCTTTTAGATACTTATTAATCGACACTGTGGGATTTTTATCTGATTTACCTCATTCACTTATTGATGCTTTTAGTGCTACAATGGAGGATATGTTACAAGCTGTAAGTCTGATTTTCCTTGAAGATGTACTTTTTCACAGACTTAACAAGGTTTCATCTTTTTTTCAAAAAACATAAAAACAATTATATGAATTTTACATGCAGTTTAGAATAATAACAGGAGGGAGAAATGCTCAAATATGTAAACACGAAGGCCAAATTGAAATATTTTACTCAAAATGTTCCCCAAAAATATATCTTGGATGAAGCTGCAACTATGGAGCATTGTAACTTCTGAACTTACTAGTACCGGTACCCAAACTGTCCTAGCTTAACCTGGTCCTGTGATGATGATGATTCATGTCTATTGTGCCAGCGCGAATTAAATTACCAAATGCTTCGACAATCTTTTAACGGTAACCTAACGTACGTAGTTTACAGTAAGTCACCAGTAGCGTGAAGCTCTAGACTTTTGCGTAGCACGAAATCAAAATCGGAAGACTGTCGTTTCGTTGTGTTCTCATGAACAAAAATTGGATAAAATATCAAATCTTATGGGAATCATTAAAAATTTAGGATAAATAGAAGTAATAGCCTTTTAGCGATGACCGCGATATTCAACCACTGAAAATTTCAAAACAATTGGTCCAGCAATTAACGAGAAAAAAGATTAACGGAAAAATTCTAACATTACCTCTATTTTCAGGATATGATAATTCATGTGAGTGATATAAGTCATCCAGACTACAAAAATCAGAAGATGAATGTTTATAAAGTATTATCGGATCTCAATTTGCCGGAAAAACTACTAGAAAATATGATAGAAGTTCAAAATAAAATTGATTTATTGCCAGATACTCGAAATATTGAACAGTAAGTTATATAATTTTAATTGCATTTGTGTCTACATTGTGATTCGTCTAATTCTAATTTTCTAAGAGTTTGTTCATCCAGATTTTAGTATCCATATGTCGTGTCTAAGAAATGGTCAACTTTTGGTACAGGGTGATCCCCAAAAAAAACAGATCTGTCGGAACATAATTATGTACAGTAAGAGACTTTTGTGCAAAGCTTCCTTCCTAGTTTACTAAAACGTTTGGGTACAATCATAAACAATGGGAAATTTAAGTGTTAAATTAATTTCATGCATTTTTGCAGAATTGAGAAATTTATGGGTTCTGTTTTTTAGTCACCCTGTATGAATGCTGGTTCATGTTTTTATATTATTCAGACATCTGAATTTCAGTATGGTTTTTTCTTTATTCAATTAGTATCAAAATTGTTTATATTTGGTGGTCTCAATCTTATAGTCATCTCTGCTTGAGTGGATCCTCGTCGTTGGTTAAAGAAACTCCAGTAGATATATACAAAACTAGTGAAACAAGGAAATACTTTAACATACAATAAATTTTTGAATAGACTTCATTATTTTAAGACTAGTATTTTTATACATCGCTTATCATTGCCTTTCACTCCAAGCAAGGCACTATACCAGCTGCTTTTGATTGAAGGACAGCTATGGGGCGACATTGTCTATCAATTTTATTATAGCGTGGGTGAGGTGGGGGCTTCGTATTCGAACTCGAAAGGTGCAATCTGCAACACAATTAAGTTTTATCATTTAACCGTTACGCCAAAAGTTCAAATTGCGGAGAAATGATTTTGAGTTTGGGAACCACTGGTATACTACGAAAACTTTATTTGTACTTATGCTTTGCTACATTACAGAAAAGATTCTTCAATGCCAATTCTTAAAAATGAAGCTGCCTTTTCAAAACGTGGTAAAAAGCTGAAGCGCCACCACCTCTATCTTCAACCGTCATCTACATGTATGGTATCTGCCACAGAGGGGCCTGGTTTAGATGAATTGAATAAAATAATACACAATCGATTAGTAAAAGTTACTGGAAGTTCTTATTGTAGAATAAAAGTTCCGGCTGATGGTGACCATATGGATTGGTTTAATCAATATGCAAATGTGAATGATGTAAAAACTGATGGAGATTTTCATTTTATATTTGATGTTGTTATTTCTCAACCTATGCTTAATAAGTTTAAATCAAAATATAGTGTTTATGATATACTCTCAGGCGATGTATCGTAATTTTATGCATATAAAAAAAGTTGCACATAACATTACTGCGTTGTCATAATGTGGTATATGGTAATGTTCCCTGAATTAGAGCTTCCTTGGAAAAAATCTTTGCCAACATTATTTGATTCGCAGATAATTTTAATAACTTCTTGTGTTTTTTAATGAACCATATATATGCGTTACAGAGTACTAATAAATGGTTTTGTTTATTATCTGCATGAAGAACCAGTTTGGATCCGGGTAGCGCAGCATCCAAATAGTATAAGACGTTGTTGATTTATGAGAAAAATACGATATATCCAGGTTGTTGACATGCTATTTTAAAGGAAAACATACAATTGTAATTAGCATTGGTTGCAGTAACAAGAGATCATTTTGAGTCCCATTTATCTCGTGATTGACTAACCGCCAGCGATACTCTGACGACTACGACCTGTAAACCGATTCAGTAACTACTCAACGCTGAAAGAGAGGATAGTATTGAACAGTTGAATTGTGCTTAAGATAATGGCACTGCAATTATCAAAGTATTCAAACCACAGAGGTTTTATCAAGACTCCCTAAAGCTCTGACCTCAAGCAGCAGTGGCTATCCAGTAAGAAATATGCAATCATGTGCCGTATAACCTCTATTTATTGACCAGAAATAGGCAATGCATCTTTATTCCCTCTATTTTATTAACCAGGCAAAAGCAATGTAAACATTTATATGATACCACATTACTAAAAGAAAAAATATGAAATAAACCAAGTTGATATTGGATTTCTAACATGATAATTTTGTTAGAAAGGAATACTCGATAGAAATTTTGATGCCTTGACAATTTTTCACTCAGACTTGTAAATAATATTCTATGTAATACCGGATTTCAATTGCTGGTTTTGCAGTTATTTAGGTACAAATTAAGTAAAACATCTGAAAAATATCTATTGATGGCTTTATCGAGATATGGAGTAAACGAACAATAGAGTGGGAAATTAAGGTATTTTCCGCCCAGAATTAATTGTTAGTCCCAATAATATTTCTGTATCTGAATCTAAGCATTATTAATTCATATTAAAATCAGATTCAAAATCATATTCTTGGTCTTTGTCATCGTCACGGAAATCCATTGCAGACATGAGAGATTCTCCAAGTTTATCAGATAAAACATCAGCACGTTTCTTTTTCTTTTTGTTCTTTTTCATCATGTCCTTCAAACCTTTATTTGCTTGTATATTGCTGCCAGAACTTTGTAGTTCATCCGTTGCAGAGACGTGTCTGATTGCGGAATGTTTATCTCCTTCCGGTTTGGTTACTTCGACTTTTTTCTGTTTTGTGCTTCGCATAGTGATTTTTCCCATTTCTATGTCATCATCGCTTTCTTGCATTTCTTCAACATCGCTATCTTCTTCAATGTTTTCCTCGGTTTCCATGTGGCCGATTGATTCAAATACAACGCCTCCGGATAGTGATGGATTACCTCGAACGGCATTCAATGTTGCTAAATTATCAGATTCAAGTGACGCCCAATCGAATTCTTTCGCCATTTTTGAAACAATCTCAGCAGATACTTGTGATTTTCTCGATACATCTTCAGGTGGGTGTGTGTAGTAGCTTATCTTGCCACTGTTCCAGTCATTAAGCACTGATCTTGCTGCTTTGTTGACATTCGGAATACCACCTTTTTTCAATTTACCTTGCCGCCTTGCTAACTGTGATAAAAACTCATTTGTATTTTCGTAGTTACTAATATTATAATGCATGATCATCTGTTGTTTGTTGCATCTTTTCAAAATAGCGTCCACAGGTGTGACTGGATCTTCAATGCTTTCAACTCTGACGCAATTCCTTAAAACTGCCGTTGCCTCGTTCCCACTTGCCATTACGATTCCAGGACAATCCAAGATCTTGATATTCTTATCAATGTTCACAGGTTGTACGGATTTTGTAACCCCAGGAGTGGCTCCTACGTTACAAGCTTTAGCTCTCTTCAAACTGTTGATTATACTGCTCTTTCCAACATTTGGGAATCCAACAACCCCGACAGTGATGCTCGTTTTGATGTCGGCGTTCCGACAGTAATTACCTAACAATTTGAGGAGATTATCGGCACCGAGACATTTACTGGATTTCAGCAAGAGATCCTTGTTTAACTCGCGAACCGGAACTCGATTCTGACTCAAATTCTGTCTTTGTGACTGTGTACTTGCTTTAAAAGCAACTGTTGGAAACTCAGCTCGAAGATACTTGAGCCAAGCTTCCACATTCTCTTTGGGGACAAGGTCAATTTTGTTTAAAACTAGTATGATTCTTTTATTCAATCCAGAATCCAAGACAGCCTTCTCAACTTCAGCACATCTGCATCCTATTGGATCTCTGGCATCAACTACCTCTAAAATTACATCAGCAGATTCAATAACTTTTTTAAATTCTTTGTAATAAGCCCGCCGAGAGTTCTCGTGAACAAGATTCTTCGTTTCATTTGAATCTTTTCCTCCAAACTTGGATGAAATTTTTTCAAAATCTTTTTGCCTTTTCAATATGCCTTTCTGAAAACTTTCCAAGTCATTGCCCTCAATTTTAAGATCACGCTGTTTATTAAACATCTTTCGTCTTTCTTCTTTTTGTCGTTCTTTTTGCTCAGCTAGTCTTTGTTTTCGTATTTCTGCCTCTCTGAGAATTTCTTCCTTAAACGGACAGTCATTCGGAATACCAGGATCTTTCTTTTTTGCTCCTTTTCCGTTTTTCTTGCTTTCCTTACGAGCTTTTCGGTGATGTTCCTTGACCCTCTTTTGTATTTTAAATTTCAGTCGACATGTCATTCGTTTGCTTGCCTTTTTTAGTTTAGGACGCTTCATTATTGAATAATATAGTCCTGTAAATGCATAGTTATAAAATACTGGAATAAAATGAATACCATGGCCAAATGATGTTTTGGCAAATGCAGAGCAACACTGCAACATGGCTCAATTATAAAGTATCAAAATATTATTACAATGTCACGTGGGTCAAACTTTCGAACATTATTAAATCATAGTTTTTATGGCCATAAAAAGAGACTTGTTTTCACGAAAATTATCAGGCACTCAAGGCCAGTGTTCCCTCTAAGGTGTGCGCGCGCACACAGCTTTCAGAGGCTGCGCCCACGCATAGATTTACTGTGCACAGAAGTATTTTGATGTAATATAACAATGTGCTCGGTTGGCAGGTTGAGAAAATTTGTTGTTGGCCCACTTATTACCCGGTTAGAACGCCAAAATTTCTTCATTGGTTTTTGCACAAATATTAGTCATTTCAAAAAAGTTCGCACACACCAAAATTCTGCGCACACATACTATAAAAAAATTAGAGGGAACATTGCTCAAGGCGTAAAGCTATTTTATAATGATTGCACCATAGAGCCATGTTAAAAATCAAGGTTCGTTTGCATTGGAACTTTCAAGTTCATCTCCACTTCCAGACTTGGGTCTCCTGAAGTATGCGCCGTCAAGTACTTTTAGTGAGTGGGAGTAGCATAACGATTTTATTAATATAATATTTCTAACCCTCACCTTTGTACGTCCAGACGTCAACCAAAAATGACATTACATGCGATGTCATAATTGCGTCATAGAGCTTGCTAAAGTATAGCTACAATCGTCCAAAATGGCATCTGTGCCGACTATAATAAACTCACTAACGTCAGCGACTTCTCTGTTATCGGTATCGTTTCAAGGAGAAAACGAGAGAAATAGCTAGCTCGATTTCGGATGATTGTCTGCGCGACCATCTGTACAGCCGAAAGGGCTTTGGAGGGCTGTAGGCCTATTACGACACTGCGAATTTGCAGTGATGTAATTTTCGAATGACGTAGTCAGGTGGGGGTTAGAAATGACATATGCAAAATTATTGAGCCAGGCCAACTAGAAGTATGTGCGGCGTGTACTTCAGGAGACCCCCAGACTTCGTCATAACGAAACAATTTAAGGAAATCATGACCTAACAGTACACTACCGAAATAGGTTTTTCCTTTTTTATTAACAAAATATGTATAAAATTACTACGATCGAGCCTAGTCTTTTATCGCATGCGCATTGTCTGATTGTGTATGAAAGTATTTCCAACCAGCATGGGTAAGCTGTATCCTGGTATCGGTAAGCTATTTGAAAGGGATCCTTATAATCCATAAATCTGTTCCTTCTTGGTTCTCTACTATTTTACCTCTAACATCAGAACATAAAAATAAAAACGTTAAGGCTATTGTTTCGTGTACGGTACCGGAATTCGACGTCAAGACTTGAAAAGACAACCTAAGACAGTAAGACAGGCTGAGCCAAACGGTACCAGTATTTGCATAACTGGAGGTTAGTGGATGTGTTAAATGCCTAGCTTACCCTAGCCATATTCTGACAAGTCCGTTACCGGTACATGTACCTAAAAAAACGAGGAAAACGATTACCGTTCAATTTCTAACTAAAACACGACACACGTGTGCGGAGGTGAATGGAGTCTTCAAAATGAGCAAAGTTCTAGGTCACAAATTTTCTGCATTCATTGCGAGGGAGAGGAAAATTGGGTAATAAAATAAAAATAATAATCTTTATTTTGATTTCCCCAAAAAACATACACATATATAACAAATAATGAACACATAAAACAAACACACAGAATAATGGGAAATCGGGAAAACAGGCAAAACCTCGAGTAGGGTTTAAAACACGTATAAATACATGTGCCTGTTCACCCATGATATTACAAAAAATCGTAACACATTAACAAAAATACTGTATATATCTTAACAATGTCGGCAAAACGCGCTTTTTTCAGGGTAGTCCACGTTACCGCTGATCGGTTACGGCTTCCTCCACCCAATGACATTAAACAACATGATGCGCAACTCCGGCATTTTTGTCCGAAGATCGTATTCGATAGCACGCTCCAATGCACATACTTGACGAGACGAAAACGAGCGGATGTGTGCTGCTTTCAAGGCGTAGCACGAATGGTGTTTGTGCCTGCTTCGACAGTTGTTGTCGATTTTAATGATATTTTGGAAAGTTAAGGTAAAAAGAAATCGGAAAAAGGTAAGGTAAATACTATTGTGGTATATCACACCCGGGCATCGCACTGTTAAGTACATGTGGGAAAGACAGCCTTTGTCAAATACTACGAAGTTATTAATTCAGTACGGTACGTAGTTGCCCATTTGCCAAAATTACATATTTACTTACCCCTTATGGTTTCAAATAGTTCATGCACCTCCAGTTAGATTCTTTTAATCAGTGAGGATATTTACTCATTGTTGATTGCTGCTCATTGTAATATACTATTGCGCATTCACTTATATTTGCGTTTTGAATCAAAGTGTTAACAAGTTCACCTAACATTTCACTCATACCGGTCTATCTTGTATAGTCTGATCTCTCAAGTATTTGGAGCCGCGAATGCTTGTAATTTTCTGACTAAACCTTTTATTAGTGGTTTATATACCAAATTCAGTAAAATATGAGATATTGGATTTATTAGCTTTTCCATTCTAAACATATAGACTGCTTTATTTATTCTTAACGAAAATTAATAAATCTCCTCTCTTTTTTCAGATGTGAAAGTTGTGGACAAACCTGTCTAAGCATTGTGAGACTCCTGCAGCACAAGAGGTAATAGTAAGTATATCAATCAAGAAATTAAGCCGACATAAAGCAAAACTTTCAACTATTCGTCTAATCTCAATTTCCTATTATTTATTCACAGGACAACTATAGCAGAAGGGGAGATATCAGAAGTCTGGCGACATATCAGTGACAGTGTGATTCCAAGAAATATAATTAGAGTACTCCATAAATGTTTGCAATAGAAAAACAACCTATGGAGGCATGCAAAGACATTTGACCCTCCGGTAGAGTTGTGTATGGCCCCCACATCCTGCAGGGCTTGAGGAAAAAAACTAAAACTTCCCAGCGTAAGATTGCATAAGCGGTCTTATTTGTAAAAAGGCACAAAACACGCCAGACATACTTAAAACAGCTTTGGAAAATGAGGATTACGGGTAACTCACTGCACCTGTGTTATATTTGGTTCATCAACTTTTGTTAGTACTATAGAAGAAATTACGGAAGGCGTATAATCATCATTCATGATAAAATACTATCATATATTTTTTGGACAACTTCAATCTAGACCAGGGATCTCAAACTCGCGTCCCCAGAGAACTTCCAGTGCGGCCCTCGAACGCTTAACAATAATTGTAATAGTATTTTGGAAGTTTTTTTTTATCTAAATGTAATAGATTTTTCAAACCTTTTAAAGTGAGATTGATTATCCACACAGAAAACAATTTACTGAAAGTAGTTTTGGAATATTAATTTTTTTTGTCCACATTTTGACCCAATTAAGAATACACATCAAGCTAGCAAAAGAATACTTGAATAAAACACTTGAGTGATTAAATCAAACGCAAAGTACATGAAGAAAGTGGCATTTTCGAAGAAAATGGGAGTTGCAATATTTCTGCTTTCCACAAAATTTTGAAGCACATTGTTTAATTTGTCATATTTCCATCAATACAATGAAAAAACACAATAAGCTCAGCAGTCAATATGACAAATTCGAAGACCAACTTCGAACAGAAAATTTCCATGTGTTTGTATATTAATATAATTATACAACGACTTGGTTACTAAAAATCAATATCAATAATAATTCAAGCAATCCTATGCCACGCAATGTGGTGCGAAATGTCTTGTCGAAAAAATCTGTCATTTTTTTTTACTGATCTATACATGAAATGATAAAAGTAACTTTTTTTGCATTACTGGAATTAATTAAACATTTGCAAAGATCCAGATTAACCCATGATCATGTGGCCTCGTTATTTAGAGTTGGTACTATAAAATCATTTCAGCCTGGCCTTAGTATGCTGGTGACATTTATGATTTTTTATAATAATTACAGTAACTTGCAAATGTTGCAATAATAGTGGAATGCAAATATCAATATGTAATTGCATTTGAAATTGAAGAAAATAATAAAACTTAATCCAACTGTTTAGTTGCATCACAATATATGTCACAAACTAAAACTATCTTAAAAATATCTTTCAAGTATACATTATCAAAAACTGTTTGCGGCCCTTTTTACAATTTCCAAATCGCAATGCGGCTCTCGAAAACCCATGAGTTTGAACCACTGATCTATTCTAGACGATTCAAGCATTGCTTTGGGAAATAATATCACTTCAATTAAATTGAAATAATCTTGCTATATTAAATACAAAATCGTTGCTATCATAAAGGTAAACCAATTCAGCCACTCGAAATATATTGGCCTTCACAAAGCAATGAAGGCAAAATTGAGAGTTCATGAGCTATGAACATTTGTTCTTTTCTTTGTCTTGAACTTTTCATACTCCACAGCCCCTATTAATTTTTTATAATTTTAATTACCATGTGATGGTCATACATATCTTTAACTTGTATTTTCTGTCATGATGTATTATCTCAATGTGCCAAACTATTAATTAGTGTGCATATTTTGCTTCCAGATGACATAAATGTATTGTCTTGTTTATTACCTCAGCTTGGAGTATTGACAAGAAAAAGGTGCCAGTAAATTAGGTAAAATTTTTTTAACTCTTTGTTATAATCAGAATTCACAATCAATAGGAATTATAAACAGCCAACAATCAATAAGAATTTTATGCGAAATCCCTCAGAATAAATTTGTCTAAAATCGAGAAAGGCAAAAATTATAGGTAGTTTCCACTTTCCATCCACACAAGCATTTCAAGAAGACTTGCTCGAGCCAAACTAAATGAGCATCGTCAGGTGATCGGTAAGGCTGCAAGTTGAATTCAGCCCTGCAACCTCCTGCATAGAAGATAATATTAATTAGTGGGCTATGAGCTAAATTCCTAAATTTAAACAAACCTATCTACGATGCATTATGTACCAGCAATGTTACCTACGATTAACTGAATATGTAATATGTCTAATAAATTCACCTACAAAAGCAAGTTCGATAGGTGCAAACTTTGTGTTATGGAATTGTATCACAGCACAGTTTTGTATGACACCCTCTTTAAATGAAATTTCAATGATTAAGCGCAAACATTAAAATTACTAACTTTGAACTTTGTCATTATCTGCAAAATGTTCCACACAAATCTTTCCGCTATCGCGTTTGTAATCTTCTCTGATAAAAAAAAACGTCTATGATGTCCAAAATTGCTCTTTACAGCTTGCCTGCCATTCCAGCTTTCCAAGTGAGCAAAACTTCTTAGATATAGAGATTATTTTGTTTCGTTACAGGCGCAAAAAGGCAGGTACTACACGTAAAAAAGACGCCGAGTAGCAAAAGCGAGCGGAAAACGGACGCGAAAGGCGACGAGAAATATGTGCATTGGAGCGTATCATGAAATACAATCCTTCGCCTATAGTCTTATGGAGTGACGTCAGAGTTGCCTATCATGTTGTTTAATGTCATTGCTCCACCATACAGTCCATGCTTCCAAATACAAATAAATACCGGTAACTAATCCCGTACCCGACATGGAATGGTAACAGCAGAGCCATTATATAATGGCTATGGTAACAGGACGAGAGACCCGTGGTTCCCCATATAGTTAAGCCATCTTATCGGCTTTCTTCTCCCCCGGGATAAATATGTAAATCCTATCTTATCCAAGCTAGACTTAGCCTAACCGCATTGAAAAACACTCTCCACTTGATCCACGCGGGTTCATATCACACAGCAATACTTTATGAGATCACACACTATACTCTCATTCGGATACTGTACCTAACATAACAAATAGCCGCCGAACTCTTCCTTATTACAGTCGTTATCGTATCCAGACATATATGCCGCCGAATTTCAATTGAATTCGATTTTTCAGCTTGTCAGCACTCCTATTTGTCAAACCAGCGCAGCACCGGTGTCCAACTCAAAACGCAGCAATAACATTGGCAGCAAATGTAATTTATTGTGACGAAACCAAACAGGACAGCATTTTTACACCCCTAATAAATCATAGATAAAGTTAATATGGACAACAATTCAAACAAAAAAATCACAATCTATTCAACAAGAACTAATTTTGAAGAATTTCACAAAATCAAAATCTGTGATATTGACAAAGAACATCCCAAAGAGAAAGTAAAGATTCAGAGTAACAATGTCTGTGTAGAACTACCGAAACATGGCAGTTGTCAATTAGAAAAGAAGAAGATATTCTAGAATGATTGATATATTTGAGCAGTTAATATTTGAAAATTATGATTGATTTATCACGAACATCAAAAAAAACAGCTAATATGTCGTGCAATGAGTTTCCAGGGGATACAAAAAACATAAGTATAAGTTTTGTAATTATTTCAACAAAATGAAGAAAAAATTTCCAACACCTGAACTTCCGTCTGTGTAACATTTTACCGCAAATTTTTCAGTTATCTTGGACGCTTTGCACAAAAGTAGTGTTCTCTTTAGAGAATGTTCCAACGTGATAGAAAAAAGATGTTGAAATATTTTTCATCATGATGATTGAATGATGTTGTGAACTTTGGAATTTGATCAATAACGTGAAATCTGAGCTCTGTCATTAAATCTTTTCAATGTTTTTTTAATATCTTTTTAAGTTGTACAGATTATCAGCATACAAATACCAACTGTTCTACTAATGTGTAACACAATTCATAATGACATGATATACATTTTTACTAATGAGTTACTGAAAATAAACTTAGAATCAGAAAATATATATACAACATTATCAAATGGATGTTACCCCAACCCGATTAATAGAAAATCAGATAGGTTACGGAGAAGGTACTGTTCTGAATCAAGTGAGAAGCTCAATCAATGTATTGATGCAACTGAGTGGATCTGAATCATCATAAGCGATAGATTTCAAATTTATAGGCTCTATGACTTCTTTGCTCGGATTTTCGTCTTTCCCAATTACACTTGATGGACCAGCTTTATTATTTTCTTCACTAATTGGATGAATGGCTTTAATTTTCTGCATTCCTGCAATCTTTTTCAATCTTGCACCTTGAAATTTGGGTGAATGAGGTTTAGTGACTTTCCTGGATCTGAAGTTAAAAAAAGTTTGGATTAGTTGGAAAGTTATGAGTACGAGTATGGCTCGGCGGTGTGGTGCATCATGCTTAGCATTGGGATTATTAAGTGCAAGGGGATTGCTGGACTCCTCGTCACCGCAGAGTGGTCCATGTAACCGCTGGCCGGTTACGGCTTCCTCCACCATCAAACCCATGCATCTGAAAACAATAACTGGCTAACTAATCCTATACATGACATGGACTGGTAACCAGACGAGAGGCTGTGGATCGTCATATGATTAAGCTGTTCAAATTGGATAACAGAATGTCATTATTGGATTTCCGCTTTAGGAGACCTGTATTATCAGTCGTTTTGTCTGTGTATCTGTCTGTGTCTGTTTAGATGTAGCGTCTTAACGACTGGACCAATCTGGATGAAATTTTCTATGTGGGTTGTCCTGCCACCCTAGTATTGTGCGTTTTATGGAAAGTTTGGATGGAGGTTTCGTTTCCATGGAAACAACGAAAAATGCGCCGATCGTTATGAAATTTCAATTTTTTTCACAATTTATCGCCGTTTTCGAAAGTCGAAAATTAAAATCCCAAGAACGCTATGTATGTATGTCATAATGCAGAGGACGGCAACCTTTTGTCGCTCACGGGCCAAAATTAGGGTTGCAACTTGCAACCTGCAAGTCATTGGCGGGCTGCATATATTTTTAGAAAGTAGAAAACCGAACGGATGATACTTTTTATAATAAAAATCAAGCAGTGATACATCTCTCGAATAGAATATAGATTTATTTTCTTAGTGAATTTTAAAAAATTCCATTTGAATATTTTCAGCGCCCTTGAACCCTTTGCACTCAGCATCAGCTTTTCTGCGTTTTTTTGCCATTTGTCTAATTATAATTAAATTATAGGCTCATTAAACGATGAACTATGTACTTGTTAGGTTATAATATAATTTAGTTTAAAAAATATAATCGTCAAAACGGCTGTTTTGTTACTATAATTTAGTGAAGCGTCACGGGCCGGATCTGGCTCGTAGGTTGCCGACCCCTGCCGTAATGTAAACATGTCAGTTGTTCATCGCTGAGTTGCCGAATGCGCCTACGCCTACCATTAGATGTAATTAATGCAGAAATACAAGTTGCGAACAAGTTTTAATTTGAAGCTTAGGATGGCGAGTGTTTAGCTTGAAATTAATATGGCCCACACACTACCGTCAATGTGCATATTTGGCCCAGTAGTACATTGCGGACTCCCGATTAACACGGTTAAGCCAAGCAACATCTCTCGTTTTAAATGGAAATAAAATGTGGGAGATATTTTTTCCCCATGCTGCACAATATATGGATAAAATAACATAACATCACTTTATAAATTGAAAATGTTATGAAATCAGAATTGCTTCGTAAAATCTTGATTCATGTCACCTACCTATGGAACGGAACATTAGTGTTCCAAGCGGTCCTCTGTGTCAGCAATGTCTGTCTCACTTTTGGTGGCGCAGCTGATATTCCTTCACTACCAAATAAATTTGAAACAATTTTTTTGGTAGATAGGTTTCTAGCGGGTTGTTTAGATGGGTCACAGTTTTCAGCATTTTTCTTATTCTGTTTTGATTTTGGTGTTGACGATCGCTTCATTTCCATGTTACAAATAAAACTTGTTTCTCTGGGTGAAATAAAAAAGAAATAGAATTTTTTATTTGACATGGAAACAAAATTGTGTGGACCTGCGCAAATTGAGATTGAGGCATCAAGCCAGAAGGGTGAAATTCGAAAAAAAACATATTTTTGAGAGAATGAGAAAAACGTATATTTTTGATTTTTAGACTTCTTATTGAAATACTTGAAGTAAATCTTGTTTCGAACGATCATCAAATACTATTTCCCTATACTATACCTATTTTATTGAAATCTAGTCGAATACCTTTTTTTGGAAATTTCAAAACTCGTCTCTCTGACTGAAAACCCTTGCATAGAAATACTATATTTCAAAAGAAATAAAATAATTCTTTTCAGAAATAAAATACTCGGGGTGAGGTACCGGTAATCGTTTGGGAATAGGACCCATGATATTTGACCTGTGGATCCCGGTGACCTGTGGATCCCAATATAGTTGCGACAAGCATGCTAACTGCATCCATCACAATTATTTACAAAATTTGACTACATTGAAGATACTTTAAATTACTACTAACTTTTTATCAAATTTTAAGTAAATATCTAGAGATCTTAATTACCTTGTCGAAACATCAAGAAAATTATGTTGACTGCTGCTCGTATGAGGTGCAGAAATGGCGGATGACAATGACAAATATCCAGTTGTATCTCTTTGTCTTTTGCGTCTACATTCCTCAGTTCTATGAGCCTGATAAAATGAGAAACATTGATTAAACCCATTCATGAATTGAAGTTTGATTTGGATAATAAATTTTTACACGTCTGTGGAATACATACATTCCATATATATCACCATAAACATCAATAAATCAAGAAGCTTCCTCATGTTATAACAAATGGTCCTTTAGTTCTGTTCAAAACTAAGTCGCCTGGAAAATTCCTTGGGTCGCTTGTTTTTTCATCAAAAAGCTAAAGTTACCGTTACTGATTTTATTTCCTAGTAAATTTTATTGTCTATTTCATATTTGATATTAAAGTGTTGAGCAACACTAATTATCAGATTGTATTAGTCATTTTGTGGCCATAAAAACTCTACATGCCATTTAGTATTTGAGCATATTCTAGAGTCACGATATTTTACCCAATTAATATTTTTTCCAATTCTGGTTACTTGAATAAAAGGTTGGGAACCACTGCTTAGTGTCTCAATGTAGTTGTGATGGTATAATTGCATTCAATTGTTACGCGCTACATACTGATAAGTGACTTGCCAAAGTAAGAGAGTTGTAGAATTGCTGCTCAGCATGCAGGGCAGGTAATAATTTATCGCCTTACGGAGTTGTACAGGTTAAGTTGTATTTCATGTATAATATCCACATGCTTATCTGTTGGACACAATAATGCTGGCATGGCGATGTTATATGATAGACCAGGGCTGGGGAGCCTGGGAACCCTTATATCCTAGTTTAAATCCCATCTTCATGAATCTCCATATGGGCTGATGTTCATCCACCTAACACCTAATAATGTCAATGGGCATGGCGTCGAAGCTGGGAGCCTAGCTATGGTGTGAAAAAAAGAAATCTCTGCGGTTGAAGCCATAGTTCAAATACACTACGGCTCCGGAGCTCCTGTAATTTCGAACCAGCTACTCAGCCCCGGTCAAGATGTTGCCGTAGAGAGCGGATTGGAAGGCACATACACATGGCATGCTTGAACACCTTGTTCGGTCACTCAAAGATGGGCTGAGCCACTAAAAGTCCCATATCAGAAAAGTTCACCATATTACCTTAGTTTTCATTTTGATCATCATCTCTTTATTGACATACCGTATCATATCAACAGATTTTGATTTTGATTTGAGAATCTGTGAGAGAAAAGGGGACACTGTTATCGAATTACATTTCGATGACAAAAATTTATTCGAAAAAAATAACAATAAAATTGCAGGCAAATATTACTTCATAATGAAGATTGCTTTAAATGTCCTCTTGAATATTTGTGCCAATTTGAGACTAAAATGACATGCAATATTTCAAAGTTTCAATTCGGCTATAGCCTATAGGGTTGATTTAGAATAATTACGTACGAAGAACCAACAATTGAGCAAATTTCATAGTATAACGGTAATTAAAACATCCTTCATAGAATTTCGCAAAACTGTAAAAACAGAAAGCCAATGGAATCTCTGTTTATCTGCAACTTTCTTGCATTTTCAGAATCAAAATCGACTTCATACGTGTTATTCCTAGGACATAACTCAATCCTGAACAAGTTTAATATTTGAAAATATTCTTTCAAGGTGTATTGAATTGAGTATAAAAGATTATTCGGCTCTAGCCATTTCCGTTTGAATGAAAAACCTATTGTATGAATAAAAAAGAGAATTACTCTTTCGTAAATATTCACAATTCCAAAATCCTTCCAAATCTAATCTTTGAGGTAACCGTATGAAACAGTAAAAGCATTATTCCTTACTTCAATATTTCTTTCATCTCTACAAAATTCTATAAGCACGGAGCAAGTTGCAGAAAACACTAATAATTGCACAGGATCTCGACCACTTTTATCGCGAAATCGAGGCAGCAGATTGACAAGAAGTTCTACTGGTGCGCTATCATGTTTGGGGTCGGTTGTGGCCATGATACGACATGTGTTGTGTCTTGTCGATGGATTCTAGAAAAAAAGAAGTACAATGGAATGGAAATGCTTAGGAAGGTGTGCATAAAGTATATGTACAATTTCGAATTTGTTCTCCAAATATCTTAACCAGGTTCATTTGAATTTAATCATTTTTTTATTTTGTTTTGAAAAAACGAAGAAAACGTATGTTTATGATTTTCAAACTTCTGTAACTTTTGATAAATAATTTAGTGAATATTGCTTCAAACGATGATTAGATACCAGCTTAAAGATCACCTATTTTTTGTAATTTTTTTCAAATGAATTGTTCTTTCAAATTTTTTAAATTTAGGGCATGTTTCAGGCATAGAATAATAAGCAAAAATCGATATTTTGATAATATATTTTATTTCTCTTGAATTTATTACCTGGACTAAGTTCAATAGAATATTGATAGAGAATTTATAGACAAAGGCTGCATGGATGCTTCTATTAGAATTCCCAATCAATTCACAAAGAACTTCGATTCCACCAGCATTTGAAATTCTTTCACAACAATAAGGCAGAAGATGTGACAATGAATCTAAGAAAAAAGAAGATTCTGAATGAAACAAAGTAGACAGACGCTCCTGAAAAAATTCAAATTCACTGAATTCCTCTGTATCTGAGCTCAATCAACCGGCAATTACAATAAGAAATTGTACTCTTAAAACAAAGAAAACTTGAAATATGTGGAAAAGGCTTCACTAAATATGAAATTTTTTTTCTCCAAAAATCAATGAACTTACATATATCTTCCAATGTAGCATAAACTTGGTCATATGCTTTTGAATCCAATAATGTTGACAATACAGAATCCATGCGATTTGATATTTTCCGATTCGGATTGTTACGTGCATGATGAAAAGCTAGCTCACATTTACGTCGGACACGAAGAACCTTATTATTTGTGATCGATTTCCGAACCAAATACCTATGATAAAAATGATGGAGCATATATACAGAGTAACACGAAGAAAAAAATTTCTCAAATTACTTCAACAAAAAATGAAGAAAATTTATTCAACGACTTCTGTTTGTGTATGTTTGTACCCAAAGTTTTAGTAGAATGCTTTGTATAAAAGTTATGTTCTGTCAGCTGGCTTATATTTTTTGTGGTCACCCTGTATTGTTTTATTATCAGCAGTCATATTAAAATAAGGGGATGGCAAATTGTAACTAAATTTGGAAAAAATCCTGAATTTTTATGAATTTTAAACAACATGAAATTTTGAAAAAAACTTTTGAGAAATATAATCCCATTTCTTTTGTTTAATTTTGCATGAAAATTATTATAAAATATAAAAGTTCATACAACTTTTTTGAATTGCAAAAAGAATTTATCGATATTATATTTAGTTTATTGGCCCCCACAGATGTATTAACCTGTTTCAGACGCCCAATCGAGCCCAATTTTGAATACCCATTTTTATTAATGTCATACGACCCCCAAAATTTACCCAATATACAATAATTATATACCATTGGAAAGGTATTTTAGAGTACTATACGCTAGATGTCACTGGAGGACCGTAAACTAAAACACCTCTTTCAAGAGGTCTCTCGTAACGTCAAAAAATAACAAAAATATTTACACTCTCTCATTCTATCAGCTGTTGGACGTCTATAGCTATTGTAAAGCTGAAATGTGACTATACAGTTGACTGCACATTGGTTTTCTCTTTCATATGATACTAAACGCTTTTCCATAGCGCGCGTCAATCAAGCGTTTTGGAAATTTTCCGTTTGAGAAGTCACCACATCGAATCAGGCCAGGCTAAGCTTGATAGATCGATCGGTTGTTTGTTTGTGCTTTATCGCGTTGAAAGCTTTTGTGAGTCATAATAAAACATTTATTATGAATCATAAAAGCTTATAATCGTCAGACAAGGAGAATTTGCGAGATAAAACGCCTAACTTTTTTTCGGTGAGGCAGCTGCGATCAAACGACTCGATATTTTTATAACTTCCTGACGTTGTGAGATGTCCACTCTCCTATGTTATGTAGCATATAAAATGACCTTATTGGTTAGCGCGCAACGCCAAGGTTTATGGAATCATTTTCTTGTTGTGCGACTTTTTTATATCGCAGCGGGAAGTACACGCGTGATATGTAAGCGAAATTTTATCACTTCTAAATGTCATATAAGGTTCATTCTCATATCGTTGTGTGGGGAATAAAGATTTCCTTTCAAGCAAGACCATAACAAACATTCCAGACCTCATGGTATACACACAGCATTGCAAAACGTCTGAAACGTCGCGCATGCGTCAGACCGGGAGGATTAGGTTAATAAACGAATTAAAAAAAATTAAAAGAAACAATGATTAAAATAAAACAAACCTGGTTGAGATATATTGAGAACTAATTTCATAACAAAATTTTAAAATTGTAACGTAATACCATGTATATTATGTCAGTAATTATGATGGTACATGCAAATATATACAGTTGATACCTTGGTAGATGAACGACTCAATACTAGAACGGTACTCAAACACACAAGCCCACTGCCGAGTGAGATGGTGTCACCCGAGCCACACATCTCGACTGCCTCTTGGCCATTCAACAAGAGAACGTTGCTCAAATATATGGACACTAAGACCAAAACGAAGTAGTACTGGTATGCAATCTGTCGCAGATTGTAATGTGCGAGATCGACTTAAAATAATTACTTTTGTTTCTTATGGAAAAATAAGTTTCGGTAGTCGAACACCAATCCGAAACAAATTATGTTCGACTACCAAGGTATCACTGTATTTATACATAAAATATGTATGGAAACATACCCTCTGTAAACTCTTTGAATTGTTAGAATAGCTTCTTTCTTGAGATGGAAATTCCTCATCTCCCTCTTCATCAAAGCTATATATCTCCATTTACTCTGAAGTATGATAGCTGCATGATTTTTCTTTCTTAGATCATCGACGGTTCGTTTTGCTACAAAACTTCTGAAAGCGCATTGCAATTTAATCGCAGCTTTACGTTTCTTTAAAACTTCATTTCTTTCTCTATTACGAAGCAAAACAGATTTCCAAATCCTTTGAATGAGCAATACTGCGTTTCTTCTCTTTTGCATTTTTGTTAGTTGACCTTTTGCGTAAAGGCATCGAAAGTGATTTTGAATAACAACAGCGGCCGTTTGTTGTCTCAAATATTCTCGCCTTTCTTTCTTCATTAGAAGAGTGCTTTTCCATCTTGTTTGAATAATTTTAACAGCATCAAGCACTTTTTTCATTTGTGCTTCTTTCACTTTAGCCTTATAACCTCTCCAGAAAGATTGAATACAAATCGTTGCCTTTTTCATCCGAATAAACTCATCTCTCGTTTTCCTCATTTCAACTGTGGCTCTCCATTTTGCTTGTATAACTTTTACACTTTGTTTCATCACAATGTATCGTCGTTTGGAGAAATGACATCTCCAAGCTGATTGTATATTAACAGCAGATAACTGTTTTGCTAAGAAATTTTCACGAGCTTCTTTCATTAGCGTTTTAGCTCTCCATATTTGCTGAATTGTTCGTGCGGCCTCAATCTGTTTTTGAATCTGCACGGCTCTTCTCGATGCTAAATGTTGTCTCCAGGCTCGTTGAATTATGATGGCGCATCTTTTTTTCTTGGTATAAACAGATCTGGTCGTTTTCATATATTTGTTAGCTCGCCATCTTCTTTGTATCACCAGGGCAGCTGACAGAATTTTGCCATCCTCTTTTTTAACTATAAAATTCCGCCAAGCGTTTTGAATAACAAGAACTGCTTTTTTAATTCCTAGGAATTCCTTTCTTTGTTTTTTCATGTGAATAATCGCTCTCCATCGATTTTGGATAATTAGCACTTTTTTCATCTTATACTGTAAAGCAGATAACTCTTTCTTAGCCAGGAAACATCTCCAGAAACATTGTATGGTTACAGCAGCCATTTTCATCTCGATAAACTGCTTTCTATATTGTTTCATAAGACGTGTAGCTTTCCATTTGTGTTGGATGACTGAAGCAGCATTCCATTGTTTCCTCATAAGCGCTAATTGTCTTCTAGCCAAAACACTTCTCCAGATGCTTTGTATTGCTACCGCGGCTTGTCTTTTTTCAATAAACGATATCTTATCAGCCCTCATCATTAAAGTAGCCCTCCATTTTGCTTGAATATAGCATGCAGCGATTCTTTGCTTTCTCATGTTCAAAACTTTCCGCTTAGCTAATATCGATCTGAAGATAGTCTGGATTATGATTGCTGCTTGTTTCTTTTCAATGAATTCCTTGCGCACTTTCCGCATAGCCAGAGTAGCTCGCCATTTCTGTTGGATGAATTTGGCAGCAGATAGTTCGTTTCTCATACTATCAACTTTTCGTGAGGCTAATACGCGTCTCCAATTGCATTGAATAGTAATGGCAGCTGCTTTTTTATCACAAAAAGCCTTGCGTTGCTTGTTTTTTATCAAAGTCGCTTTCCATTTTTCTTGTATGATTACAACTGCTTTAAAAAGTATAAAACGTTTCTTGCGTTCCAGTCTCGCTACATAGCATCTCCATGAACATTGAATAACAATAGCAGCTGATTTCATTTTTAAGAATCCATTTTTTACATCTTTCATGCAAAGTGTTGCTCTCCATTTTCTTTGTATTACGACAGCAGCATTGTGCCGTCGCACGAGTCGGGCACGCTCCTGAATAGCCAATACACGTCTCCACCAGCATTGAATTGTTAGGGTAGCAGTTTTCATTTCAACGTATTTTCTTTTGAGTTCTCTCATGTCAAGAGTTGCCTTCCAACGTTTTTGAATAACTTTAGCATAATACAGTTGCTTTCGAAGTACATGGAGTGTTTTTTTGGCTGAAAAACATCTCCAGGAACGTTGAATGACGCTGGCTGCATTTTTCATTGCAGAAAATCGCCTTTTTTCTTTTATCATAAAAATTGTAGTTTTACACCAGTTTTGAATGACTGATGCTGCTTTGGACCTTTTGCGTAGTTTTGCTAATTCTTTTTTAGCAATGTATACTCTCCAGAAACCCTGAATAGAAATAGCAGCATTCTTCTTATTCAAGAATACTGATCGTTCTTTTTTCATTTTGACGATTCCTTGCCATCTTTCTTGGATTATTTTTGCAACATTGTTTCTATTTCTCAATTCTTTCAACACCCTTTTAGCAAGTACACATCTATAAAAACACTGAATAATAATAGCAGATTTTTTCTTTTCCACATAAAGCATTTTTAGTTCTTTCATGGCCATAGTTGCTCTCCATTTTACTTGGATTATATTTACAGATATGAGCAATTTCTTTATACGAGCAAAAATTTTTTGAGCAAGTATTCGCCTCCATAACGACTGAATAATGACAATTGCATTTCTCTTTTTCATAAACTCGTTTCTTTCTTTTTTCATCAGAAGAGTAGCGCTCCATTTTTGTTGTAACAAAACAACAGCGTTGTATCGTTTCCGTAATTCTGAAAGTTGTGTCTTTGCTAAATAACATCTCCAAAAACATTGAATGACAATCGCAGATCTTTTCTTCAATACATACTCTTTCCTCTGTTTTATCATTAATACAGTAGCCCTCCATCTTCTTTGAATAACCAAAACTGCGTTTTTTCTGTCATATAATTTCTTGTACTTTTTTCTTGCTACATAACATCTAAAAGCACATTGTAGAACAGTCGTAGCTTCCTTTTTACACAAAAACTCTTTTCAGTTTTCTCATACAAAGAGTTGCTCTCCATTTCGCTTGAATCGTTTGAGTAGCTTTGAGTTCTTTGCGTAGAGACGATACTTTACGCTTAGCAAGTACACACCTCCAAGCGCATTGAATTGAAATAGCGCTACGTTTCAAAGTTAGAAAACTATTCCTTTCAATTCTCATTTCATTTGTAGCTTTCCATTTCTTTTGAATGACGCAAACAGCTTGCATACGACGTTTCAAAATCCTTTCGCAACGAGGCATCTCCAGAAACATTGAATTGTGATTACTGAATTTTTTATTCTCAAATATTCGAGTTTTTCTTCTCGCATTTGTAATGTTGCTCTCCATTTTCTTTGAATAACAATAGCAGCGTTATGTCTACATCTCAATGTTTCAAGTTCAGTTTTAGCAGCGAAAACTCTCCATGTGCACTGAATTGTGACCGCTGCCTTTTTCTTTTCCGTATATCGTTCTTTCTCTTTTTTCATGAGAAGTGTGGCTCTCCATTTTTTTTGTAACACGAGAGTTGCATTTTGTCTTTTTCTCAGTTTCATCAATTCGTTTCGCGCTACGTAACATCTCAAAGCACATTGTATAACAATAGCTGCAGTTATCTTTTGCAAAAATTCCTTTCTTTCACTTCTCATCAAAATTGTAGATTTCCATTTCTGTTGAATGTACAAAATTGCGGAATATTTCCTTCTCATATGCACTAACTTTATTCTGGCCATGAAACATCTCAAAGCACATTGAATCACAATAGCAGCTTTCTTCTTTTCCAAATAGTGTTTTCTTACGTTGCGCATTTCAAGAGTAGCTTTCCAATGTTTTTGAATTACAATTGAAGCACTCAATCGTTTTCTCAGCAAAGTCGCTCTTCTATTCGCCAAAATGCGTCTCCATGCACATTGAAATAAAATAGTAGCGTCTTTTATTTCGCAAAAATTTTTCTTTTGTTTTTTCATGGCAATATAAGCTTTCCATTGACGCTGTATTACTACAGCAGCCTTGTGTTGCTTTCGCAATTCCGTTGTTTTCGTTCTAGCTAGGAAACCTCTGAAAAAGCATTGAATTTTGATCGCGGATTTCTTCATTATCACATAATTTTGCCTCTCTTTTCTCATTTGGATAATGCTTCGCCATATTTGTTGAATAATCATCGCGGAAGATATTCGCTTTCTTAAAATTTTTACTTTTGTTTTGGCCAAGCACGACCTGAGACAACTTTGCATTAGAATAATGGACCTAAGCTTCGTACCATATTCCTTTTTCTGTTTTTCATCAGAAGTGTAGCTTTCCATCGGATTTGAATTACACGAGCGGCAGAACGACGTTTCCGCTTTTCATTTGCAACTTTTTTCGCAAGATAGCATCTCCATGCGCATTGTACTTTGACCGCAGAACTCTTTTTTAAAGCAAAAATTGACTTTTCTTTCTTCATTAAAATACGAGCCCTCCATCTCGTTTGAATAAGCGAAGCGGCAGATTGTATTTTTCGAATCTTTTCTACTTTCCGTTTAGCAAGAAAACATCTCCATGAGCATTGTATTACAATCGTAGCTTTTCTTATTGCAATGTAACGATTTCTTTCATTTTTCATCAGTAAATAAGCTTTCAAATAAGCTTGAATGATGAAAGCAGCTTTTTGTTGTTTTCTAACACGTTCGAGCGTTTTTCTCGCTAAGAAACATTTAACAGCGCATTGAATTTTGATTGTTGCAGATTTTTGAAGTAAATACTGTGATCTGAATTCTCGCATTAACAAGATTGCACGCCATTTTCTTTGGATGCAAACAACAGCATTTACTCGTTTGTTCGCAGCATATTGCCTGGGTAGAAAATAAAAAAATTCACAATATTAGTTTGATGGAAAAAAATTACAGAACCCCATTATGAAAACTCCTGGTTACGGCCCTAACAACAACGCAACATTTCGTTAATGGGAAAAAAATTGCAGTCCAGATCATATTTATGGTTCTTTTTTTGGAATTGGTCTAGGATATCTCCCCGGGCGGAACACCAAGAAAGTAGAAAATAAAATTGATACAAAAAAATCGTGTTTTCCAAAAAATTTAGCTTATGGTAAAACTAAAAAAAGTTAGCTTCAAACTTTACAATTAAAAAATTAGGCAATATCAACGATATCAAACGGTCAAGGAAAACACCATGAGTTCCAAGGGGCCTGTCTGACTGTTTGTCGCCAGTTGGGAGACAAATTCACAACCAGAGTCGTCGAAGTATGACCAAGATTGCCATGACGACCAATTTAGTCACAGTTTTGAGGAAGCTCGCAAAACACAGTTTGAGAAACGCTGGTCTAGAATGTTTAATATGGTCACAGGAGCACCAGATATCCTAGAATAGCCATGTCTAATATTATTCTCTATTTCACTAATTATAATCTAACCTGAAGACATTCTGAATCAAGATGGCTGCCTCTCTTTTAGTAGAGTATATAGCAACTTGCTTTCTCATTTCCAATGTCGCTCTCCATTGTATTTGGACTTTCATCACTGCAGATTTATAAGCTAAATATTCAGATCTTTGCGATCTTGCTGCTCGTAGATTTCGAAACCAATTTTGAATTATGATTGCACTTTTCTTCTTTTTAAGATAATCTTTCCGCATCACTGCACCTCGCCAATAATGTTGGATTTTCAAAGCAGCGGCAACACGTTCGATTTGTTCTTGTTTCAATTGTGCGACAAGTTTCATTGCCTTCTTTGCCCTGTAATTAGTACAATAAACTATTGAAGGAAAAATAATGACTTTAAGGGGATATAAGCCAATGATAACCCAATGATATAGAACTTGGATACAATGCAAATTCTGTATTTTCGGTTTCCATTAATTTTTATCTCGGAAAAATTGTATGGTTGTGTTTTACAAACTCTTGATGCCATTGATGTTGGGTGTCTGCGAGATTAACTGCTTATCCTTCTGCTATGCTTTTGTGCCGGTACATATATTACAAGGATGCTGTAGCAAGAGTAAAGATAACAATCCTAAGTGATTCAAGAGTCTTGCTGCACACTAACACAAATATTTTTCTGCAACGTTTTATCTGACTAATTGGTGGTTTCCGGAATCCCATTATGATCAAATGATTCATGCAAAAGAAAATGAAAACACCATGTGAAATACCATTATCACATAATGAATTCGGGTAGAACACGTAAATTTCAATGGAAAAAGTGCCTTTTCTGTGACCCTCTTGGGAGGACATAAGTTTCTGGTTGGGAGCAGCTTTTTTAGGTCATCTCAAGTGTTGCTTACACAGGTAGATTACGAGAAGTTTTTCAATAATTTCATTTTTATTTGTTAGCAAGTATCAGGTCAAGTATCAAGTAGCTTTTGTATTTGAGAGTAACCATTTACCTGTAGAGTGACTGAATTAAGATAACAGCAGATTTCAGTTTCAGAAACTCTTTTCTTTGTGGATGAATCATTTTTTTCATTCTCCATATTCTTTGTATTATCAGTGTGGCATCTTTGTATTGTTTGAATTGTTTTCTTTGCTTATATCTTTTATAATAAGCTTGTATGATGGACGCTGCTCTATTTCGTTTGAATCTCTCTTCCTCAGCGAGTCGCTTTTCTTCAAGAACTCTTTTTCGATACATGTAAGCTCGCCATGCAATTTGAATAGTACGAGCGGCTCTGAAAATGAAAAAATAGCAATATTTATCAAGTTGTGGGTTTTCACAAATATAAAAAGTACAGGGTGGCATAGTGGTCAAAGTGTTAGACTTCGCTGCGTGGCATCGCAATTTGAAATCTTGAGTTCAAATCCCATGCCTACCCCTCACCCATGGTGTAATAAATTGAGTAGGCAATGATTCAACAAAAAATTATGATCCTTCTAAATAATAGAAGATACTTATATATCGTTAGATATCGGTGTTTGGAGCAAAAGACGTGAATGGGTGTCGCATAAAAAAGCTGCTAGATATATATATCCTATACAAAAATTCTTTATTTCAGAAAACACAATGAAAATTACATAAGCAAAGTGGCGCTTTGCCATAAGCCAATACTGGTGGCATTAATGTTTAGGATCAGTGTGCCCCAACTTTTTTTGGCCACAGACCATTTCTGAAGCAAAATGAATTGCTATGAACTCAACATGCAAAAATAAAAAAAAGCTCATTTTAACAAAATTTGTTTGTTGAGGTAACCACTAAATACCATTTATCAATTAACATTTGTAAGTTGTAACAATCAATGGAAACTTTGAACTCATAAGCAGGGCTGTAAAGTCCTACTCCGTATTGAAGAAATTGCTACTTCTAGCTCCGAAAATCGATAGCTTACATAACTTTTGTGCAAAGCAGCCTGTGAGTGCAATCATAGACAAACAGGTGTTCAAGTGTTAAATAAATTTTCTCTATTTTCGTAGAAGGAATTAGGAAATTTATGGGTTCTGTTTTCTGTTGGGGTGTCGTAAGCCTGTATAAACAAAAAATAAAAAAATGTCGAATACAGAAATTTCTCAAATCTCACTTGTCCTCAATGCTGATATCGAGAAGTCGAGTACACAGAAACGAAACAAGAAGTTTTACAACTTTGTCATCTGGTATTGTATTGCAAATGTCATCCATTCGAAGCAGATTTGGAATTCCACCAATTTCATAGGCTGCGCTCTGCACAAGCTTCAAATTTGACTGGAAATAATGTAAAACGTGTTAAATAACATCTGGGGAATTGGAGCTACCAGGAATTTAGGAGCACCACATCAAATAGGGTAATCAACCCCATTATTTCGATTACCAATTTTGTGGGTGACATTTATTTTCGGAGAACGTGTATCAAATTTATATTAATTCATTGCTGTCGCTTCTGGTCCTCCAGAGAACAGCTCTATGGCACACCAAAGAGACCCAAGGCTGAGCCTAATCTAGGAGTTAAGAAGCTTGTCGATTCACATTAACGTGATTACTTGTTATGTTATATTAAAACTAACTAAATTTTGACTTCATGAACATTCTGTAGAACTTATATTCACATTTCTATGTAACGTTAAACATATACCGTATTTACCATAAGGCGCATTGTCAATATACTGCTCAGATTGGGTTCCCCTTTATCGCATTTGTCTGAGCACGCAACAGTTCTTAAAGCAATACCGTACTGCAGTGTTCACTATTAGCGCACTTTTTTGCGAAAATTGCGAAGCACTTTCGCAACTTTTTTTAGGGACTGCGAAATAGCACTTTTTTCCGATTTTGAAGAGAAATAGCACTTTTTTCCGATTTTGAATGGAATAAAAATTCAAAGTTAACAAATATTTTCGAGTATTAAGTTGACAAATAAGTAACATACTAGTACTTTTGTAACTCAATTCTGCATATCATAACGATATTTACCGGAATTCTAACCTATGAGATGCAGACATAGGAGATAAAGCTTTTGCATTAACGGCAAAATTCTTGTTTATAATATGATTATTATACAAGCACACCGATTCCGCTTCTCCCGCAAAAACGCTCCCCGTCTTTGAAACCAGATGTTGGAATACTACAGTGCTTTCTTTGAACGAAGTGGTCATGTGACTATCAATGATATTGAATTCAAAATGACTATAAAAGTGTTAGTAAGTGTTATAGTCACTTTGGATGAATTGTGACCAAAGTGCACGATTTTCAAATCAGACGAAACTTTTAGCAGCATGTCACAGATTTGCAAAATCACCAAATTCACAAAATACCATTAAGTGCCATTTTATTGTAATCACAATGTTGAAAGACGTGGCATTTTGCGATATTTACACAACTATTTCTCATTGATATGCGAGACGGGTGGGCAAAATTCAATATTTTTTGAATGAATATTTTTAAAGTAGGATAACAAATAAACGTGGTGGAAACATTAAAAAATCGGCAACAAAGCCTTTTTACTGGTTAATTCCGTTGTAATCGCTAATTGTTCTTGTCACCGATCGTTTTGGCGGCGATATCCAGGTTTTGTAATCTATATTCCCGCCCTCTCTTTTTTACAAATATGAATTCTTGCGGGTCGGCGGACATCGAAGTTTTATATTTCGGGTTTACCCGTTCGTTCACATCGGCAACAGCTGTTGAAGACATTGAGGACTCAAATTAACATTTGCGTTGGCTTTAATATTACCTATCAAGATTTGTAAATTTACGTCCCAATTTTATGCGAATGGTAATATTATTGTCCATACCGTGATGCAGATATTTATTAAGACGATAATTAACTTTCTCATGTTTTCTATGGTGATAAACTTCGCAAATCTGAAATTGTGCCAATCCTGAATGTTGATTTAAAATAGTGATTGAATAATTCGGCAATAAAGGCATTTCTGCGTGGTCATAAGACGAGATGACGTTAATGAACAGCACTTCTTTTACAGGATATTTTACGTATGCGACTTAATGCTAAAAAGATTGGCTCGAGTGCTTTTTTTTCGAGTGCTCGAGTGCCTAATAGAGGTCAGGCGCTAATTGTAACTAATTCCCTCAAGTTTCAACGTGTTTTCAACAAAACAATACCCCGGCGATAATTATAGCTAAAATGTTACCGAGCAATTCACAATTTTATTTATGGAATTTGCAAATTCACCAGTTTCTTGACGATTTGATAATGTCACGCCCTAATTATTAGTGCAAAAAATACTCCCCTTCTTCCGCGGCGGTTTGACGGGTTCTTTGTTCCATCTTCAGAAAGTTCTGACACGGGGATATAGAATACTGAATCCGGAGGGTTGAATCCCTGTCGACTTACTGGTGATTTTCCGTTTTGAATGCGTGAACATTCTCTATTTTAAATTAAATGACGTTTCGCGGGCTAGAGTTCTCCCCGAAAATGATGTGTCCAGACGTTAGTTAGACGATAGATAAAACATTAGATTAATATTTTCATGACGCCCCGTTTTCGAAAATACAAATTATATCGCAAAAAAATGCGTTATGATACATTTGGAATGAAACATTATTTACGGTTAATTCAGATCATATTTTACTCTTCATGACACCCGGTATCCGAAAATACAGTTGTATTCGAAAAATGTGTTTTGTTACATTTAAAATAAAACATTTTTGCGATTAATTTAGATCATATTTTACTTTTCAGGACACCCGTTTTCGAAAATACAAGGTTATATCGCAAAATGTGTTTTGTTACATTTAAAATAAAACATTTTTGCGATTAATTTAGATCAAATTTTACCTTTCACGGCAACCCGTTTCCGAAAATACAAAGTTATATCACAAAAAATGCGTTTTGTTACATTTATTTTGCATTCCCAATAAAATACATATTTTCCCTAATTAAGTCGTCGATGAATCTGTTCCTGTCGTTCAAGCTGACACACGTTTGGACGAGTGTGGGCGGTTTTTTGGTCGACGATAAATTAAAAAGTTGCCACACGTTATTAACGAAAAATTAGATTTTATAATAGAAGTGAATTTGTCTCAAGATGGTATTTTACGATTCTGCCCACAGAAAATAAACACGCTGACAGGCTTGGTTATAATTGATATTCGTTTAATTTATTTTACACTATTAATAAACGCGCCACACCAATTGCGCCATATAAATTGCAGTCGCATCGGTATGGACTGTATGTTTTTGGCGCTCTCACATTAATATAATTTTCAACAAAACAATACCCCGACGGTCATTAAAGCTGAATTCGTTACCGATAATTCACAATTTTATTTACGGAATTTGCAATTTCAAGATCTCACTTGACGATTTTGATGATGTCATGCCCTAATTATTACTGCTTAAATGCCTCAAAATACAACAAATGTAATCATTTTCGACGATAACAGGCGCAACAAAACGAAATTCGCGATTGTTACCTCTCTCTTGTTTACAATTTTAACATCCCGCCGGCCATGTATGGTCGAATAAAATGTTCACATATTCGAAACATGACTTGGCCAAGGATGGAAGGGATCACTAAAGAGCTAATAGAAAGTACATACGCGAGGGTATGATATTAATATCGAGAATATTTGTGAGCATATCACAGGACGGAAATATTTTGCACCCGGCTGTTTGTTGGCAGAACAACGATACGCTAAAGTTAATTGATCGAATACAGGGAAGTATTTATTTATCATCTCACTTGCGAACATCGAGGTTTTGGCGGAATTGTACGATCATGTTGTCTTTCTTAAATAATAACTTTTTCAATAAATGTTCATTTTACTTTTGCGTCTTTATTATATGTCGGGTTTTCATTAAATTTTAAATTCGAAATTGTCCGAAATACTCCAACAGGTGTATAAGTACAATAATAAAGTACTTACCAGGGAAGTTTAATACACACGATGTTAAGGGCGTCGTAACTCCCGTTTTTAATTTGATTTTACATTCTGCTTAAAAAACAACGTCGGCAGTCATCTAACGTAACTCTCGCGACCAAATCTTTTTTGTTTTGTATGGCATCGTCTTGGCGACGAATTTATTGCCGACTGAATTTTAATTGTGTTTTAGGATAAGTTATTTTCTGTTTGTTGGTTTCTAAACTTTACAAACTTGGGTAGCAATTACTATTAATGTGAGATTTGTGCATATGAACGATTGAATATCGCGACTGGATGTCCGATATCTGAGAATGCGTATATCAGCGTTCATGTGGTCGAATAAAAATTATTTATCAAATGGATTGGTATTTCGAGACACTCTCAAAATTATTTGGGATCCACTATCATATCATTCGTTTATTTTTTATATTCATGTTTTTTCAAGAATCACCCTCGTTATATTTCGTGTACCTTCGCAAAAGAAAACTCTTTGGTGTCATCGTTCCTATTAGTGTAATTGAAATATATGGAAACCTCGCAAGTGGCGTTGTGATGCGAATATTTGATACTAGGTCAGCAGCATTACAAAGAGTGCTATTTATGAATGCTGAAAGTACATGACATTACTAAACATTTTGCCAATATATGATGTTTTCTGCCTGATTTAAACTAACTCGCACGCAAACCAAGGCATGTCGACATTTAAAAATTACTTGTCTTTGGGTAAGCTCTGAAATAGTATAATATAAATGTAAATGAGAAATTAGGTCACGCTAGCTCACGAAAGGGGAGGATTTTCAAAGTGATCTTGTGTAATATTTCGGAGAAAAAAGTTTGAAAGGAAAGTAGGTCAACCTATCTCCTAAAACTTATTTTGCACGGGATTTGTACAAATGATTCACCCTGTAACTAATATGGTTTCCAGCCTACGTGTATCAATCGTTGTCTCTTAGATGGAAGGAGTAACAAATGTGAAAGCCTTTGCTGTTCACGCGAGTAAGCAACTGACACCCTGATACATTGCATGAAAGTTTTGTTCGCGCAAGTTTTAGCAGATGTTTTTTCCTTGCCGATGAATTCGCTTGTTTTAATTAAACATGAATTCGCTTAAAGGGAACTCGGTTAACGGAAAGGCTTCTCTTTAATTCATAATATTAACCGGAGGAGCGCTTTTTCGAGTATCTATGCCGTGTTAAATGGGTTATATGAAAGGCTAGAGCACCTAACTTGTTAAAATCGGCAAAAGCACTTTCGCACTTTTTTTTTCAACTGCGAAGCACTTTCGCACTCATAATTCGCTTAGAGTTAACACTGCCGTACTGGTTTTCGTGTGGAGACAGAAAAAAAAAAGCACTACCTGATCCATACATTAGGCACACAATCGATTTTTGAGAAAAATTGAAGATTTAAAGTGCGCTTTATAGTTTCGTAAAATACGGTAATTATGTAAAGAAAAAATACAAACCTTTTCATTTTTCATCAATTGTGCTCGATCAATTTCTTCCTCGATAACCATCGATTGTACGAAAGCAGAATCATCAAGCTAAAGTAGATACATAAAGCTATTAACAAGAATCGATAACAATTGAATTAGGATTTACAAATAGGATTTATATTTTAATCCCAGCAGAGAGGAAAGCCTATAACTTATAAGACATCTACTTAATATGGCGAATCACAAACTCTTGTCTGGTTACCAGTCCATGTTGGGTATGGAATTATTTAGCCAGTTATTTGTTTTCGGAAGCATGAACTTGTTGGTTGATTCATGGACTTCAGGAAGCCGTTACCACTGGTCTTGACCCACCTTGGGGCAGCGAAGAGTCCAACAATCCTCTCACACATATTTATCCCCTACAAAATTCGAACCCTAAACCACCAGGGCAGGGTAACCAGAGGCATGGTGGCATGCTTCCTAATGCTTAGCATGGTGCATCGCATCGCTGAGCATGAAACAGCAACAAATACATACCGTAGGATCAGGGTCACTTCTGCTCTGCATAGTTTTCATAAAAATTTGCGACGGAGAAATGAGATTCGACTGATAATAAGATATCAAGCAAGCCAGGACTCTGCCGTCGGAAAAAGAAGCTCCAAAGTTATGAACAGGGATTGATTTTAAAGCACAAACGAGCCGACACCATTCCAAAAGAAGAAAAGTGTTGTCATCAGATTTTGAAACACGAGATAAAAACCGGTCCTAAAATCCAAGAATAAATGAATTCGTATGATTCTACCGTATAATTTCTATACTATATCAAATTATTTTGTATGGACATTTTCAATGCTACTACTTGATAATAGTTTTTTTGTTGACTCAATATATTAATACACCTTTTGCTTCAAACAACGTATCGCAAATAAAGTCACTGTTTGGTAATAAGCTACTATAGTTCTAAGAAACCAAAATCTTTGCAGTTTGTCATTATCGAGCCAAATTATAGCATTCTGAGTGAGGTGGTGGGCATGGGATTTGTACCAGAGATTTTAACTGCGTTGGCATCATAGTTAAGTCTACCGCTTTAACCTCTAGGGGACTGCCTTACAAATAGTGGCTATTCATTTACAGCCTTGTTTTGATTAATTAGCACATAAAAAATGACTCTATCCATTTCACATTAGCAAATAAGTTATGACAATGGCCAACTATTATTATTAAATTCATATCTCACTTGTTCTTCATAAAAATTCCTCGTCTTTTCCATCATATGTTTTAATCGCAGGTTCTTTTTCAAATATTCGATTTCATCTCTCAGTTGAACTTTGTTGACACCTTTCTCGAGCTAAAATATTTGAAAAGAACCAAACAATTCATTGGTTAGTTGGCAATGGAACAATTTAGACTTGGGAGTAACATTTTGACCTCAGTACCGTATTTCAAAGACTATAAGGCACACCAGGTTACAGCATGCACCATCGATGAATTGCCTAGATTTGAGTTTTGTCCATACATAATACACACTCGACAATATGCAGTCGGTTCTGGGATTGCTTTCGTGCGTACGCAATGAGGCATAAAGCACACACCCTGATGCATATGCTTAAAAGGCGACAATCGATTTTTGAGAAATGAGGATTTTAAAGTTTGTCTCATGGTCCATAAGATGAAATAAGGTATTTGAAAAATACCTAGAGGGGCTAGTCGATTATTCACCCGACTTTTCAAAAGACATTTGTCAAAAAATAGAACTTGACCTAATTCAAAAAATTGCCTTGGGTTGGGTGAGATTCAAACACGGTATGAGACATTGTGATGATGAAAAATTTACTTCCCCAAAAATTTAACTAAAATTGAGTTGCAATATTAATTTTATATTACAAATCAATTTTGAAATGAACATTCTCAATTACGTCAAGCTAGCAGGACTTTTCGCAAACCTGAAAATATGAAGCAATATTCCATAGCAATGCTAATGTCATTTCGCAATGTCCTCTAACGACATGATCAGATTCAATTTTCTTCCCAGCACCATCATTCATGCTGACACCATGAGATTCGAGGGCTTTTAATGCAATCTAAATCCAAATAAATTTATAATTACAGACTATCCACTGCAACAACTAAAATGTATTATCACAAGTCAGGCTTATATACATTGCCATATTTTACGAGTTACAGATCTTGGGTCTGAACAAGGTTCTTGCAATAATAAAAATATCATTCATGGTAATAGTCATAGAGGTCATGCATGCTCACGGTAGAAAATAAAATACTGTAATTAAATTTTCTAGAAAAACAGAATTGAAAAATTCTATTTTTTCATTGAAAAAAGTAACACCCACGCATTGGGAAACAATAGTCTGTGATTTAATATGGGATTCTTTCATTTCATTTTTTGAACTGCTTCAGGGGGTGAATATGTAGGCCTATGGGGTGCTGTAAGGGTGCAAGGCCCTAAAGCAAAGTAACAAGTAGTAGAAACACATGGTACATACGTTTTGTCATTTAAATAAAACAAATCTATACAGTAGCGCAGCCAGAGAGAGGGTTAGTGGCCAATAGTGGGTTAAAACCCCCCTATTTTAAAATTTTGGGAAGACTGAAAGAAGTCGCTAATGACGCGTGCAATTTCATTTTGTTAAAATCTAAAAAACTTACTGCAACGTTGTGTTTCTTCTGAAATAAGCTTGTAGCAGGAACACGAAGTTTAGGTGTAAGATCATGCTGATGAAACAATAATTCAACAATTCGAACCAATCTCACTCCATCCCTGAAAAACAGAAAATAAAAGATTAGTTAGTCGGAAATGAACAAAAGTGCTACTATAATTATTTTACAAAGTAAATGCAGGCAGTTCTTGAATAAAGGCCCAGCCGCTTCTACGAAGCATTGTTCGAAGCGAGGGTGTGAAAACAGGAAATAAACATTAGGAACACACTCTGCATAAAACCCACTCACTGATATGTGTTCAAAAATACATTGATGGAACCATGCTAATGAATTCGAATATGCTTGACAATTGACATCACAACTCTGATTACCCTGCACGGATTTGCAGGATGATTATGGGTTATTATGTGTAAAAGGATTGTTAGACTGCTGGTATGCTACTATTTTATTGTCATTGCAATGAAGGCGCGAAAAAATCTTTTCAAGATTTCCCTCAAAAACGAAACATCTCACTGACAGTGAAAATTGGCTATTATTTGAAAAATCCAGCGTAAAGGTATTCGAATATTCAATTTGTTTTGGACAACACTAGTTACAACTTCTTCCATCCTTAGGTGAATGCAAATAAATAAGTGGCTAACTTATTCCTATACCCCACATGAACTGGTAACCGGACGAGTGGCCGTGGTGTGCCATATGACTAAGTCATCTTATCTCTTTTTCTCTCACTGGGTTAATTCTGTTGGTCTTAACCTATCCTAAGACTTACCTCAAATCAATGGCGATATTTTTGATACCAAATTCAAACTCATCAATAAATGTTTGGTTGTAATTCACTTTGTATCCAAGATAAGACAAATGTTTTACAATATCTCCTTCACCTTTCAACAGATCTCGTGAAAATGAATGAAGAATGTCCCGACAATTGCGAAATTTACTCTCTCTAAACAAAACAAATAAAGAGAATTCAACAACAGTATATCCATAGATTCTAGGTAGGTCTAATACATTTTATTAAATAAAATTTTGACGCATATAATTTGCTGCCTAAATTTTATCGAAAATTGATTATTTGTTTTTGGCAGAAATAAAAAAAGAATGAATCGAATCTTATGTATTGAAATACTGTAATGTAGTTTTGACTACGACAACCTTGGCGTTTGAAAGTCTTTTCAATTTAAACCTAAGAATTTTGTCTTCAGCTCCCACTTATGACTCTGCATTATGAAAATTACATGGGAACTGGCCGTAACTTCAGCATGTGGAATTCACCTCCTCGCAGCTGTTCTCTGATCCACTTACAGTCGACCAGTATTTAATTAATTTCTGAGTGAGTGCGTGTGACCCTTAGAGCTTTGGGCAAATTTCCTCGAAAAATTCCAAATATTAAAAAACTTAAGACTCCCACTAGAACTGACCACAGAACAGGTTTTAAAACAAGTGTTTGAAAATTTAACTTAAATAATACTGCAAAAAGGATTAATCCTGAATTTCTATCTATAAACCAATACACAAGAAGTATTAGAAAGGGATATGGTAAATACGTACTTTCGAAACAAACACGGATCATGGTCGATCAGACGTTTCTGTTTCGCTTGGTCAAGGAAATAGATTAAAATAAGAAATTTTTTCAGTGTATGCTTCGAGATTTTTTCTTTATACCTGTAGAGTATGATATACCAGATTTTAAATGAAACTAATTTACCTAAATATAGTCAAAAACTTGAATAAACAAAACCTGAATAAACTTGAATAAACAATACATAAGGCAAATCAGACTATAAGACGCAGCAATATCGGTACTGGTTTTGAATGTAGGCAATAAAGCATAAAGCACTACCCGATCCATACATTGGTCTGCTTATAAGGCAGACGATCGATTTCTGGAAAAAGGGGGTTTAAAGTGCGCCTTATGGTCCGAAAAATATGGTACACCAATAATATATGAGATTCTATAACAATTTTAAAAAGGTCATTTTTGCCCCAAAGAAATGAACTATTTTTTGTTCTTCTATCATTATAACCGTCGTCTTTCAGTCTGAGTTTCAAAGCTGTACCTGTTTCAGTTTTGATTTCAGTTAAAGATTATTGACAATTTTTAGGTTTGACTGTACAGATCTGAAAATTACGAAAATGTGTTTTTTTAAATCCTCAAAACACAAGCTGAATTGGTTCTACTGCGTCCAATCCAATTTATTGCTTATTTCTCACTTCGTTGATGTAGAGGCCGTATAGTGTTCATCAGAAATAATGTACAGGGTGTCCCAAAATAGATGAAACCCATTAATTCGATTACCAATTTTGCAGGTTTCATTTATTTTGGTACAAACAACATCCTATAAATTTACCCAGGTTTAAATGAGTGAGGAACAGTAGGATGAGCAAACTCCTCAGCAATCAGAGTACAATTGAGTAGCTTTTTAAGAACAAATTTGCCGAGTCCTACGATGTCAGTGTTGGCATGAATCGGTAATATTTCTCCGAAAACAACTTCTAAGCAAACTCGCAACCACAATGGATGAAAACTCAATATCAAATCCAAAACAAGAGTTTTGTTGCCTGTAACGAGAGTTGTGAACATTAAGTAATAAAACATAATATCCCCAATGAATTGTTCTGCTAGCTTTAGCAATTGCTCATTTCGTAATGATTAGAGACGCACATTTTATAAACCTGAGGTGTGCAACATATGGCCATTTATTTGTGAGTGCATAATCGGCATGAGCACAAAAGTAACTATTTCAGTACAAAGTACAAACTGATGTGAGTATTGAAAGTTTGGGTGCCTTTTGTTTACCTACACTAGAAGTGCCGAGTGTGCAACATTTTTTGTCGGTATGTCGTATAACCATTCAGACATTAGTTCTTTCCATGTACACAACGAAATAAAAAATTAGGGACAACCAAAGCGCTGCGAGAAAGGCAAGAGAAGAGAATGTGACTGTCGCTCATCCTTCCAGGCACCGGACATTACAGCGAAAGATTTAACACAGCGACATGAGTAAATATCATTACGGTATGTATTTTTACCCATGGGAGCGCCTTTTTAAAAATAAACTGTCGGATTAGGAGTTTATGCTTGATGGGGAAAAATCCGAGTGTTGACAAGGGGCCACATTAAATGGCTTGGCGAGCCTATACCTAATATATCATAACATTCCTAAAAATCGCTTACCAACGTCAGCCCACAGTCTTTTATCATCTCGTAACTTAACATGACCACTTTCAACGGCTTCCTCTACTTTTCGGACTACGTTTATCATCGATTCAGACTGGAAAAGTTGACACGCAGATCGTCTCAGTCTATCCAATCTAGATCTTATTCGAAATACTCGAAGCGAGGCAGTTTCTTTTGAAGGAGCTGGAACTGACTTATCTATGTTGTGAGTGAAAATATCCGAGTGTTGTAATGCTGGAATACAAAGTATAATAAAATATAAGATAAAAATTAAATAAACACTGATTGAAATGAAAAAAAATGGTTAATTAAGCTATATCCAGAACAGACCTTATAACAGGACATTATGAACACCCTGTGTCTTAGAATATCCGCTTTAGAAGACCATTAGAAATTTTAGTGAACATCATATCAAATATACAGTATACTACAGTACAGTATACAACTTAGGCAAGAATGTCTACGAAATGTGCAACGCTCAAAATGAACTGACAGTTTTGGTAACCCGCTCACCAAATCACGCCGCCGTTATAGATCCACAAGTTTGTATAGATGGTAATCGGTTACTTACTGCAGGCCCCAACTATCAGAGGAGATCCTGAGCGCCTACCGGCTTGTTCTTTTAGAAATGGTTATTTTTCAAGAAAAGGAGAAAGCATTCCCTGGCGCTCATTGGCTGTTATTTGTCGTCAAGTTCTGACAAATATTATGTACTTGTATTGTATACATTTGACACATTTATTCAATCATTTATTTTTTTTTCAATCCTACTTACTTTTATATTTGCCTTTAGAAGATGACAATGTATTATCTTTAGACTCGAGATCTGATTTAAATTCATCAGGTGTAAGAATATAGTTGAGCCATGTCATGTATGCATGTTCTTGTTTTTTTCTCCATTTTTCATCGTAATACATATTACCAGAAGCAAACGGCATACGAACAACCATTGTTGAAGATTCTGGTGTCTGTGTCAAGGTTTTGTTACTCGGTTTCAAAACAAGGCGAGTGATAGGTGCTGAAAAATAATTTGTATGCTTTACTTTTTTATACAGCGTTTTTCACGCGTTTATTTTTTCGATATTTTCTATGGCAATACATAATACGCACCTCATTATTCATTTCTGAACTTGAATTTCGGCATTAAACGTGCGTATTATACGCAGAGAAATACAGTACATTCAATTCTGAGAGTCTGTATCATTATGTGTATATTGTTTGAATTGAATATAATCAATATCTGGTATGATAAAATAGGCGTGTTTCTGTGAAAGACCTTCATGTCTTCACTTTTGAATTGGCATATTTTATGATAACTAATATAATCAAACATTAAGAAGAACACACAACAATTTGACAATATAATACCTTTCATTTTCAATCTTTTCATGGCAATTTTTTGTGCTTCATTCACAGATGATGACAAAGAACGTTTAGTCAGATGTTGTGAAGATGATTTCTCTTGTTTGATTTGCTTCGGTACCTTGTTCACACTGTTAACAATGTCAAAATATGTGAATGAAATTAACAAAAAAAGAAATATATTCGGCGACTCCTTTAGGTATAACCCAGTGACTTTCAACCGGTCATCCGCGGAACAATGTGGTGTTCTGTGAACGACCTTCAAGTGTTTCGCATAAATTTGTTGTTTCCAATTTTTTTCTGCTCAGCATATTCCATAATACCAAATTGAAAGAAATAGAAATCAAAAACTCTGAAATTCCATAATCTCTATTAAATGACATCATAACTTAGTTATTCATATCATATGCCGCATGTTATATCAATTACTCTTGACATGAGGGAGATATATTTGAGAAGAACAACTAACGGGGAAAAAAATGTGAGAACTGTTGAAGAAGAACTGAGTGTGTGTCGCGTCAATCACTGTCAAAGTAAGTGGCATGTTTTTTAAGTTTTTTTTGTAACACCCTAATATGAGGTTCACCAGGGGTGTGGAATCAAAGCTTGGGATGTTTTTTCTGTAATCTGAGCCAGAATCTGAGGAGAGTTAAAGTCAAAATTTCGAATTCCAAGAAGTTCGAATTGCAAACTTTAAATGACGATAAAATAGGTTAAAATTTTCGATTAAGAACTGAAAAGCATTAATTTTACTGAGCAGTAAGCATTCATCACAGTCTAATAGATAAAGCTAGTATATGTGACAGTTTTCATCATCAAAATTTTCCCAAGAGTTTGGGAGCAGGAGATGACATTTTGTATACCACACGGTAAAATAAGTATAAAGTTTTTCTTAACCCAAAGTTGAGTCCTGCATGACATGATTGTTTTCATCCTCAAATATCATTCAATTTTTTTATCATTACCTTGATCTACGCTTTTTAGCTGACGTACCAGCAGCCTTATGAATCGGCATTGTCTCACTTGCCCTCGCAGCTCTGAAACGCTGAAGTGCTCTTCCTTTAGGTGTTCCATAAGCACCTATAAAATAAAAATTGAAAAAATAAATTGTATAATAGAATTTTCGCTTGCCAAAAAATAAAATAATGAAAAAAAAAAACATAAATCTTACCACTGTTTCTTCGTACTCTGGTACCGGATGGTTTAGTTACTGTAGTATCTGTACAATTTGAAGATAAAGAAGGTCTTCTTGACATTCCAACAGCCATTGACCGACGTTTGTTCTATTGAAAAAAAACTATTTCAAAATAAAATGTTTTTTATTGTATTTTCAGGTGATAAATAAAAAAAAAATTTTTTATGCCACATTCATTCATACCTTTCGCTCTGAACTAATATGGGAGAAGCTATTATTGGACACGAATTGTGCCTTCTGCTAATATGTTCTTGTTACTGATGGTATTTTTTATGAAAACAACACTTTTCTCATTTACTAATAGACCAAATTGCTTTGAAATTTTCTAATATATATGCTAATTTGGTACCGGTAGGTACGGTACGAGAAGTACTTTCCGGTTCGAAATTGCCTACCCAATTTATTACCCCGGATGAAATGGGATTTGAACCCAAGACTTCCATTGAAACTAACTTGGCTATATACAGTTTGAAGGAGGCATTAATTCAACTTTATTCTCAATTACGCTGTTTATGAGCAATCCTTGTGAAAAACTGCTAAATTTGGAAGGACATAATTTCTCCAGTTCGGCATTGATAATTCAATTTGTTACGGCAAGATTGGGTCCGAATTTGAAATTGTTTTTATTACAAGTTGTTAACTTTAGATATTTGAAATACCAACCAATGATGGAGAGAGTTTCGGTGATTTTCTTTTTCTACTTTTCATTGGAGAATGCAAAGATATAACAGATATATCAGGAACAGGCAATCCGACTAGAAAAAATAGAAGATTATTCATTTAACTATGAAGCAATAAACACTTACTTCCGAGTAAGTCTAAAATCTTGGTCAAATTCAGTTTATTTCTTTAGAATTTTCTTCTCTGCCGAAGATTTTAATATACCGATTATGTGTCTGTCTACCAAGTACCAACAATGTTTTTTAATTGAATTTGCCATGAGCAAGGTTTGCCATGAGCACAAAAGTGAGAGGGACACATCTTTGAGTGAAGGTATGTGCAAAAACTGAAACACCACGAGTTTCATACTATACTGATACTATATTAAAGTGGGTTACTCTTTGCGACTTTTCTTTTCAAAAAAGATTCTCACAATTTTTACTCAGAGTGGGTACTAGTGAATATGCTGTGAGTGAGGTTCTTTTACTTTTGACTCAAATTTGATTTTCCAGTGAGGTTTACATACTTTTGTATCTAAGCCAGTCCTTGCGACTTTGCTTTTTGAAAAAATTCTCACAATATTTACTCTGAGTGGGTACTAGTGTTCCTCACAATTTAGACTCTTTGAGTAGGTTTCTGATTGTAATTTTGTTATAAGCAAATAACAATATCTAAAAAAATCAAACCTGCTCCATCATGACTAGTACGATCGAGTGCTTGTGTGCTGCTGAGTCTTTCCGAAATCTCATCACTCGGTAAATTACTTGTTATATTGACATCAGTAGGATTATCTTCGGTGATTTCAATGTCAGGGATATCATGAGTAGAAGGGTTAACTTCAGTACAACAAGATTTGATATCTTCCAAACTGTCATCTTCTGGGCTTGAGTTGTCTAAAAAAAAATTTTCAGAAATAAAAATGTGTTAAACTAATTACGGTCGGTCGTTTTTGTAGGGGAGTATTTTTATGGGTGCGTTAATGATTCACTGGGAATGTTTAAATCAAACAAAATTCAGAAATAAAGGCTTGTTTCAAAATTTTTATTTATAAACTTGTTATTTTCTGAAGTTTGCATCACAAATTTTTTTTTTAAAGGATGTTATTCGTGCTTTCTGCCTCCAGTTAGACATTGCTTACCCAATTTTTTACCCACTGGGTGTAGTGGGGGCATGGGATTTGAATCAGATATATGTAATCTGCAATAGGCCATTGCGTCGCCAGAATACATTTTGATTTCAGTTAATTTGACTTGGCATGGAAATCAAAATATCAGTATGTGGCAAACTTTATGAACAGAAACCAAAATTTCAATACAAAAATACCTGGGTACATATTCCAGAGTGGACATAATTTTTAGGAAAACGTCCTAAATTACTATAAATTTTGGGTACAATCATATACAAAGAGAGTATTGAATAAATATTCATCATTCTCGTATACGTAATTAAGTAATTTATGGGCCCTACTTTTTTTTCTTGGTTGCATACTTTCTACTTCAAAATTTTCTGGTTTTGCAGTTGTGGGTCGTTTGATGACGGACAAAGCATAATCCAGCATGTTCACCTCTGTTTTCTCATCTGAAAATATCAGAAATTTTATAAATAATTCTGGAGAGGGATGGTTTGGGGAGTTGAGCCTTGACTATTATTCCTGTATATTAATATGAATATTGCCTAACAAAGAAGACAGTAGGACTTGATCATAAGCCTATCAAAAATCACACTTCAAGCCTGATCAGACTTTAAAAAAATCAATAATTTTTATTTAATTATCTTGTGATTTTGAAATATTATTGCAGGGCTTGGAAAAACCTAGATTAATAAAGTGTATTGTTATTTGTTAGCTGCAATAAACTAGGATACATAAGCCCAAACCTACATGGAATAGGTGAAAGAAAGAGCGCTCCAGAAGTGTGTGTACCAATATGGAAGTAACTAATTTTGTTCGCCTACTTTACATCGAGTTGTGTAAAGGAACTGGAACCTATGGACAAGGCGGTATATTCACTTAGCTGACGCAGACAGTTCCCGAACCGGTAATAGAAATAAAATAAGGAAAATAGGAATAAAATTATAGCCTAACCGTACCCTGGTACACACAGTACGGGAGTACTGAAAAAGTCTATATTTCTCACAAACCTTTTGCAATTACAGGCTCCTTTTTAGTGAAAGTACGTGACCTTCTGTGAGAACGAGGAGTGAGGTTTCCACTGCCTGTGATGAGTACAATATTTGTATTACAACCATTAATAAATATCATAATATAATCAGGCTAATAAAAAAATATGATAATTTGTCGTGCCAAACACAATTTTTTTTTTTGAATAATTAGGAATACGTATGGTTGCATTTTATGATGCATAACTATTTTGAAAATAAAATAATACAAGCACAAAAATAGTGAAGAGTTCAGTACTCAGTCTGTGCAAAGCAGTAGGCTACAATATAGCAAGTGTTCATAAAGCCATGTTAAAATTTCAAAATTTTGTCATAATGTACGGTAAGTGTTCAATATATTACAACCGGGTGTGTTTTATATCGATCAGAGTATATTTGAGTTTTCACTTCATTAACACCTTTCTATACCCACCATTAGTTGCACAAAAGAACATTAAAGTTTTTTCACCTAATTTATTACAGGACTTTATGAACACCCTGCATATTAGGTAGGTTTGTAAAATCGGTAAACAACCAAAAACTAAAGTCCAGCAATTTTGACAATCCAATTTCTCGTAAGTTCAATATTTTTATACAGTTCTTTATTAAACTTTGATAAACTTTCATACAAATTTAGTACAAGATGACAATGGCCTTGAAATGCAATGAAATCTTACCTAATTTTTGATTATTTGATGGTGTAAAAGGAGTTGACAACAATGGATTCAATATTTGTCTAGTTTGATTAGCAGCAGGTAAAATATAAGTAGGCCTGCCAGTCGTTTCTTGTTGTTTAAAGGGGGATGAAGGTCCAATAGAGTTACCAGCGATTGAAGAATCTGAGAAGTGTGAAGTAACAAATTTTTTTTTATTCGATTGGATAGTGGTTGGTGCATCTTGGTTAGGATTGGGAATACACTTGCCACCGCACCTCTGATTACCCTTACTAAGGGTTCGTAGGCTCGAATTTCGTGGGTGATTATTACACTGTTCAACTAAATGAAATATTTGTTTTCGGGATTTCTGCCTAGATTTCTTGTTAGCTTTTATTATGTACTTTAAAGAAAAAAACTCCAGACTTTTGGTTGTGGTGTACAAAAAAGTGACTCTGAAACTGGCTCTCGACTCACGGCTGGAGGACAAATCGAGAAAAAAAAAAAATTTGGACCAATTAACTTCGGTGAACACATAATTTCTCAACATAATTATCTGTTGACAATGTTTAGTCAACTAGATGCTATTTCGGTTCTTGAAACAAAGAGATTAAGATTCAGGCAAATTCAATATTCGTATTTTATTTCAAATTAATAAAAACATGACAAACTGTATATCTGTGGTGTTGTTTCCGATATTTGAATAAATAGAACTCACCAATATTGTATGTGATTTGATGTGGCTCAGGATGGTGATCAGTACTTTTGCTGACAACACTTTTATCTCTTGCCAAAGGACTTGGCGCAAGCGAATGATGCTCAATAACAGGGGCCTAAAAATGAACGGTTACGGCTACAATCAAAGATTTGTGTCAAGAAAAAAAAACCAACAATTTTTTGTTAAAAATACGGTAAATTACAGTTGGTTCAGTGCAATTATCACCAAAAAATATGAATAGTACAGTAATTTAAAATATGAGTTTTGCAGGTTATTTATCAGTTTTCAATTGTCCAACAAATATTATCCAAACAAATAGTTGTAAATGAATAACTTAATTAATAATTGTCATTATGTTTCTCGAGGAGCTTTGGTCTTGCATACACTGCGATAGACTAGGCTGCTAAAATTAGGTATCAGTACCTATAAGCTGCACATGATTGAAAAATTCTGATTAATTTCACCGTTTTAAACATGTAAATCAGTTCCTAAGCGCCAACATCCCAATACACTCTCAATATAAGCATAGAAAACTTTGAAATAGGAAACTATAGGAAGGGTCGAGGGTCAAGGAAACATCCATGATCGCAATCTTAGCTCAGACTCCAATCAAATATTACAGCTCTGTGAATCCGGCTCCATAGCACTGATTATATTACATTAAATCGTACTTACATCCAGACCGCTTGGTGATGTAGGTGCTGTAATGCTTCCACATGAATCTCTGGGATTATCACTAACAACATGAAAAGGTAGAAGAGCATTTCTCAAATTACTGAAGTCTTGTTTTTCTTCCAAAACAGGAAGAGTCACATCATCATTTTTCTGGAGGCCTGGAATAATAGTAGATATGAAAACTATGGATGATAAAATGGAATAATTTACCTTTTAAATAACAGGGTAACCCAAAAAAAGTACCCTCATAAATTTCTTTTACGAAGTGGAAGAAATTTTTGTCAACACTTAAAACATCTGTGCAATATTGTACTCAGTTTCAGTAACATAGGACCATTTTCACAAAAGTCATTATCTATCTTGAATGTGTCACAAATGATTGGTATTGTTTTTTTGGGGAGGGGGGGGGGGGGTAATAATAGATAAAGCACTACATGATTCATACATTTTTAAGAAAAAAAAACGGATTTTATCAAGTGTGTCTTATTATGGTCCATGAAACACGAAAGGTATTTGTAGTTGTACAGAAGACCAGAGATCAGTGGCCACAAGTGTTGAACATCTTTTAATTGCAAATTGTGGACATGCATCATAAAAGAGAACCAAAATATCAAGCATGCATATTATTTTCATCCTTTGGCAGTCAACCAAATCAATTGTTTTTCACTTACCAAACCTACATCAAGCCATACTAACATAAACCAGAAAACGTTCTCCATATCAGAGAGTAAATACAATGTATGTACGAATGAAAATATATTGTTTGATATAACTTACATTTTGTTTTATTTGAGCTTGGGCTACTTTGCGATACTAAAACACTGTCCTGACTAATTGATGTTCGTGAAGAAATGCTTTTTTGTGGATCTATATTCTCTGTATCACTGGAAAATAAAAATAAAAGTGTGCCTATGATTTTGTTGAAGGGATCTAGCTGTGAATCATTGACTTAGATCAGGGTGGTCCATAGTTGACGGCCTTGCGGGCCACACTATTATTTTGGTATTGTTCGCGGGCCACAATAGTGCCAAGAATATGTGAACATTGCAATACAAAACAAACACTTTTATTGTCCAAACACACTGGTCATTATTTTTCATTTATCCAGCTAAAACGTGCCAAAACTACCAAAAAACTTACTAAAACGTGCAAACATCGTACTATATCTACAGTTAGTGTAAGATTTCAAACTCTTCATAACGGAGAACATGTCGTTTCAGATTGTCACCGACACAATTTGCAGACATATTAAGCAATCATTGTGGCATTTTCCCTCCGATATCCAGTTAAATATCTGTTCGAATCGGTCAGCTTTCTTTTCAAACTCACGTTTACAAAATAACTGCAGATTGGTTGATTACCAAATTTGAGATATCGGAGGGTAATTACTCAATTTTCTGACATATAGGCAGCATTTTCTACTGTTTGGGCAGGAAAAAACACTCGACAGGAATTATATTGTTCGGCCATTGCATTAATGAGTAGTTATCAGGCATAGCCAACCTAGACTATGTAATAAATTCCTCATTCGATTTTTAGTTTTCTATCAAGCCTTTTTTGTTAGCATATATTCCCGACCAAAAAATAGAAAACCAGTTTACAATTTAGCCAAGCACAATATTCCACTTTGCTAGTTGCCTCAGCTAGCCCAAACACTGGTCAATTCAGTGACATTCATTGATAATGTAACATGTCAAAAGATTTTTCTGGTTATTTATATGACAAAACATCACCAAATGTGATTTTTTGTTAACCCTCGCGCAAATGCGACGCGGGCCACAGATGATGAAGCGGCGGGCCACATCTGGCCCGCGGGCCTTGGTTTGGACCACCCTGACTTAGATATTATCAGGCACACCAAATCAAGCCAAGTGCTAGGAATACGCTTGTCATCTGATTAACCAGAGCGGGTTCGCAAGTTTGAACCCCACGAGGAATAACTGTGCAAGAGAATTGTTGGATTTCATGTAGCAGTAGGGTGGTTCTCGTAACCGCTGGCTTAAAGCTGCTTTCACCATATGTATGAAACAAATAACAGGCTAACTATTTCCATACGCATGGACTGGTAACATAAGCCGTCCTATTGGCTTTCCTTTTCCCTAAAATAGATATGTACCGGTATATCTTATTCTTAGCATAGCCAACTGATTGAAAGCATATTACTTATAGTCTTGTAAGATTAAATATTATATCATGGGTCAGTTAAGATAGACATATATATGAAATTAGCATGGGATGAGCAATACCCACAGATCTAGTTCTATAGGCTAACATTGCCTAAAAGGAGTTTATTATGAATTAGCAAGTGAGAAAAAGTATCATATAACTCCTATAGCCTAACTTGATATTCTCCCATAAACAGTATGAAATTGAAAACATCTCAAAATGTAAAGCAACACTCACTTCATGGAACTCAATTTGCTCAAATCATTCTTAATACTTCTCCTCGGTAACTTTTTAGCGGCAGCTCCTCTTCTTGTTCTAGTTTTGACCTAAAGTCAATAATAAATTCGATACACAAATTCTTAATATATACCGGTATTTCCAATTTTCAAAAATGTTCTAAAACTGGGGTTCAAATAGTTTAGGGGTGATATTCTGTTTTTAATTATTTACAGAATGTTCCAGTTCTGAAACTGGGGTTCGAATAGTTTTAAGGGTGATATTCGTACTTATTAAGTTATTATTTTAAAATGTATTATACCGTATATTGGACATTTTTTTTCGAGTTTTGACTGAAATATAGAAAAAACTTCCATAACCATCTCTTATTAATTTCATCTAACAAGTTCTCCAACAGGTACCTTTTTCTTAGGTGATTCGGCATGTCCAATGATAAGAACATGTACTCGAAATCCAGAATCATACTTCATCATCACTAATTCTCTGCAATTTCCACTCTGTGTCGGCGTCCAAGTAATTTCCACATAATTGATTCCTTCTTCCCCTACATTGAAAGTTTCCTGTAATACGGGTGTTCATAAAGTGCTAAAAATGTTTAATTGTAAAGGGAATTCGATACAATGTATATAGTTTCTGCAGGTGTATTAAATGAAGGAAAAAAATTATTCGATTTTCAAAAGTTTAATCGAAGATTTTGAAATTTGTCAGTCTCATCTGACAAAAAAAAATTTTTATATGAAAAGGGTAATTTTTTTTTGTGTTTACTGTACAGGGAGTCCTCGACTATCGACGTTGTTCTGTTCTTGACACGCGGTGTAACCCGAATTTCAGTGTAAGTCAGAACATTATACATAAATTACTCTATACATATCGTACGATCAAACAAGTTACGAAAAAAAAAGCTTAAACAACCATGAATGGTGTATCATTGAAACTATGTACCATGTGACTGAAGCTCAGTGATTATTCGTCTAAATCATAATAGTTCGCAATTGTCCACATCATTTACGATGTAAATGACGAAACCCAATGAGCCCAAAGCACTGATTTTCTTGATCACAATGATCCAGTTTATTAAGGGCTTCAATATTACAGTATTATCTTTTATATTTCTATGGAGTGTGTTCGTAACCTCGAAACAGTGTAAGTCGGGACCGCCGTAACCCGAGGACTTACTGTATATATAAAACTTAAATTGGCTAGTTTTCTAGTTATTACCGTACTAATGTTTAAACAAAGTTCAAAAATATAAATAGGAATGATTCTTTCTTTTTTCGATTAAATTTTGAATAATTAGATTTTATTTAACAATATGATATCAGAATATATATGAAAAAGACAATTTCAAGGAATAAATACATATAAAAGTGTGGCCTCAAAAATGTACTGCCCAGTCATTCAACATTTGTGCCACTCTCTCCAAACTTACCCCGCATGTGTCCAATTTGTCCTATTTGTGTGTGGTTCAGACATGTGAGACAAGTGGGGGCACATAGAAAAGGACATTTTTGAAACACGCATTCAAGTGCATTATTTTAGAACAAACAGTCAATATCACCTGATCAATCGAGAAATTTTTCTTCCAAGGAAATTTTTCCACATTGACTTCCACTTCATAGTAGTTTGGATTTTCCACAACAAGTTTTCTTGTCACTGTTTTTCCTGTTTTCACAGTTCCAAAATCAACAATAGGTTTCGTTGAAAAATGGATCAGTTTTACCCTCGGAGGAGATGACTCAACCAAGACAGAACTCTGTAAAATTTAAATAGATTTTAAATATTCGACAATGAAATAAAGGAGAAATACAAAGACATGTCAAAATTCAAACCTCCAATTGCTGAATTGCCCGAAACAAAGAAACAACAGATTTACTGTTTATAATTAATTTTGAAATATTTTAACTGGAATAAAAGCTGGACATTCTGACATTTGATAGTCCAGTCACACTGGTCACTCGGTCGCAAATTTGTCTTCAGAGTGTCGAACTTTGGTGGTTTGTATAGCTTTAACCCCTAGTCGTAGAGAGTTAATTCGAGGTTTAGCGTGTAGAATAACGACTGAACGGGTACCGTAAAATAACGAGAAAAGATTAGCGGGTTAGAAATATTGGTTTGTGTTTTATAGCGGTTTGAACGAAATCGTCCACAGACTGGCTACAGCACCCTAGTTAAAGATTACCATCAAATACTAAATCAATTACAAATAAAGTTTTTTTGCGCACCTCGTTTTCATATCCTTCAGGTGTAAATGGTGTTGAATCAATCCATAATTTCCTTGGTTTCGGGATTGTTCCATCATTTTCTTTTCCCTGAATATCGTTCTGCATTCTTGCAGCCTAACGTTCAGAGAAATATGACACTTCCACCTTTTTCATTTACGCGTTTCCCCAAAATAGTGGGAGTAAACAATGTAGCACAAAATCAGTCTGCGATTCCACTTTCACACATTCAGAGCTCAGACATTACAAACAAGCAGGAAATTCAAAATGACCAATAAAACGCGGGTTCGCTCATTGCTGCCATCTCGCGATCGCAAAGTAAAATGTGAGTTTTGGATATCATCGAAAAATTTGGCAACATAACATATATCAACGACTAACATACCGGTTAGTTTTTTAAAACTTCCACTATGTGATCAAAAATATCAAGGCCAAATTCAATTAAGTAAGTAGTCGGTGATAACACACACGAAATTGCTAAAAAGCATTTCTTCCGCAAATGTTCGAAACGATTATGGATAGTGTGGTGACGTTCACCAGGCTTTCTAAACTTCTGGCCTGTGAATGGTTTACGGTTTCTTCCATCGACCTCACCCAAAACGAAAACTGACTTATTCATATAGGTTATATCACCTACTTATGCTGCGGTGGTAAGTATAAAGGGAATATCATAAACTGTAATTGTCTTCATATAATTTCCTGCGCTATTGCTGTTTTGATTAAGATGGGAATAGGCTACTTTAATTATTCTATAACTATACTAATAGTCTTATGCTTCGCCTGCCTGTACTGATGACCAAGATCGGAGTACCATAGAAAACATCCTTCTTCTACATTCTGTATATTATTGAAACATCGTATAATATACCAGGCATAGAGTATGGATTCTTCCAAGCGACCAAAACCTGGATCGCCTAGCACATCACAGGAGGAAGACAGCACACTCATGGCAGTGATCACCAACACCATTCTTCGCCAAGTATTAATACAATTGCCCTCAATGATTGATGAATGCTTGACAACCAAACCATCACCATCCAGTCAATCGGATTCTTCTAAAGTCGCAACGTCTAGTTTTGAACACATCTTGAGTTCCCTGGATTCTTCAATGAAAGAAATGCGAAGCGAGCTCGGTGTGATAGCCAAAATTCAGAGTGACCTTGGAGAAAGTCAAAAATTCTTGTCAGATAAATTTGACTCTATTAATAAAACACTTAAATCCACACAAGACATGGTTAAAAAGCAGCAAAAAAAGATTCAAGATCTAGAAGAACTAGTGGAGGAGCTCGAAGATGAATGTGATGACCTGGAAGCTCGCGTCGAAGATCAAGAAAGAAGATCTCGACTAGAATGTCTCGAGTTTCACGGTATCACTTATAAAAAAAATGAAAACACCGACTTGCTTGTATGCAAACTGTCCAAGTTAATTGGAGTGACCATAACAACTGCAGACATTTATAATTCACACAGACTAGCTTATGACAACTCAGAAAAATCTTCTGCAATAATTGCTCGATTCACATCGAGGAGAGTCCGAACCAACATAATTAAAAGCCGGAAAAACCTGAGAACAGCAAAAGATCCAAATAATTTTTTCAACTTCAACAAAATATTCATAGTGGAGAACCTAACTAAAACAGCAAGATCATTGTATTTCCAAGCAAGGGAGCGAAAAAGACAATGTGGTTACAAATATCTATGGACTAGTAATGGCAAAATTTTTGTCAAGAAAAATGACGATACTAACGCAAGACAAATCAGAAATGAAAATGATCTATCATTCATCAAATAGGTCAGTTGCTATATTATTTTACTAGCAAATATTCATGATGGTATTCCCTTAACCTAGATGCCCAATAACTGTAATTTTGTTTGCAACAGTATCGAAGTTTCAAAATTGAATTCCATTTGTACGTCTACTGATCTGATTATTTTTCATATGAATATTCGTTCTATCCATAAAAATCTCGATCAATTAACTTTTCTGTTATCGCACTTGTCCGTACCCCCACACATAATAGCTATAAGCGAAACCAAACTAGTTAATAATTTTTCCTCTAACATAGGCATTGATGGATATAACTTTATCCACGCACCATCTGCTACTAGAGCAGGAGGTGTAGGCGCCTATATCAGAAACGATATTACGTTTACTGTAACCGTAGAAAATAGCGTTCAATATCCTAACTGCGAAAACTTATGGTTTGAAATTGTTTTAGAAAATGCCACTGACAAACTGGTAATTGGTGTCATTTACAAACACCCACGCAACGATATTTCTGATTTTACGAACATATTCGAACCATCCCTGGCCAAATTGGCTAATAAAAAATTTCTCATTGTAGGTGACTTCAATATTAATTTATTTTCAGCTGTTATCAATACTCAAATTATGAACTATATCAATATGCTTGTGTCACACAATGCTATTTCTATAATATCTGAAGCCACAAGGGTCAGCCCCACCTCAGCCACCCTTATTGACCACATGTATACCAATTTAACGCACTTAAAAATAGAATCTTATGTTGTTCTTTCTGACGTAACCGATCATTATCCCATCCTTTGCTGTTTAAGTGGCATCAAACCTATAAAAACGAATGAGTGTATATTGTCAAGGGATATGTCAAGGTTCTCAATTGATGCCTTTCGATCTGAAGTTCAAAACAGCATAAATAATCGATTTGCCACAATTAGTTTAAACGCTGAGAACTTTGACAGCATATTTGATGAATTCATACAGTCATTCGTTAGTACCATCGATCGGCATGCCCCACTTCGACAACTTTCACGTCGGCAAAAACGGTTAAGGTTAAAGCCATGGCTAACCAAAGGGTTGATCAATTGTACGAGACATAGAAATAAGTTATTTAAAACCCATTTTTTATGTGGCAACCCTCTGCAACGGTCATACTTTAAGAAGTATCGAAACACACTTACTTCCGCATTAGAAAAAGCGAAGCAAATTCACTACCAAAATCTTATCTCTCAGAACAAGGGCAATCCAAGGTATACATGGCAAATTATAAACCAACTTACAACCACAAAAAATAACTCAAATAAACAAATAATTCAGGAAATCTGTCTTGAAAATGGCAGTATACTGAAAGACGGTTGCTTAATCGCGGCTGAATTCAATAAGTATTTTTCTACGGTCGGATCTAACTTGGCAGCCAAGTTTTCCAATGATATGTGTGACTTTAGGCCATTTCTTTGTAACCGTGTTAGTAAATCCATTTTCATGACTTTGGCCACTGAATCCGAATTGATGATGGAAATTCTGAATTTGAAGGAAAGAAAGGCAGTTGGCCCGGATAACATCCCACCTCGCTTCCTAAAATTCGTTGCTGAACTGCTCGCGCCTTTTCTCGTGAAATTGTTCAACTGCTCCCTCGCATTTGGAATCTTCCCTTCATCACTCAAAGTCGCTCGAGTGATACCGCTCTTCAAATCTGGTAACAAAAAAATTGTTTCAAACTATAGGCCAATTTCTATCCTCTCTTCAATTAATAAAATATTTGAACGTCTAATTCACATTAGGTTGACCAATTTTTTCACAAAACATAATGTAATAAACAAACACCAATTTGGCTTCCAAAACAATCAGTCCACATCACACGCAATTTTAGATACAATTTCTTATATCTATGACAAATTAGAAAGGAAAGAATTTGTGAGTGCAATTTTTGTCGATCTGAAGAAGGCTTTTGACACTGTCAATCATGATATCCTAATGAACAAGTTGTGGCATTATGGCGTCAGGGGATTACCTAATAAACTCCTCCATAGTTATTTAAGTGATCGAACTCAATACGTTCAAGTAGGAAACTACTGCTCGTGCGTCTTACCTGTGACACACGGGGTCCCACAAGGATCTAATTTGGGGCCTTTATTATTTTTGATCTACATCAACGATCTCGCCCATTGTTCATCATTCTTCTCAAAATTATTCGCGGATGACACCAATCTCCTCGATAGCGACAAATCTCTCCCTGCTCTTCATTCAAGAGTGAACTCTGAAATAGTAAAAGTAGCTAATTGGATGAAGGCTAATAAATTATCTATAAACGTCGACAAATCCAAAACTATGCTTATTTCACCAAATAAACATAAAACTCAAACCAAATTTTCGATTGATATTGGCAACACTAGATTAGAAAATGTAAGTTCTTACAAATATTTGGGCATATTTTTGGATAGCCAATTGAAATGGGATATTCACATAATGAACTTGGCTGCTAAACTATCTAGATCGGTTGGAATACTGTACAAACTTAGGCACTTTGTACCTGTAACAACTCTCCGTATGATTTACCATTCTCTATTCCAAACCCACATTCAATATGGCATTATTGCATGGGGTTCAGCCAATAGAACTCTATTACATCAAATCGAGATTATCCAAAATAGAGCCATCCGTGCTCTTTCTGGTAGTGGACGTCGCGAACAACTCAATCCAATCTACCATGAACTTCAAATTATAAAACTGACAGATATTCATAAAATAGAGGTACTGAAACTGATGCATCAACATCATAACAATAAACTCCCTGTCACATTTACTCATTATTTCTATAAGCAAAGTAATATTCATTCACATAGTACACGGTCTTCTACCCATGGTTCTTACTATGTGCATCGTTTCACCTCCAAACTAACACAAAATTCAATAAAATATTTAGGTGTTAAATTATGGAACTCTTTGGCTGATAGTATTCGAAACATGAATTACGATGCATACAAACAAGCATTGAAAAAGGTATACCTAGGCGGCTATATACTTGATCCGTCAGCTTTTCAAATAATATGATTTCCTTTCCTGGCGTATTGTATATATCAGTATATACGTTCATATAGTCTCCGTAACGTACGGCACCCTTCCGGTCTTGATGCCTCGCCCTGTTACCGGTACTGTGATGGGATATTGTTCCGTACAAATTCCGAGTTACTTGAATTCTTGCTGTTACCATATCCAGTTATTTTTTGTGTGATCCTACTCCACTAATAAAATGGTCCTTACGTTTCGTATCCAATATGCCTCAGTAGGCTACAACAACCAGCTTTTGATCGCTGCTAGCAACGAGCTTCATTCATTTCTTGTTACGGTCCATGAACGCACAGTTGAACCCCACGAGGGCGCTGTCGCGTGTATTATTACTCTGGTGGTATTTTGTGATTTTGTTTCTCTGTCAATTATGATTGATTAAATTTGTATAATTTTTTTTTGTCATTCCCTCTAAATCTCCAGCCCACAGGTGTCGCTGACTCGATGACTGTCACAGTCTTTCGCGACTCCTTATCTATTGCTATGAAATTGCTAAATTAATGTTTCAATTCAGGCATAGTATGTTGCCAGAGGCCTTTGACTTGTATTTTAGTGATTGTAGTTCTGTGCATTCTTATGGTACTCGTTCCGCTTCTAAGGGAGCATTTTTTATTTCACGAACAAATTCAAAATTTGCTCAAAATTCTATCAAATTCATAGGCCCTAAAATTTGGAATGATATCCCAGACATTCTAAAAACATTCTCGTACAAAAAATTTAAATTTGAGTTCATGAAATACATCATATCCAAATATTAAATGCAAAGTTTAAGTCCTCCAATTTCAATGGGATACTGATGTGGACATGTGTATAATATGCTTATTTTAACTTGTTCTCCATGTATTGGTTTAGTGGATTTACACATATGACTAGTGCCTGATAGTTCATAGTTATTAATTTAATAACTGTATACCTACTTCTGGGCCACCCTGTATGTGTCATTGTATAGTCCAACTATATGGCTAACAAATTGCAAGTCAATATGTTTTGAAACCTAGCTAGATCTTGGAATTATGTAGGATACATTTTTGTAGCATTTTGTGTTATTTATTCACTCTATTCTTTTTTCCAAACCAAGGTTCAAGATTTATCAATACTTGCTACATGCTCTTCATGTACGGCATCATATATATTTACATAGTGGCTTAGACATTCCTGAGATGTACACATACATGTGCAAATTTTAAATATGTGGTTATTATGCTTTTCAGTAGTCAATGACCTGGGCTAACTGGGTAAATCTGAAGGTGAGAACCTAAATGAATTTCATTATACAATCCAGTATTTCTAATTCATTTTAATAATTAGATGTGTAGTGTAATCAGAATTTCATATTGTGAATTTCATATTAAATCTCATATGTTATAGTTAAAAAAGCATGCACTGTTGAATGTGAATCACAATACCATTTCATTATAACAACCAGTTTACTTTTGACGATTCAAGAATTCATGGTTTGTCTAAAATTGATATTCATAACTTGTTTAATTGCATTAATATAATTGTTATATAAATTTCTTATTCTCTAATCATAAAACTCACTTGCTACATTCTAATATATTCCTCCACTCCTTAATTGCGGTTCATGCTACAATGGCTGGAAACTGGCCTCTTTTGGCCCTACAATTAGATTATAGTGTACTTGTATGTATTATTCTTGGTCTATCCTGCCAAATTAATCCATCGTTTTATGTATATTTCATTCCTGTCATTTATTATTCTGCAAACAATTCTAATCATTTTCTGATATCCCACCTATGCTCAACAATAGGTTTGATATTATATAATTACTGTTTCAATTACCATTATGTGGTTGTTATGGTTTATTTAATCACATTTATCGATATTGCAATAAATTATTAAATTTGGCAATTTTTTGATACCCCTACCACCAAAGTTTACGTTTGGGAGTAACCAAATTAATCCACTGTTTTATATATATCTCATGCATTATCATTTATCATTCTGCAAACATTTCCATTCATTTTCTGCTATCCTATCTATGCACAACATTAGGTCTGGTGTTATACCACCCTAGTAACCCCAAACTGCTCCGCTAAGTGACTTTTTAAATTCATGTGATGCTCCTCAATATAATTACATTGTCAATTACTGTTAAGCGGTTGTTATGGATTATTTATTTAACTGTGAGTGTGATTAAAATTTATCGATATGCGATATCTTAATAAATTTAACCATTTTTTTATACTACTACTACCAAAGTTTTCGTTTGGGGTAGACTATGAATTTTTGTAAGATTTGAAATGGTTTTTGGACTATTGTAACTGTCTCATCTTTGTCTTTAATAAATCATATCTGCTTAAATTTGCATATGTCTATTTATGTACTATTGTAGTATTATTTTTTTTATTTTTTCATAGTGTTAATATGATGTACTAATTAATTCTCATATATAGGCTCATTTAGAATTAAGTATCTATTTTGGAAATGCACTCCTCTTTTTCTACCATTAAATTAACTTAAAACAAAAACCACATTATGTTACTGTTATAAATGTGTCATTTTTCACAATAAATTCCCAACCCTGATTAGATGAATCCAAAATTTATCCTCGTTTTGTAAATAGTGTAAATAGTTCTCTATAAAGTGAGAGTTAAAAAAAAGAACCTGTGTCAATTTATGTATTTATTCATGTGTTGTATTGGGTGGTAACTGACTCAGATGACCGTAACTGGTCGTATCGTTACCTCCCAGTCATACCGAAAACTTTTGTTTCACTTATTATGTTATTATTATATTTAATATTATGTGTTTTCTGGTTGACGAAATAATAAATTCTCTCTCTCTCACTTGTATGAATTCTGATGTGTATATTTAATTTTTTACGATTGTCATTATACACGTTTGTCAATTTTTCGTGCTTTAAATTTTGTGTTAGTTCTTGCATGATAGAAATAAATTATCTGAATCTGAATCTGAATCTTTGAGGTCCTCCCTCAAATCACAACCCTTAAAACTCGAGTATAATATTCGTTGAATGACAACATTGTTAATCTGTATTTTTCATCGTGTTATCAGAAATATCTAAATAGAAACTTCAAATTGAACAACTACACGAAGTCGACATTCTCTTATGTAGCTTTACCGCCTGAGCTTTACCTATTATATATCAATGAAAAGGTAATACTACAGTATATTTGAATTTGAACAGATTGATTTTTGGAAATTTTAATGATTACGTGAAAGAATACAATTGACGTTATTAGATACCACTATAAATTTAAGTCATGCCAAAATTCCGTCATAATTAATATATGCCCTATATATGGTATGTCGAAACTTATAATACAATTAGGGCCCGCGGTCAAAGCTGTTAAACCTATTCCCACACGAACAAGAACCGGGAGGTCCTGGTCGACCACGTGCTCCTGGTGGACCGGTTGCACCATTTTTTCCAGCTGGGCCCTTGGGACCTATCGGACCAGTAGAGCCTTTAGGCCCCTGAATGCCAACACCAGGTGAACCCGTATTTCCTTTAGGTCCTTGAATGATTTTACCAACTTCTCCCTTGTCACCTTTTTGTCCAGTTGTTCCTGGATTTCCGTCAGCGCCATTTTCTCCCTCAGAACCGTCTATACCTGCAGGTCCCTGTATTCCTCTCGGCCCGGGTGTTCCTTTTTCCCCCTTTGCACCTGCCTTCCCTTCGACATTTGCAAGACTGGAAAATAAATCCAGTACTGATGATGGTTGGCAAATGATAGAATATTCATTATCTTGTTGCAAAGATACAACATTCAGTCCGGCAGCGGCTGCAATCGCAAGTAACTCAGAAGAAATCTCGGGACGGTCGCAGGATGGAAGTTGACAACCAGGCTTCGGTTTACATACCATTTTAATTTCGTTTTCTGCTGCTGCATACACAGATGTTGTAAGAAAAATAAACACAAATACTACCGACCTAAGCATAACTGTAGGAAGTCGACGTTGCACAAAGTTAATTAAATCACCTGCGCTCTGTAATATAACGTAAAATATGCATTTTAATCTAAGATAAATAATTATTACGTTATAACTAGCTGCTATGTTATGTTCTATCTACGTAGCTTACACCAATGTCTGAGCAAAACAAAAAGCACGAGTTATCCTCATGATTGACAGAGTTTAATCGTTTTATTGCTAGAAGACATTTCGTAAAATGCCAAACTGATGATGTTGCCTGGCCGCCCATAATCGTACCTGTGCATTGATTGGGCTGGCAGAAAAACACTTCTTGCAAACACAACAAATATTTTATTTGAATTTGATGGAATATTTGGTTCAAAATATCAAGTAAGAAACCTCGACGCCGGCCGGATCATGGAAGATGTGATATATATATGTAAATAAAAGCTTGAAAAGTGTGTTTTGTTTCGAATTCTGACCGAAGGGTTGGTCATTCTCGAATACCTGATGATTTCAGAATCAAATTGAATATATTTTCTATTCTAATCTCGATTACTTGGAACATTGGCGATTTTTTATTCTCCAGACTTCTAGATTAATAATAACGTAGAACCCTTTACTCCGACAAGATCACTGAGTGTTCACACACGATAAGAAACACGGTTTATCAATAAATTACTTGTAAAAATGGTCATCTGTCAGTTTGCATTTTAAAAATATGGCTTTAACAAATAAAAAATGACGGATTCAATACGACCTTTGGCAAACGGGAAAAAATATAAGATGGTTGCGATTCTAAATTTTCGTCTGAACCGATTCGAACAGCTAACTATTCGATTCAAAATGGCCAGCCCTACTGAAGACTGCCGACAACAAACAATTTATCCAAAAAACGGGGAGTTTTCTTGTATCCATACGTTTAATTCCCCAATATCAAAAGCATTTATTTAATCAATTTTCACCCTGGTAGAAAAGCAATAATCATACGCCAAAAACTCGTTAGTCACTAGTCGCTGTACCGTCGGTTTATCCAAATGTACATGAAAACTACCGGTAAATGCTTCCAGTTTTGAAATATTTCACACCCTACCACACGGAATAGAATCAGAGCAAAAAATTTTTATAACAACTGTAACCTGACTAGACTCCTAACACCCTCAATAGTTGACATCGCTTTGCAGCAAATTCCCCAATAACAACACCACACAGAACACAAAAAAGAGATCTATCGTGAGTGTATGCTTTTTATTATTTTAATGTGAAAATTCGTGATACATCTGAGGGTTTGATCTGTACATAAAGAGCAAGAGAAAAAAACAAACAGAAAGCTACTAGAAATGTTGGTCTGGACACAGATGAAAGAATCATTGATCATTTTGTCCAGGTGAATTAAATAATTTTCCTTTTCTGACGATGGAAATTTTTCAACTAGGGTTTCAGTTCAAGATATATTTGTTACACATCATGTGACAAAAATAGTTTAAAATTGATCTTCAATAATTTTGTTCTAATGATTTAGCAAGCCCTCTGGGCATTGGGGACTGTGGAGTAACAGGCATCACTCATAAATATGCCATTGATTAAACGTCACATATAATTAAAAATATGTAACATAATATACAGAGGGTGTTCATAAAGTCTCGTTACAATTTTAGTTTTGTTATGAATTCAGTTCTCAATATATCTTAAGCAGAATTGTTGATTTTGATCAGTGTTTAAGTTTTTTTTATTTAATACACCTGTTAGGCCAACAAAGTATATATGGTATCGATGTATTCTCTTTTAATATAAAAAAAATGGGTTTGTGAACACCCTGTGGGGAAAGCAGAAAAATATTGTGTTTTTTTTTTATAAATACGTTGGATGCTCAAATGAAAACATATCGATCGTATCACATCTTATTCTATTCAATCCATTACTACCCAAAAAACACTGTAGTCTGACTTAAAAACCTAGGTAATACCATGAAACCCCGTAAAATTTACCAATTTACTAGACTAACATTGAATTATAAATCCTATTATTCATGTAGAATGACACAGTTAGGATAACCAATAACCAAGTAGTGTCATGTTTTCAAGGTAAATGGCAAAAAGGAACTGCCTCATTTTTAATCCTTTTGAGCCTAAAGAAAGATAAGCTCTTAAAATGTACAAAACATGTGATGGCAAGGCTTTTATAGTTATGATAACGGGATGTGTTTGAATAAAAAAGATGACAATAATAGTATTATTATTAAACATAAAACGACTGAAAATATTGACAAAATTTCAACTTTTCATTTAAAAAAATTGGAATGAATCGTTTTGAATTGGCAATTGACTCTTTGTATTCAATAAAAAAATAGTAAACATCAAAATATTACAAAAGAAAAAAAAATAAACTAAAAGGAAATTAAAACTTCATGAACACGATTTTAACTTCAATTTCAATATCTTCGCTTCATAAATTACAAACACGACGAGCACCGTAATTTAACTGAAAATTCTTAGAAAAAAAAGACAAATATATTGGTCAATGTTCATCAAATCAAATTGGTCGCTTCCAGATGTAAAATACAGTAGAAACTAAGTTTGGTCACAAAAAAAGATTCTGTACAAAAACTTCAATTTCATTAAAGAGATAATATAAAAAAACATTAGCCTCAAAACGACATTGTGAACTTGAAAAAAAGGAATTGATCATGAAAAAGATCCTTTATCAAACACAATTTATATGAACAAAATGATAAACCTATGGTTTACAAAGACTGAATAGGTTGCAAGACTTGAATTCAAGGTAAATCAGAAACGAATGTTATCAGAAAAAAATAATTTGAAAATCGAAATCATCAAAATTAATTCGATCAAATTTTAATAATTTTAGGGTCAATCAAATTTTACGAAGTAAAATATCAAGATTCCAGCGCAGAAAAATCTTCATACGCACTTGACATGCAACATATTAAATAGGTAAATAGTAAGGATATGAAATTGAATTACTTTAAAAAATCTAGCACCATTTGATAAATAGCGGCTGTGCCATTTATCGGTAGTTAGAATCATTTTCAGAATTCAGATTTCTCAGAACGTACTATTTCATTTAATTTCAATGGAAACATCAAAATAGGTGCAGATGATCTTACAGTTGCTCATATTATAAAAAGCTGAAACGTACAAATAAAAATGACAAATACTGATCAAAACAGTTGGGACACGACATTGCGTCAAAACTAACTTGTGATGTCTTCTAAAAGTGAAGCATCAAAGGAGAAACACCTTTATAGGACATACCGATATGACTATGGAAAAGCAACTTCATAGCCAACTATTTTATGAGAAATATATCAGTGACTAGAAAGTACCAGTTTCTACAACCAATAATATGATACGGAACATGGTAAATCCTGATTTGAATTACCAACATACCAGTATTTAATTTTGAACAAATTTTTTTTAAAATCCGATAAAAAATTTTAAAATGGTGATATGAAAATCAAATTGATTTTTCATGAAAAAAAAAAACTATTTTTGTTTTGTTTGATTACCAAATAAAAATTGATATGTTTATTGCTTTTTGAATAGATTTGATTTCATTTGTAAAAAAATTTCATTGAAATTAAGATGAAACCATTTAATGATATTGGATATCATATTTTAGGTAGGTGTTATTTCAAGGTGGCGCAAAAAAAGCTTCAACAGCAGTCAAATATAAAAGGAGCTTGAAACATTTAAAACAAAATAAATAGTTTTAAACAAACAACAAAATGTAAACAAATTTAAAAACAAAGAAAAAACAAAAATATGTACAAGATTTTAGTGCAGGCACTTTTGGCCCAAAAATGGTCTTTTGGTCAATATTTCATCTTCTCGAGTTCGACTCTTGTCTATGCGGCTTGAAGTTTCCCAGAATGAGCCGCGTTTGGAGGTGGGTGCATCCGTACCCCTAAACCCCTATGTGAAACGGGCATTCCCCCATGAGGGTGAATTGTCTGATGCAGATTAGGTGCGTGCATGTGCGGTCCGGTAGGTGGACTGTGTATGCTATCCGACCAATCAGAATTGCTCCTCGGTGATGCGCTTGACCACTGATCACCTGGTGATTCAGGGCTTGGTGTTTCATATGACAGATCGCCTGGCTGAGGCTAAAACAGATAATATTATGTGAAAATTAAGAAATCTATAACACATGATATGCATCTTAGTAATACATATATTCCACCTTGGTTTAACTTCTTAGAAATTGACATGGAATGGAGAAAATCAGAGTTAAATTACACATTATGCAATACAGATACATTTACAGACATCTTAACCTAGGATAGGATTTACATTTATCCTTGGGGAGAGGAAAGCTGATACAACAGCTTAATCATATGGTTAACCCTGGCCTCTTGTCCGGTTACCAGTCCATGTCAGGTATGGGATTAGTTAGCCAGTTATTTGTTTCAGATACATCAAATTGATGGTGCAGGAAGCCGTAACTAACCAGCGCTCATGTGAACCATCCTACGGCAGCGAGAAGTCCGGCAATCCTCTCACACATAACTATGCCCCACAGGATTTGTACCTGCAACCCACTCAAGGTAATCAGAGGTGTGGTGGTTGGTGTATTCCAAACACATAGCACGATACGCCACACCATCGGCACAACTTCTTACACTGATAATTCATATTTCGAGTCATTATGAAGCAAATAAATACCTGAGTTTTGAGATGACCATGTGAGTGGTTGTTGGAGGCAGAATGTGGCGAGAAACTGGCGGAAGGAGGAGAGAGTGTTGAGTTTGATGGAGGAGTCGGATACTTATCTAATAAATACGAGTTGCCTCCAGTAGAAGACTGATAAAAAGGAAAGTATATGTTATTATTTTGCGGCCAATATAAAAAGGGGAAAATAAATCTCCACTAGCATGCTTACATTTACTGTTAATGTATTCATTGCTTCTGATTATATAAAGCCAATACATCAACTATTTTGAAAGAGAAAGCATTGTTTTGATCAAGTGTAACGATCGAATATTCGAATGAAATCGAATAGTAAATTATTTGAATTGGCTTGGACGAAAATTTCGAATCGACGCCATCTTGTTTTTATTTTTGTCTGCCAAAGGTAAATTCCACAATATTTTTCATTGAAGCCATATATTTTTACAATGCAATTCAGACATATGACTCTTTTTTTCCTAGTGAGTTATTGAAGAAACATGTTTCTTTTTGTGTGTGAATGCTCAGCAAACTGTTTGAGTGATGGATTCTAAGTTTTCAGTAATTTTTGTGTCTGGGATCTAAATATTCGAGATTCGATTTGAAAAATATATTCAATATTCAAAAATACCTAGACCTCCCGTCACAAAACGAATTCTAGTGGGTTACACACATTAAAATACCAAGTAACTGTAATCCAGACATTTTTCGTAACTATAAATATAATTTTTTTTTGCTTGTTTCTATATTCCAATGTAATTGCTACAACTAAGTTGCTATTGAATTATGCGTTAAGTATAGTAAATTAATATACAATGTATAGCTTCCGTGTTTCCCAGAATAAAAGACAGTGTCTTATTTCAGTTTTCTTTCGAAAAATAACACTAGGGCTCACTTTTAGAGATGTCTTTGAATTTCATTTATCAAAAACAAAATTACAAAGTAGAGAATTACGAGATTTTCAAATATACAAAATATGAAAACCGGTATCCATTTACTTATAAATAACACATTTTTATTTAAAATAACATAGATTTTGAAAAAGACCACTCATTTAAAACGTTCTCACTATCGAATAGATCAAAAAAAAAATTTTGCGATATCGACTAGGTTTTATTTTAGAGGAGGGTTTATATTAAAATCTTTTTCAAAGTCAGGCCAAGTCATATTTTCTGGGAAACAAGGTATTAAAAAACAATCATTTTCTTTCTACCAAGAAGACACAAACTTACCCTTGGCATTCCTTTTGATTGGTGAACAAAATTTTGTTGTTGTCTTTGGTTCATTGCCAACTGTTGAGTGTAAGATGGAGCATCCATGTGATATAGTTGTTGTTGTGGAAGATTTGGTATCATTTCACTGAAAGCCATTCCCTGGGAAGACCTACGAAGAAGAAAATAATCATATGAAAGTATTTTTTTATCAGATTGTTGCGAGAATTTAAAGAATTGTTTTTAAATAGAGCAAAGTTGATAATCATTTCGCCGTAGTTCAAATATTGCATCTTGTATATGTTTTAAAACAAATCATCAAATACAGAAAAACAAACAGAATCTAAAATAATTTAAAAATTTTACAGCCATACCTTGGATAACCTCCTGAATTGGCACTATGTGGATGAGGATTTATGATTTGTTGATAAGGAACTTGAGCTTGTGCACGGTAATGTGCCATCCTTGCTAAATGTTGTTGTTGCAATTCAGGGTCGTTATAACGCATCTGTAAAAGTGTATTATGTTAATGATATTATTCATTCTAACTTTCAGATGCCCTATTCAAAATGAACCTTGAAAGCAGTGAAAAGCATTTTTATATTTATTCTGAGGAGAACAAAGGGATTAAGAAGACTTGATCCAGTTACCAGTCTTTGTCGGGTACAGGGAAAGGTAGCAGCTCTAAATAAAATGAATTCCACACACTTTTGGATTTTATTATTTCAAGTTATCCACAAATAATTCTGAAAAAAGAATACTTTTTTTTTTAAATATTACATGTGTGACTCCGAATAAGGCTTCACACAAGCAGTAAAGAAAGGAGCTAATACATTAAAAGTAACACAATCAGAAACCCCTGCATATATAATTAACCCAATATATAATTAATATTTCAGCTTAGAAAATCATATCATATAAATCGATATCTCACCTGAAGTTGCCCCAAATTTAGCCCCAATCCTGTGTTAGAACCCGAAAGATGAGGTTGCGCTCTTGGGTGTTGAATCATTCTCCCACTGAGTTGTGATGGGTGAGGGCCGAGAGGAAGATGGTTGTCCATACCACCAGAGTGACTAGAAAAAAAATAAAAAATATTGTCAATTTTCTATATTGTACAAATTATACCTGCAGCCTTTGAAGATGAAAACTGTGGCCGTGTTAGTGTATGTTTTAGCTACAAAATAAGCATAAGGCAAGATGTACATGTTCTCTTGTGACATTACCATCTTGTATAGATTGTGATGTCACAAAAAAGTATTATTATTTGCCAAGATCATGGTAGTCATCAATTGCTTATCACCCAACTCAAATTTTCATTCAATAACTTCGTTAAAAAATTTAACACTATTAATCCAATGCAAATTTACAAGTATTTTTTTGACTATACATACCTTCCTTGCATTACCCTTGGGTAATACGCATTAGGTGGTAAGTTTCCCGCATTTGAAATCGGTGGTGAATGTGTAGAGTCGCTGTATGTGGAAGGCGAAGACATAGAATTGCTGCCGGGTGACTGACCGTCCGATAACAAGACCGAATTGTACATATGATGAGGATTTAAATTTGGATTGATGCCGTTAGGTGATTCTATGTTATTATCAGTACTGGATTTTTTCTTTGTTCTGCGAGCAGCTTTACCATCTGGTTTGCCGTTCGATCTCCTCTGCTTTTTACCTGAATTTAAAGTTGATTACAATGTGTTAAATTTTTTCGATAGAACTTGAAATAGGAAATAAATTTTTGTAGTCTGCATTTGATGTGACAAGGGAATACCTCACATCTACTCTCAAATTTTCTATTTTTGATCCTTGAGGCTATGAGCAACTAACTACTTACACATCACATTTTTGATAACGTTTTTAATTTAGTAGCAATTTCAAAAAAATATAAACAAAATGAATATTTTATCCTTTTCATGAAAAAAATTATGCACGTCGACAATTTTTGTTCACTATGTTCCCAATATACTTTATTCTCAAAAATGATATTCGGAAAATTCAAGAAAAAAAATCCTTACCTTTCGTAATATGAGCAATGTAAGCTGCGTTGTTATGCATGAGAGGAGAGTTATCCATGTGACCCATAGGACTTCGTACCAAATTGTATTCGTCGAGTAGTTGAATAATATCTGTATGCAGCCTTTCCTGCGCAATATCTCTGGGTAACCTATGATGAAAAGATGGATATATATTAATATTTAGAGTTTTTTCAACGTATGTGATTTGAAATTTTAGGAACTGTTTCTCTTTTGCATCGGACTCACTAACAACACGACTCTTTTTCTATTCTAATCCACAAATCCCCCATCTTATATAAAACAAGGGCTGTGCTACCTGGGGCCCACGGGCCCACAAGGAAAACTTGTGCAGCCCACGGAGAAGTGCCAATTTTAAGTTTTTAATTTAGTTTTATCTGGTACGTCCAAATTATTACCTATAATTACTAGGATGCCTAAAAAAAGTTGCACACCCCTGCTATAAAAGACTAAATTATTTGCTTTCCCAAAAGTATGTTGGAAAATATTTGGGAGATCCATCGTCAGATCTCCGGATTCAACTACTAGAGAAAAATTTTTTTGCTGCGCGAAAGTATTTTGACCACTACATTTTTAACATACCTGTCCATATGGTCAGTGATATCTCTATTTGCCAAGTGGTCAAGTAATAACCTGACCGCTTCATAGCTTCCTTCTCGTGCCGCTAAAAACAGTGGAGTTTCTTCTCTTTCCGTTTGAGCGTCACGTTTTGCACCGGCGGCAAGAAGAGCGGACAGAGCTTCAATGTTGTTTACGGCAGCCGCCCAATGCATTGCTGTTTTCCCGTGGTTATCTACTGCGTCTACATCAGCATGAGCACCAATGAGTTCTTCAACCATGCCTTCTACAGCAAGTCTTGCAGCCAGAATGAGAGGAGTTGTTCCATCGTTGGTTCTATGAGTAATCAATGGAGATTTATTCATATAATGACAGAAGTAAAAAATTATTCTCACTCCTTCTCAAGAGGGGAAAAGTCAAGTTGAGATAAATTCCCATTTTTTTGGACATTATTTTAGCACAATTGTTAAAGTTTTTGAGATATTCAAAATCAAACACCTTCGCTCCAAAAATTGCTCACTGAATGCGGCCACTACGTTATACCGACCTACTATTTTTTGAAAGACCGGGATATTTCCAGTACGACATCGCTTACCCAATTTTACCCCACAGGTCTGTGTCAAACTTACTTGGCATCTAAGTCCGTTGCTCTGTTTCTCAATAATATTTGGAAGACACCTTGTGCATCAGCAGCAACAGCCACATGCAATGGCGTGCGACCTGTTTGTTCTTTCATGTTAGCGTCGGCACCTGCATCGAGAAGTCTTTTTGCAGCATCTGCTCGGGCATATCTCGCTGCTAAGTGAAGTGGAGTTTCACCTGGTAATTATAATGAAGAAAATTGGTACATAAATATTGAAGTGTATGAGAATTAAAAAAAAAAAAAAAATTTAATAAAATGGCGTATAAAAGCAGTAACAATGGGAAATTTTTTTAGATACTAAGCTTACATTCCAGTGTTACCTGAAGAGTACTGACAAATCTGCAACAACCCAATTAACCGATTCAGTTTAGTTAAAATATAAATTTAAAATATCTAAAGCTATGGTTTTCAAACTATGGGGGGTGTAGACAATTTTTTATAAAAAATAAAAATATTTGTGGGATTTGATATTGCCCGCCTTATTTTAATATCCACCTTTCAAAACTTTTCAAAAATTTATTTCATTCTTTACATTCCATCCATGTATTTTCAACAGATGTTTTTTGAATAAAACAAACTATCGACTTACTATCTGTTATTTGTAGCTTATTGTTAGCTAGTTATTTTTTAGATGGGGCGCGAGACTTGACAAATTCTAAAAAAGGGGGCGCGGCTTAAAAAGTTTGAGAACCACAGCTCTATAGTATCAAAAATCCAGCTTCAAGACAGTACTATTGATTTGCAATAGAAATTTACAAATTTACCTGTTCTATCTGTTTGTGCAGTGAGTGATGCCCCCTGTAATAAAAGACTCGCGATCATGTTTTCACTTCCTTCTCCCTCGTTTCCTTCACCGGATTCCTCATCTACAATAACTTCGATTCCACCTCCTCGAGTAGAAGCAATCATCAAAGGTGTGAGGCCGTCTAGAGATATAACATTTAAATTTTAAGGGATTTCTGCTATTTTGGAGTGCTGAATAGAACATAATGGCCCATACCAAACAGATTGAATATAACCAAAACAAATCAACACAACGAAATTTTTAAATTTTCAATTCAATTGCTCAAAAAGAAGTGGACTACGATTTATTTGCTTTGAAGAAAATCGCAAAAAATAAAACAATTTCAATCGAAATAATCCTTTCAAGCTTGTGATGTCAATATTTATATCTGTTATTGTTTTCATTCCAAGTTAGAAAAAATCAGAAAAAATTTTTTACCAGGCCCACGAGCATCAATCTCATCATTATTATCTTCTAATAATGGAGAAGAAACTTCTCTGCTTGATGCTCTGGCAGCTTCAATATGTTGTGGAGTCCATTTTCTGTTGTCAGACTGAACTTCACATTCTGGTGTCTTCTTCCTGTTTTCTGTTTGTACACCATGCAAGGGTTCATTTTCTTGACGGCTTGCCAAATATCTGAATAAAAATGTACAGGACATAAAACCATGTGATTCACTAGTAAAATAGGAACTTTGAATTACGGCATAAACAATGTTTTTTTAAATCTACAAATTCCAACTAAAAATATGTTTGGTATTAGGATTTTTTGTTTTGATATAAGATCCTCTCTCCTTGTCAGTGTTCTATTTCTGTTGGTAAAAGGATATTTGTAAGAGATATTGAAAGGATAAATAACATTATTTCTTTTCGTGAAATAACAAGTACCATATATTAGTGAGCTTTCGTTAGATCATGGTATAACTTCTTCTTTTGACTAAAAAAGTTGAGACTGTAACTAACGAAAGATCACTTATCTACTTGCTCTTTCGCAGAAAGAGATTGTTATTTTTAAATTGACGCATGAAGTACAGTACAAGCACGACAGCTGGTTTCAAAAATTCCATTTTTTTTTATCTACTCACTTTTTATGATGATTGTTTGTCCCGTTATCGTGGAAGCTTTGAATGAAAGGAGTGTTCGTGTCATTGTCTGGAGATGGAGATTTGTTCAATTTCTGAAAATCAAAAACATTTGGAATCGTAAAAGGTTAGACAATCTTAAATAATAATTATCCTTTAAAATTACGGAAATTCGGGTCAAAGAATGCCAAAATACTAGGTGACCAAAGAAAAAGAACCCATGAATTTATTCTATGGAAATGAAGAAAATTTATTTAGCACTTGAACTTCTGTTTGTGTTTGATTATACCCAAAAGTTTCAGCAAACTAGGACACTTGGTACAAAAATTAGACTCACTTCAGAATGTGTTGTAAATAACAGCTAACTGAAAGTTTAGAAAACCATTCAACATAACATCAAGACTTGGTATAACATACACACCTTAAGATTTAAATCAGCTTGTCCTATTGGTTCTCTTCTTTGTTTCTTGTGTAGGAGGAAGCCTTCTGGTCGCCAGAGCTGACCAGTTTCTCTTTTTCGTTTTAGTAGTACCCCAAAAATGACGACCACAAAGGCAAAAAGAGCTGAAAAAAATTGAATAAAATATTTTTACACAAATAAACTAGATCATGGGTGTGCAACCTGCGGCCCGCGGGCTAAATGCGGCCCACAAGGAAAAATTGTGCGGCCCGCGAAGAAGTGTCAATTTTGAATGATGTACGGCCCGAGAAATAAGTTTTTAGTTTCAGTTTAAACTGGTATGTGCGAGTAATTTCAATCCCTTTACGTTACAAAGCTTATACTAGAGTCCAATTTATTATCTACGCCTATGACGTTACAATGCCGTAACAGCTAGCTTGTGAGAAGCGAACAAGGCATGTCATAAGATTAATCACCAAAATTTCTGTGCCTGCAAGGCTGCAACTACTAGAAAGTTTATGCTAAATAAAGATGCGGCCTGCGGTTTCACTCAGTTATTTGTATCTGGCCCTCCTGTTTTGAAGGTTGCACACTCCTGAACTAGATGGAACAATAGAAACAAGTGAATCTGTTTTGCAATTCAGATAAAAATTCCATTTTAAGCTCCTTTATAGCCCAAATCAGTACAAGCAGGTACATTCATTTCCAACTATAAATTCAGAATAAATGTTCCTTATTAAAAGTTTTTTAAATTACTGTGTTTGTGTAAAATTTAATATTTTGTAAAAATTTATAATTTATGCTAAATATTACTTGTTCAAACACCATCGTTTAGCAACCAAAATCTATGCTTAATGTGTTGAATTGAAAGAATGAATAAATCTGAATTCTAGAATATACAGACATTATCATCGTTACAGTATCACCTCTACAATATCAGATACATTTTGTTTTATTTATTTTGTTTACAAAATATTTTCAAGAGAAGATCACACACACTCATGAAAATAATAGGAGATTGATCTCAAAGCGAAGTTACGCTGACCAATAAAGTGTCGGAAAGATTCCTCAAAACATAGTCACAAGCACCCCTTCAGAAATATGAGAAATTAATTTGCAAGCAAAGGTAAGGCAATCACCGAAGTGCCGAAAATTTGCTTGAAGCAATGTTACACAAATATACTCAGAAAAATGGGAAATTGTTTTTAAGCGGAATTACGACGACAACTAGAGTGCGGGAAATTTTTCTCAAAGCAAGGTGAAGTAATCTCACTCAGAAATATTCGAAATTGATTTTTGATCAAAGTTGCGTTGACAATTTAAATGCTAAAAGTCACCAACGATATTTCATATAGTATAGAATTGCGCATGTTAGTAAACACTAATTGACGGAAAATTTAAAGTATGACATCACATCTTATTGTCTCTTACAATTATACACAGACTAATCAGGGCAGGTTTGGACATGTTTTCAGCATAAAAAGACGAGTTCAGAATAAATGAATGACCATAAGGTATCTGATTTCTAACTGAGAAAAGATTGTAAGCAATCCATTAAAACAAAACAAAGGGTTTTCAAAAACCATTCTCCACGTTGCCATATCCTATTCCTATATTTTACCACATCAGCTAGTGTCTGGACTGCTGGGCCACAAAAACATTTTCAGGTGGGCCACAAAAACATTTTCAGGTGGGCCACAAAAACATTTTCAGGTGGGCCACAAAAACATTTTCAGGTGGGCCACAAAAACATTTTCAGGTGGGCCACAAAAACATTTACAGGTGGGCCACAAAAACATTTTCAGGTGGGCCACAAAAACATTTTCAGGTGGGCCACAAAAACATTTTCAGGTGGGCCACAAAAACATTTTCAGATGGGCCACATAAACATTTTCAGGTGGGCCACCAATATATTGAAAATTGCTGAAGTAATTAATAAATTTAGTTCATTTGTGTCACCATAGTTAAATTAGTATCAATGAATGGTGATGATGGTAATTTTCATTCTACTTATTAACGTGAAAGTGTCTATTTTTACAAAAAGATTTTTGTTGTTTTTCCTTGGCGTGAAAAAAAAAACGAATTTTTATGCAACAAAAATGGAACACCAAAAAAAAAGAGTCAAGCTTATCCTATTTTTCTCAATTTTGAGTGTTTCGCAGAATTAATTATGTTTATATATATATTTCATAAATAATTGTCTTATATCGGACGTTGCTGATTTTCCGGCAAATATTCCGTTTCAATGTTACCATACTCGAAACCTAAATCCAACCAAATACCAAAGGAATGTAAACCAAATGTAAGATAAAAATGTAGCGAATGTAATATGAATATATGTCTATAAATTATAATGACTAGCGAAATTCAGAACAAAAAAAACAGGCCTTGTTCGATTCATAATAAAATTTTATTACAGATAATAGATAATGAAAATTTGAAATTGATTGATCTATCAAATGAAAAAAAAACATTTTCTCACAACAACAAATTGATAAAAACGATAATAATTAAGCGAATCGATTCATAAATCCACTTCGTTTTCAATGAAACTGAAATTAAATAGACAAACCTGCTCCAGATACAGCATAAGTAACTATGTGTTGTGATCCTTCGCTTGTTGGTTCATCAATACTGCCGGTAGTTTCAATGTCGACTGATACTTCTAGTGTTTGGGTGAGTCTTGCAGCAGCGAGAAAAGATGACGCTCCTGAGGCAGTTTCAAAGCATGCACCAGATGATATATAACATTTGCTGTTATCCATTCTGAATTCCATCTGTTAAACAAAATTTCGATATTCTAAAACGAAATTTCACAAACAAAGCGAAAAATAAAATTTTAACCACAGGAAATTTCAAAGCAATTGGCTTGTTAATGAGAAAAGCGATTTTACGAGAAGAATAATAAGAAAAAAAACATGGATTGATATCTCGCTAGACCGGTAGATTTCAAGTGGTGCGGCGTACCCCACAAAGGGGACGTAGAAAATTTTTGAGGGAGCGTGAAGCTATGAAAAAATAAGAACATTTGTTAGATTTGATCTTGCCCGTCTTATTTTGTATATTTACATTTCTTTATTTTGGATATATACGTTCCATCCTCGTATTTTCAACATTTTATTTAATGAAACATTACTTTTGCAGTACTATCTGTTATATACATGCAGGTTATTGTTAACTAATTATTTTTGAGGTGGGGCGCGAGACTTGACAAATCTAAAAATGGAGCAAAGCTTAAAAAATAAACGACCACTGAATGACAGGATTAACAAGAATATATCATACCTGTGACGACTCCCCATCCGAGGTAGCACGTTTCGTTCTGCTGAATATACTTGTCATCGAGTCATATGCTTCATCAAATAAAGATCTTTTCTTGCGTGAAATTTCGACCTGTAATTCCATAAATAACATTGTTTCAAAGCAGTGGTTCCCAACCTTTTTTGGCTCGCGACCCCCTTTGGTGGTTTACAAATACCTAGCGACCCCCTGCCTCACTTTCTATACATATCAATAAAATAAGCAGCAAAGAGGAGGCGAGGTTCTTACCACTTCATGACAGCAGTGCCACGAACGTACAGATGGCAGCTCTTGCCGTGGTTATGGCGCTTTTGCCGATATATTCACAAAGTCGTGTACCAGATTTTAGTGCATCATGCGGAATCATATCTACTTAAACCTGAAACCTAACCCCAAATCCATCAAAACTGTATCCATAAAAAAATCCCAACCCAACTCAATTTGCTGCCGTGGTAACGACATCTCGCCATTGATTTGTGACAGCTAAAAAGTCAGTTGCCATGGGTTTGGCCATAGAGGCCATGGTTTCAAAATCCCGCAATTGCTTCGAAGCCCGCGTGTTTTCCGCATTGTGACGCACGGAAATGCAGACGAGTTCGTGTGATGCCACAATGGTTAACATGCCATTAACAGCTCGCGCCGCTTGCTTGGTTTCCAAGCAATAAGCGACATTCTGGGGTCTCACGACAGCTAGTGAAAATCTCTCAGAGGCAGACGAGAGTTCATTCCAGACTTCTTCGCGTTCTATTGCCAATATTTAACCTAAAGTTGGGAACCACTGTTTTAAAGTGTTAACTCTTATCAGGGTGGAGATGCTATACCTTAGAAATTACCTTACTTGTAATTAATTTGAATTAATTTTTTCGAGGAATAATTTCATTTTAATGGAACCATTAACCTTTTTTCAGTGAAATTTGTCATATATAAAATTTGTCTGTTAAATTTAAAAGATTGATTAGAAAATTTAAAAACTGAATGAGTTGCTACACAGCATTCCCAGAAAATTTATAGGAAATGAATACAAATAATGTATTTTACGGACCATTAAAGAGCACTGTCGATAAATTGCTTATATTGACTTTTTATTCATATATTTTTATTCATATATATTCAAATTTATTATATATCATATATATATAAGCATACAACCAAATTTTTCAGTTATAACTCCATATTTTTGATATTTCTCAATTTACTTTGTAAAATTTGGCATACATCATAATTTCATTATGAATATATGGAGTTAGAATATTCAATATCATCCCAACATTCAGACAGTATTCTTCACAGTAAAAAAAGTTTTATATTCAGTTTTGGCATTATTCTAACTCACCGTTACAACATTCACAGCTATCATCTTCATTTGAGTGTGTAAAATTTTGCCGAATTCAATTGAAAGTTCTTCTTTTCTGGTCCATACATCAGCAGGAGTCATGTTGCCAACTTGAATCTGACAATTTAGGAATGATAATTACTTGTTTATAATAGTAATTTTACTACTTTTTTATAAATAATTTGCTCAAAGCAAGGTTACTCAAATTCACTCAGAAATATAGGAGATTGTCCTCTTATTGATGACCACTGAAGTGCAGAGGACTACTAGGACTGTACACTACTTTTTTAATGGGAAGGATGGCTAGATGGTGAAATTGTTAGGTTAAAATGTTTTACATACATTACATTTACCGATTTCTCTAATCATAAAAGTTTAGAATCAAGACGAAGCGTTGCAAAGCCCTATATTTATACAATGACCAAAACGACAATGTCGCATCGGAATGAACAGCAAATCCAAATCCTAACCCAGCAGTAAGAGCCCGCCAATTAAATTTTCTTCAAAATTCATATTGACTAAAAACATGGATAGTACTCCGAAAAGAATTCGATCATAAAACGTTCAAAAAATGAGGCATCATAATAAGTCCCCATACCACAAGGATTCCGAGGGCGTATTGTTCAGGATATTGATTACAATCGTCTCCATCCCATCCACAATCAGCATTATTACATCCTTCATCACAATAACTGTTGTTGAAATTGTCTGTACAGTAGACTTCATATTTCGGACTAAAAAATATTCGTAACAGAAATTAAAAAATAGAAAAAGTGTATATAATAGTGAATGAGTGGCTTTAAACAAATTAAAATGTTTGCTATAAACTGATGTCTTACAACCTTGTAGCAAATAATACTATGTGCTTACTTGCAATCTCCTATAGGAGTGCTACAATCCATTCCATCCAGAAGGCATTCTTGAGTATTGCAGTGTTCGTCGCAATGTCCGTTCTTGTGTAGATTCCAGCATTCATACTCAGGCGAACATAATTCCCAAGGATTGGCGTTACCGAAAGTACAATCGGTGCCGTCGTAATCACATTCATGTGTGGTACAGTTCATGTCGCTCTGAAATTTTAATTCTAGCGTAATAAATTGTGTATGATAAAATTTGAAAATATTATAGCCGATTTCAGACAATTGAAAATTTCAAGAACAAAATGAAATTTTATGCTACTTTTATAAAGAAAAGAGGTTCAAAATAATTTCATTTTCATTAACTTCATTTCAGAGAAAAAAATTCTAACATTACTATTTTTTAGTCTTATTTTACAAAACAACATTATTACATAAAAAAGATAACAAAAACCTTACATTGCAGACTCCATTATTCTTCACTTGAGCGCAGTTTGGATTTGAACAGGTTTTATCTGGCAATAGTAAAAAAATATTGTTTCATTTTTCTATTTCTAAAATTTCGATAAAGTCAGTCAAAACCATTTCCACCCAGGGTTGGTAAAATTGATAAGGCAATGAGGAACAATTAAAATTCCAGTATGTATCACTAGCCACTCGTGTGGAAAATTGTACAAAGTGAATATGCAAGAACGTTTACGCTTTTTCTGTAAATTTGAAAACATTAAGCACAGAGAAATAAAACAAGTAAAATAGTCAAAAAAAGATTTTTATAATTCATATCTAATAGAGTTGAAAGCTAAAAGGTTCCAATATAAACTACATTACCTTCTACTCTAGCTTTTTCACAATAATCTCCGTAATAATTTGAAGTGCATTCACATGCGTCATTCACACATACTCCGTTGTTGTAACAAATGTGTGAATCCCCACACGATGAATATTGGTGTTGACAATTGATGCCATAGTAACCCTGAATATAATATTCATGATAAAAATCATACTTAACCATCGTAATAGTAAGACGTTCATTTTACAAGAACATGGGATCGATCGCTTTTGTCTAGTTCAAATACAAGGGTGACCCCAAAAAATAGAACCCAGGTCATTTGGAACATATTCTAGATTTAGAAATACTGTTACTTTAGTGTAATGGGTTCTGTTTTTTGGGTTTTCCAAGACATTTACTTTCTGATAGATGAAATCATGAAACTAATCCATATCTTACAGATGAACAAGAGCAGAAATATCCTTTAGGATCGTAGCTGTTATCAGTGCAAGTTCCACCATTTTCACAAGGATTGATTGCGCAACTTCCTAGTTTCACATCACAGAGTGTTCCAGCATAATCCTGAATAAAAAAAGCAAATAGTTAGAAAAATTTCTTTGTGAAACTAAAACGAAGGTGACAAAGTATTAAAAGTGTTGAACAATAAATAAACATTCTAGACTAGATGAAAAGACAAGACTTACCACAGAGCATACACATGTAAAGCTGTTTTCTCCCTCGATGCATTCTGTAGTACCTGCTGCATTACAAGGATTTGACAAGCATTCATTCACATCACCTTCACACCTGATAAATAGCGGTAATGGATTAAAACAGAATAAGAGCCATATACATTTGAGTAAATGTGATATTAATTTAGTTTTTTTTCCCAAAGTTGGTTATTATACTTTTGTATAATGACATACATAATTTGAATTTTGTGGAATTAACGAAAACTTTTCAAATGCAAAAGAATTTTGAAGGGTCAAATAGGCATTGTCTAATCAACATTTCAGCTAAATCATTGCATTGGATTTACTTCTGAACCTAGTCCTAGCTGAAAGTAAAATAATGACGAAGGTCCGTTATCTAACTTTATGGCAAAACTTTTGCATTCGTTTAACGAGTTGCAAAGAGAGAGCTATTTTTGGCACTGGTCTTTTTTTTCATTTCCAAAAGCTAATAAAATCTTTTAACCTCTTAAATTTCATTCAAACTGATCTACTGCAATATTCTCCTATTGATAAAAAAAGCACCACACAGATGATTAGGTATGTGTTTTATGATGTTAAAGTGTAATTAGGTTGCAAGTCATAAAATAATATGTTGTTTCCCCACCTTGATCCTACATATCCAGACAAGCAATTACAAGTGAAGCCATTGATTCCATCGATGCATTGTCCCCCATGATAACAGGAGTCATCAGTGCAATCATCAACATTGACCTCACAGAATATACCTAAAATGTGATGAATAAAATGTCATACGGTTGAAATCGATTTTTGAGCTGGAGTGTGGCTTTCATGAGTTCGCGCCTTCCTTCCAAGTTAAAAATAAAACCAATTTAAAAAAGGACGTTGGCATTTAAATTCCATTTGCTGTCGCTAAAATGCAACATAAAGCATATTGTCGATTGATATTCTACAAAAAACGTTCACTTTCGCGTGTACTGGAGGAGAAAAAGCAAATAATATTGCTTATTATCAAAGCATTACTAAAATAACAGTTCCGTTGTCGAATATATGACAATAAAGACTCACAACCTGAATGCTGTTGTTGTTCATTACAGAAGATGACAATGGAACTATTAGAGATTTTTGAGAGGAAACACTTACCTGCAGTGCCGGCGAGACAGGAACAGTGAACAGCATTAACCATATCGACACAAGTGCCACCATTCTTGCATGGAGATGACGCACACTCGTCAATGTTCTGCTCACAGTTTTCTCCAGTGTATCCCGCATCACAAGTACAAGAGTAACTGAATGAGAAGAGTTACAATATCATTACAAGCTTGTCGAACAGGCATAGATACCGGTTAAGAATATTTAGAAATGTTATGGTTTATGTGAAAAATCTGATCAGCAAGATTATGCAAAATGGGACATTTTTATAGTTGAAGTACTAAAACAAATATTGGAATTGGTGTGCAGCAAAACTCTTGAATCCTGTAAGATAGTTATCTTCACTCTCGCTACAGAATCCTTGCTTTATATGAATACAAATCCACCAGGAAAAAAGCATGAATGCAGGATAAGTGGTTAGTACCATCAAAACCTGCTAGCTACTAGTAAAGATAGCATAAAGAAAAGAAAATGAGGATAGAATATGAAAAAACACAAAAAATTAACATTCCCATTCCTTTTCAAATACCAAATCCAAATTTTAAAAACACGAAAGTTCCACAAAAGACGTAACATACCTGTTGATCAGATCAATGCACGTAGCTCCATTCAGGCAAGGTTGAAGAGCACATTCGTTGATGTCAATGTTACAATATGAACCTGTGTATCCTGGATCACATGTACATTCATGAGCAGTTGTTGTGTCACGACAATCTCCGTGGTTTGAGCATAATGCAGAAACAGCAACCCCTGATAAATAGGAACAAAATGTGCATTTCAGAAGAGAGTTTCGATTTTGTTTTCAGTTCAGGGGCGTAGCCAGGGGGGAGGGATTTGGGGGTCTTACTTTTATATAGCATAAAACGCTTTTTAGAACCCCAAGACTCTCGAGAACCTATGCTTTCCAGACTCCGATCGAACCTGCTAGCTGCTAACGCTCTAACTGGTTAAAAATGACAATTAGAAATTTCATTTGCCTCATATGTATTTATATTTTATGTAATAACAAAAAATATTGCATGTCTGCCCAAGAACATGGAATGAAATTAATAAATGATTCCATAGGCCTACAACCTTTGAATTGAATGTCCCAAATAAATAAATCCTCCCTCAAACTTACCTCTATTTGTAGCAGCCTGTTCGCATGATACTTCTTCCATATCACAATAAACGCCAGTATAACCAGTAACGCACGAACATGTAAAATCTGCTCCATTCTGACTGCATGTTGCTCTGTTTTTACATAAACTGGCATCGGCACACAAGTCAATTAGATTCTTGATAAAAAAAATTCAAAATTAGAACGGCCTTCAACGGCTCAGTTGGCTTACTCAAAAGAGTAACAGAGATTCAAAAATACACATTCAGTACCAGGGAAACACTCATGCTGAAACAGCGACGACAATTACGCCACTCAATAAAAGCACAGACTTTTATGCATATAATAATTTATCCATCAAAAAATATTCAACTCAAGAACAATACTAACCTTCAAAATGTTATGGCATATAAAAACGTTCACGGCCTTAATAACCACAATGTGCCCGTGCAAACCAAAACAATCAGCGAATTTAACAAAATTCAATCCTTATTTAATCTCTTAGAAACTCCAAAGGGAAGGTTCAACCACGGAACCCTACCAGCTGCGTCACTACAGCAGTTACAGTTTTAATACAAATACTGAGATAAAAAAAACTACCCACCCCACAATAAGTTCCCTCATAAGCAATACCACAAGCACATCTCGCCGTTCCCGAGTCCACATAGCATGTTCCACCATTGAGACAAGATACGGATAGACAAGCACTGATCTCATTCTGGCACTTATCACCTAAAAAAAAACGGTTTTTGAGAGAAAAAGATTTGAATTGAAGTTATTCACAAGATCAAAAATTAAGAACTGCTTTTCTCACTTAGACATTATTTTTATGCTCTATCTCACGATAGTTTAACAAGTTAATTTTTTTTATTCTAAAATGCTTTTTTGGGGTTTATATCATCTTTGATTTAGAATATTCGGTATTCCTGTTTCAACATCAATCCTTATTTCAAAGTGAAATTTCGTAATATACAAATATTTAACAATTCTACGGCTTCTACGCTATAAAAAAATTCACCATAATAAGTATACTTCTGTAGTATTGGATCTTTAAAATTCAATATCTAAGACGCAAAAATGTTTGTTAAGAAAATTTGAGAATGAAGAAACAAATACCTGTGTAGCCGCTTGGACATTCACATGTAAAAGTATTATCACCATCCACACATGTCCCACCATTAAGACAAGAACTTGATGTACAATCGTCTGGATTTCTCGAGCAGGTTAAAGAAGTATATCCAGTCTGAAAAAATAAATATAAAATGAATATTAGCAGTGAACTAATGAAACTACGATTTACCAAGCTTGAAAAATTATAAATTGTGATCATATCAGATTGTTTCTTACATGGTCAAAGTTTTAGCAGTTAAAGTGTTGGACTTAACTGTCTTGAGATCGTAGGTTACACATTTCACAACCCAATGCCCCCACCTCACCCAGGGTTAACAAATTTGGGTGGGCAATAGACTTAACTGTTCGCATCGCAGGTTAAACCCCATGCCCCCACCTCACCCGAGTGTAATAAATTTGAGTAGGCAATGGACTTAACTGTGTTAGCATCGCAGGTTACACGTCTCAGGTTAAACCCCACTCCCCCACCTCGCCGAGAGTGTAATGAACTTGAGTAGGCCATAGACTTAACTGTGTTGGTATCGCAGGTTACAAATATCAGGTTAAAACTCATACCACCACCTCACCCAGAGTGTAATAAACAGAGTAGGCAATGCCGGCCCTTCCAAATAATAGTAGCTCCCATCAGAGGCTGCTTGAAAAAGAGCCTTGTTCAGAGCGAAATACATGAACAAGCGTCATGCAAATATATACAGCATGAAATATAAACAGATGAGAGGAAGCCAATTAATCATTCAAAGCTCCGAACACACAGCCAAACATTTCCGAGCCGATTATTGGTAATTAGAAGATTTAACACAAAATCAATATATATACAACAAATCTTTATCGAACCAATATTTTACGATAATTCAGTAACTCGACAGCAACTTACAGGGCATGAGCAAACAAAGCTGTTGACGTAATCTTGGCATTCACCACCATTCTGACATGGGTTACTTGCACATTCGTCAATTTCAAATTGACAATCGAATCCGTTATAACCAGGTTTACATAGGCATTTATATGTTCCAACATCATCGATACATTTTCCAGCGTTCATACATGGATCTGAGAAAATAAAGAAAATAATTAGTCCGTCATACTTGATGATCTAACCAAAGCATAGTTTATTGTTGACACATAAGATTATATTTTCATGTGATTTCTAGAATTTCACATAGAATTTTCAGGAATTTAATGAAAGGAAAGCCAATAAGACAGTTCAAACATATAGCGAACTATGGGCTGTCATATCGGATATGGAAACAGTTAACCTGTTAATCGTTTCAGATGCATAAACTTGATGGTGGAGGAAGCCATAGCTGATCAGAGCCTACATGAACTATCCTACGGCAACGAGAGTACATAATTCCTATCACACATAATTATCTTCAACCTGCGAACCCACACAAGGAAATCAGAGGTGCGATGATGGCAAGCGTGTTATATGAGCTTGGCACGATACGCCAACCATTCAACATGTGAATTGTATGTGTGCCTATGTGATTAAGTTTTCTCAGACATGAAATCAGTAGATAGAGAGAGAGAGATTTATTTTTTCAATATCCAGAAAAAATGACCATTGCAACGAAAGATATACCTGGTGAACAATCATCTATATTTGTTTCGCAGTTAGTTCCTGTGAATCCATTCGCGCAAGCACATTTATAATCAGGTGATAAATTAGTACAAGTTCCTCCATTCAAACATGGTGAAGACAGACATTCATTAATATCATGTTGACAAGTGACTCCTGGAAATAAAAATATTATTTAGATTGAAGAAATGACAAAGTAGATTAATCTTAATAAAAAAATTATATAAAAAATGTTAGATTTTAGTAATATTTCATGAAGGTTTGTTTTCAAAAACTGAAAATAGCGGTGAAAAGTCAATAATGAAAAAATTATATAAAATTAATTGGTCAAACAAAATTGATATAACAATCATAGAAAAAATTTTTTTAATTAAAGGTTTTAATTAATTATTTATCATGCGAAAAAATGTGGCACCTGCAAAATAGAACTACCGTAATAAATTTTTCCTTGAAATTATGAATTAAAAAAAAATAGATAAATTTGGCAAAATAGAATTTTAACCAAAAAAATCCTGATTTCTGTTTAATTACAAAATTAATCAATTAATTAATTATGAACACTATGGTACACTCTATGTTCAAGATAACATCATATGCTTTTACCTTCATATCCTTGTATACATGTGCAAGTGTAAGTCAAGTAATCAGCGGATGGGGTACACTCTCCACCATTACATGGATTCGGGTTACATGGGGTAAGCTCCGTCTCACAATTTGTTCCTGTGTATCTTGCGGGGCAGTTACACGAATACACATTGACCCCACTTGTGCATATACCCCCGTTTTGACAAGGACCAGTCGCACATTCGTCTATGTCCGTTTCACATTTGACTCCGGTATACCCAGGCGTACAAACACACACAAATCTGCCGATTTCATTTTGACATGAACCGTGTTCACAAGGGTTAGATTCGCATTCGTTGATTTCTACTTCGCAATTCACTCCTGTGTATCCAGAATTGCATACACATATGTATCTACAAAGAAAATGAAAATGTATTTGAAGACTAGTTACAGTAAATAATATAAAGACATGTTGAATACAGAATAACAAAATTATTGGACACGTTTAGTGGCCATAACGATCGTTTCAAAATTTTGTTGTTATTGTTATTTGTCTCCGCCTCCATTTTTAAAAAATCGCTTTTCTCTTCGAATACTGGACTAATTGCTTTGATATTTTCAGTGGTTAAAGATAAAATTTTTCTCCAGAAGGCCATTACTTTTTTTTTCGCTATGACGTCATCAAAATTATTGCCACTGGGTGGCGCTACGTGTCCATATATTTGAGCATAGCTCTCTTGTTTAAAATACAACTCACAGATACCTGTACGCAACGACTGATATTCTAGAATTTATCATTCATGTAATATTATTAATCATTGTTCAAAAATTACGGCAAAAAAAAATGACCAAAATTTTCAAGATCTACAGTATATTCCATGTATTATTTTGAAACAGTACGTGATTGGTAAATACTCAAATACTTTGAGATAAATACTCAAAATTTGTAACTAAAATCAAACTCACTGGTTGACATCTTCTTGGCACAATCCATTAATACAAGGATTGCTACTGCATTCTTCAATATCAGAGGAACATCGCGAACCATGGTATCCTGTGATATAAATTAATTTTAAAAAAACTTTTCAATCAAACATTTCAAAAATGCACAAGGCTTGACCGAGACCATATAAAAGAAAAACAAAAAAAATTGTTCTATATTTTTCCATCATTGATTTTATCATTTTTATTGTTTCAGATATGGAATCATGCCAAGATATAATGACGAATCATGACAAGATGATAATACAAGATGACAATAGTTGAGACTAATGTCTTTTCGTATTTTTATAAAATTGAATACAAAAATATTCCAAATCTTTAAAATAAAATAAAATATATTTTCCTATGTATTTGATTATTCATTCATTTCATGTTTCGAAAACTCTCAATATTAAATATCAGTCAAATAAATTGAAGTAATCACTCAAATAAAAACAGAAATGCAAACATTACAACACAGTAGGTTATTATCTTATTTTAAGTAAAAACACACATATATACCTGGCAAACAATTACATGTGTATGTGTTAATACCGTCAACACATGTGGCTCCATTTAGACATGGGTTTGATTCACACTCGTTAATTTCATCTGTACAATGCGTTCCTTTGAAAAGAAATAAAAATTGAAATTTCATTTTAGGCTTGCATCATATTAATACAACCAAACGCAGCATAAATATGATGAACATTGACATGTGAAGATCATCTTCTAGCTTCTATATTGTGTTGTATTAGATCAGTGTCCCCTAATTGGGAATGATTTCCTCACCAAGAAAGAAATTTACTGTTTGAGGAATTCATCAAAACAGAATTGGTACAACTGGGTTGGAAGACGATAGCCGAGTAAATTTTTTATACAAATGGGTCAAACAAAGTACATCTAGTCAAAGCCAACCCAACATGAAATTACTACAAACCCATAAAAGGTGCGGAACAAAAATATAGCTTTCTATACTTTTTGTGAATTTGTGCTCAAATATAGCCAAATGATTGAACATTTTTGTATCCATTTTAAATCATTTGATTCAAGAGTATAGTCATCTTTATTCTTGCCACAGCATCCTTGCGTAACACATGTATGGATCCACTTCCACAAAGGCACAGAGCAAGCAAATCTAGCTAGTCTTGCGTAACCCCAACTGATAGTTCCATTTTAAATTGCTGATCATAAGTGTAAAACATTTGATATTACCCTAACATAGTCGGGTATAACCCACAATCAACAGTTTACACATAACGTAAAATTTTTGGAAGACACATTCAAATTAATACCTGTGTATCCTGGATCACAATTGCATTCATATTCATTAACTTTATCCACACAAGTACCATGAACACCACATGGATTAGAAACACAATCATCTGGATTATTTTCACACCTAAAATACGTAATTTCGATCAGAAAAAGTGATGATTATCGTATTATAAATTGTCCCTTCAAACAAAGCTAGCATTAATCATATATTATACAATGGAGCATAATGATGGATAATACTTAATACTCACTATTCTGAATTTGGATTGATTTTGGCAGTATAGTAAACATAGTTATCAGCACGTCGAAAAAAGCATGTATAGTCTACTTAAACCTAAATTATATTAGGTTTATATGTTATAAATTACCTTGTGCCACTAGTTCCAACGGGACAACTACATGAAAAATAGCCGACGTTATCGGTGCACGTTCCTCCATTCTCACATGGACTTGATTCACATTCGTTTATCTCAGTTTGACAAATTGTTCCCGTATATCCCGCATTGCAATTGCAGATGTATCTAAACGATAGCATGTTATGTAAGAGCAAGGATATCACATTTCAAGCCATGGGTAAGAATTCTAATTGTTGCAGTAAAAAAAAAAACTTTTTCAGATCTAGTGAAATATAATAGGTACTAAAATTTAGTTCTTACTGGTTCACGCCATCTTCACATGTTCCATGGTGACAGGGATTAGTTTGACAATCATCTATATCAGTTTCACAATGAATTCCAGCATATCCTGAAAAATAATAGTAAAAATAATGAAATGTTGGCAAAAATTTTATTTGTAATCAAAATTTACATAATTTGCACCCAATGAAATATTTGATAACAATAATCATATTCAGAAAACGGTATTCATAGTATTTTAATAAATATTAACTCAAGCTTTTGAAATTTTCTAATCAACATTCTCATTTGTGTGCATATTTTACCAAAAGGTACTTTTGAAAAAATGATGCTATCTTATATTTTTCATTTGAACCATTTAGTATAGAATAGTATATTCTGAGATCTTCTCAATCTAATTCTGCACATTTCTAGAAAATTATCAATCATAGAGAGTTGTCTTACCATCTGCGCATTCGCATTCATAACTATTTGCCTTGTCGACACATGTTCCTTTATTTTGACATGGAATGGATGAACACTCGTCAATATTAAAACTGCAATCAGAACCGGTGAATCCTGTAAAAAGCCGTATTATTGGTTAAAAAAATAATGAACTAGCAAAGTAATTAAATTATTATTATGTCTATGTTCTACTATATGGAATATGTCCACAATCAAGTGTCGCGAATGAATAAAGGATACTCCAAATAAAACTGCGACAGATATTTGATAAGAAGATTATTTCTGGTTCGGCATAGCATACCCAATTTGTAAGGAACTGGGCTGTTATGTCATCATCGCAACCAGCCCTCTTTTACACGCATGTTAGAATAAATTCTCTTACCCGAAGCACAATTGCATGTGTAGCCATTGATTTCATCAATACAGGTTCCACCATTCATACAAGGGTTGCTTGAACATTCAATGATGTCAATATCACACAACAATCCAGTGTATCCTGCGAAAGTATCAGAAAATTAAATTTCATTACACAGGGTCAGGCCTGAAGTCACAGAACTGTGACATTTTGGTGCTATATTGCTATATTAGGTGGCGATAAAGCTAGGGCCGAGGCTATCAGAAGCAGAAGATCTAGCTCCTAATTATATTTTAAACTTTTTTTTAATTTTTCAATACTTTTATTTTATAAATTTCAATTTACAATTTAATTTATTTTGAAAGGGTCAAGTTACATTTATATATTTGAAAGTTTCATCACATCATCAGTATCACATAATAGTGACTGCTTGAATCAGAGCGAAAGGTACAAATAAATGTTGCATAACAATTTACCTGGCATGCAAACACATTGAAACTTTCCAACCATGTCAAGACAAGTTGCGTCATTTTGACATGGCGAGCTTTCGCATTCATTTATGTTAGTTTCACATCTAGGTCCTGTGTATCCATCTGCACAATCACATTCGAATGATCCTTCCGTGTCAATGCATTGGCCGTCGTGTTCACATGGATTTTCACCTGAAATAGGATAGATTGTTAAAATTAGTTGTGAACTCGCAACAATCCAAAAATTTGCCTGATATGTTAAAAGCAGTTTATTTTTCATGTTACTTAAATTACACAACGTAGATATTATATCCTAAACTGAGATGCTAAAAAACGGAACAACATTTCAAGGTGAAGAAAAAAGCAAAGAGCGCAGAAGGGATGAAAAGAACAATCACACTCGCTTTTAATACGTCGATAAAAACATCGTGAAGTCTTGATTTATCTAAGCAACAAACTTTATCAAGATCTCACTCATTTCAGTCAAAAAGACTCCAAGAATAAATGATTATGATAACCTCAGCTCTAGCCCAGACAAAGGACTATACTATATGCTGGTGGCTACTAAACAACATTGTTTATTTCTATGTTAATTGGGAAATACATTTTGATATGAAAGTCTTTCATTATAAAAACCAAAATAAAGTAGTATCATGAAGTATGCACAGACATAAAAAAAAATATAGGTATACAAATAACAACATAATCCTGTCTTAGAAAATTTGCAATAGCCAATATTTAAGAATTCAGACACTTATAAATAATACTAACTAAAAATCAATATAAATAAAATCATTTTCTAAGCTATCCAGTTTAACGCAAAACCACAATATATCCAAATTATGTTCAAAGCGATTCCACCTGCAATTTCAAATCATTTTATCTTTGTTTATCAAGTTTTCAATACTTAATATTTATATAAAAACAAACATGCGGTAGACATCGTAAATTAAGCCTATTACGTAATTCCTACCTATTTCACATTCGTTGATGTTGACATCACAACTTTTTGACGTGTAACCGTCAGGACAGGAACACATCCAGTGACCCGTAATGGGGTTGGTGTCGCAAGTTGATCCGTTGGCACATGGATTAGAGATACAAGCATCATCCAAATGACAAAGGATACCTAAGAAATAAAAAAAAAATAGTTGAAATCACACAAAATTATATGAGAATCTATGTTGTAATACAGAAGGTTGATCCAATTTGGAACAAATTCCAGAGTGAACATAATTTTCAACTGAAGCGTCCTAGAATACTGAAACCCGAGTACAATCATAAGCAAACAGAAGTTTAGCTGTTAAATAAATTTTTGTACAAGTAATATTACAAAATTTTTATGTCATTTTTTATATAAAGAATAGTATGGAAAGATATAAACCATCTTAAGAATTCATAAATTATCTAAAATTGAGAAAATTCCAATAAAATAAACTTAATTTGAGTTACGGATTACAATTACTTCAGCACAGGTAGAAAAGAAGTAGCAATTTCCTGACGTGCTACAAAACGCATTGGAGCGAAAATATAAGAATTATATTACACAAACAGTTACGCTCTGTTGCATTTAAAGTTGAAATTGGGTTTTGCCTCTCAGCATTTTCGTGACAAAATCAGTTAAGAAGAACATATAGCTGCTGAGACTACAAAATATTTTTCATGCGGTTTTTACATCATTGCTCTAAATAAGGCTTCAGGTAAGCAACCCTTTTACCCAGAGTCTTAGGAATTTTAAATTAAAATCTTTTTTTTTTCGAGCCTACAAATTTTATTACATCCCAGGCTTGGTACTGGACATGATGGAATTCACAGATTCAAAGTGGATTAAACAGATTATTTCACACTTTCCTTTATATAGTAAATACTTCTGAAAAAAAAGTAAATGTAATATAAATTCAGAAAAGTTGAAAATTGAAAATGTGATGAAATTAAAAGTACCAGTTTTCCCAGGAACGCACACACAAACGAATGTTCCAACTTTGTCGATACAAGTTGCATTGTGAAAACAAGCAGCAGAACTACAATCGTCAATGTTTTCACTACAGTCATCTCCGGACCAACCATTCACACAGTTGCAAGAGAACGAGCCTATTAAAAATTATTAGTAAATTCAAATTGTAATTCTGATTAACCAATGAAATATCACAACTGTCACAGGGGCACTGTATAAATTAGGTTGAAAATAAACTTAAACCAAATTGAAATTAAAACAAGGGGAAAAAAAACTTCATTAAATTTAAAAATTTTCCAAAAAAAATGTTAGAAGTCCAGATAAAGCCTTTTTTAATGCTGTATCCTGTGTTAGTTAGTTAAAATTTGGAAAAATTTACATTGAAAATAAACTGTAACCAAAATGAAATTAAAACAAGTCAAAGAAACATCATCAAAATTATAAAATTCCCAAAAAAATTCCAGTTGAAGTCTATTTCTTGAAGCTGTATCCTTTGTGACCATGAATAAATTATATAAATTAGTTAGTTAAAATGTTAAAAATAAACTGTAACCAAATTCATCGTTATAAATTCATTACTTAAAATTCTGAGAATGCTAAATGGTATACTGTATTGTTTAGCACAACACAACACAAATAATGAGCCAATCATTTTTTAAATGTACTCTGTGTGAGTGTGTGTAGTGTAAGTGTGAGTACTCTAACAAATTGTATACCTTCTGTATTGATGCATGTTCCTCCATTCATACATCTTGTTGTACCATCGTTACATTCGTCCATGTCTTCCTTGCAATGAGTACCTAAAAAAAACAATAAAAAATCAGAAAAATTTTGAAAACCACAAAAAGTATCAAAATCAAAAATATTAAAAATAAATTCACAAATTCAGATGATTAAAACTATTTCATTTGTGAGATATTAGAAATGATTTGTTTGTGAAATATTTAATAACTATTGAGATATATAGCATTCCGTTTCGAAACATTACATATATCATATTTCGAAACCAGGAGTATTTTGTTTCTTTCACAAGTTAGTCGGATATGTTTGTTAGGTGTAAATGTGTAAAGGCAAAAATAGATAACTCTTACCGGTCCAACCCTCGGCACAAACGCAGAAATAATCATTCAATTCATCAACACAAGTTGATCCCGCAGCACATTCATTACCGATACAATCATCTGTGTTGTCTTCACAATGAGTTCCTTCAAACCCTAGTAAAGCAAGAATAAATTTATTGGTAGGATAATATAATATGATAATCAACACTATATTTGATATTAATTTTAGGGTCTATTAAAAAGATCGAAAGGTATAACAGTTTGAAACACTTTTCTCCAATTTTTTCAACTTGTTTTTAGAAAATTGGCTTAAAGGAAGGTCCCACAGACTCACTCAGAAGTTTTCATAGTAAATATATAATTATTCCACAACTAAAAGGAATACCATACCTGTCAGACAATCACATGAGTAAGAGCCATCAACATTAATGCAATTTCCGCCATTCTAAAATAAAAAACGAAAAGATATTTAAATGACAACAGCAATAAAGCTTTCCTGTTTCACCAATCACTATCTTCCGCTGTGAAAGATGTTCATGTCACTTTTTTTTTTAATGGATTTTTTTTTAATCTATCATTATGGGCCAGGGGACATATTCTGGTCTGTTTCAAAATAAAAATATGTTTTAGTTTTTGCTGTTAGAACCAAACTGTTAGTAAAATCAGATTTTCACAAAACCTTGAAATTTTAACATAAACTATTAGCTAATCTGGTTCTATTGTGGGGTGGTATATATATATTCCTTTCAAAAAATATAAACACAATAGCAACAGCTGCTGTACAGTAAGTACACAAATATAAGAATACCTAGAAAAGGTGTGAGTAAAAGGCCAGACAGAGAAAATTTTTGACCATGTAATAATACGGAGAGAAAATTTTTGACATGTAATAATACGGAATGTCCTAACTCCTAAGACCTAAAGTCTCTTTACAATCTCAATTTTGTTATAAAGTCAGTTCTCAATATATCTTAACCAGGCTTTTTGATCAGTGCCCAACTGTCTAAGTATTTTTACTTTATGTAATTAATACATATGTGAGGGCCAAAACAATTGCAAATGTAAACAATTTTAAGACTTTATGGACATCTTATATAACTGGTCAATCACGCAAAATAAATCCAACTGAAATTTGACTGTCAAAAAAATTTGTTGATCACATGTCTTTTTTATATAATATGAATAATAGAATTTGTGTTGAGCCAGAAACCTCTCTAACGCCCAACGGTCCCATGGGAGTATCAATTCATCAGTTGTAAACAATAAATCATATCATGCTCTTAGGGAGTATTGAAATACCACATGAAGTTTGTGCTAATTGGCATCAAAATCAACAAATTTCAAAAAGGGTCATAAAATATCACAATTACCACAAATGCCGGTGGGCCATTTATCGAAGCATGCTGAAATACCACCATAGCATATTTTCTACTCTAATGGTGTTGACTGACAACATTTTATAGTTTAAGTATATTCAATGAATATATGATTGGTAGTCGCTTATAAAAGAGAGTATGGGGTCATAAATCATCCATCCTATGTATGAATCATCATTTACAATAATGCGTGGGGATCATTTCTTTAAACTAGATTTGAAATAAAATAAAACGCCGATTTTGGTTTGAGCATGGGACCATATTTGTCACGATTTAAATATTTTCAATAAGTAGGCCCCAGACCGTATGAGCACAAAAGAAATGTATTCTATCGCAAATTTTACGCATGGCATGCGTAGCATAAAATGAGTCAATTCAATGTTATTTGTGGAGATCTAGTTACGCTAAAGCCTGCAAAATTAAAATGCACATTTTTTTTGCACAAATTCGATAAATAGCGTTCATCGATATGGTATTCCCTAGCATGTTACAGCCACAATATCTGAAGCGAAACATCAAGCAGGTGTTGTCAGAATATATCATTTCTCGTATGACGTCATAGCGCCCATAACTTATATTAAATTGTTACGTTTAAAAAAGTGGTTTAAAAAATAAAAACAGTCGTCCGCGTGTGATCAGACAAAAAAGATATGACGCAACGCTTTCCGTATGGTGTTACGATTAACAGTGTACCTAATGTTGACTTAACAAAAAGGTACGTGTATTCAGAAAAAGGAGTCTCGGCTTTTTTGTTTTGTTAGGGGCTGATAGGAATTTCTATTGTACACCTCTCAAGTTTTCATACTTTCTGTTTCTTTTTGTTAAAACGAAAGATTAATTGTCGCTAAGAACAAACATAAATTAAAATAGACTTCTGCGGGATTGACTTGTACTTAAATCGGGAATTATCGCGGCTTCCGTCCCGAGACTAGTATTTATCGACGTTAGAGATATGTGCGCTTGTTATCCTTGTCCAATCATAGACCAGAGAATTTCTATTCTCCACCGTGGATAAATCATATAATATTTCTACAATGAGTAATAAATCGGCTTTTTCGTAAGTGCTCATTTGCGCTTTCGTGGAAGACATACTGCGTCTATCGAATTCGAATTATAAATGTAAATGTGTTATGATTATAACTGCATGAATGAACATTATGAATTACGTAAACCGGTAATTAAAAAATCTATATTAGTAAATACCGAAAGACGAGTTAATATTATCGGACATAAATTAAAATACAATATGATAATCGTTGTTACAATATGGAAAATGAAATAAAATATCATGACGACGAATAAGATCGGAAAAATGAAAGTTTCACAAGGTTACTTATATTTTGATATATAATTAATAAAACAATTAATACAAATATTTAATTCGCAAAAAAAAACTTTTATTATCCTAACGCAAAATTTGTGTTCAATTTTCATAACGTTATATTTCGACCGTCGAACACCGTATTTATCGAATAATAAATAAAGGTTATTTGTATATACAGAAGAAATATATAATTTATACCAATCGTTTTAGTATTTCTCAAAATCGAATTTGAGTGATTAGATCCATTCAAAAACTCTCAATCTATTATGGTGCAGCGCCCGAAAAAGTGAATTGTTGATTTTTTTTTGTCAACGCAATTAACAACGCAAGGAAATCATTAAAATAACAAAAGATTGACAACAGATGGTCAATTGGTCAGTTATATCGCGTGACCTAAAAATGTTGTCCGAAAAGTCAACGGGGGATGTCATTATTTGTATTATTTTGAATAATAAGAAGGTATTTAGGGGGGATATTAATTTGAATAAATTATTCCATCGAGTACGCCACGATAATTTAACGAACAAAAATATCGCCGTGGTAGCTTTATAATGATGTTGGAATAAAATACCAATACCCATATAAAGTTTAATTGTAATTTTGTTATATTCAAATTATTTCATATTAAGTATATAAAAAAGTAAAATAAGTTCAAATACTGGGTAGAAAACGAACAAACCAAAAATATACATACCGTGAGTCGGTAGTGGGTATACAGCTGCTTTAATGGCAAATCAAACTCAGAATGTTTTTTAAAAATTTCTAAATCAAGATGAAATAAGAAAACAAAGCCATATGACAGTGGCTATCAAATTTACCGACAAAACAAGGAATCATGAATCTCCAGTTCTGTTCCTCCAGTTCTGTCCAAGTTCCAAATTAATAAATATGAAGACGGGAGATACTCTAGTCTAGGGAGATAGAAAAGTCCTAAAGAATTTTCAAGATGCATTTTCGCACTTCCACTCCGAAAAGGTGTCTAGACAAGCGGCGAGAATTAAACAAAAGTTTTAAAATAATATAATATGTTTTGTAATGATTTACACAATAAATATTACCGCTCAATGTATAATTTGCCATTTTCAGTGTAAAAGTTACCAAACATCACAATTCCCAACATTTTTCATCGGTATATTTGAATTTACACAATAAATATTACTGCTTTATGTATAATTTAATTTTCCATTTTCAATGTAAGAGTTACCAAACATCCCGATATTCAACAAAATGTATCAGTCCATTTAAATTATTCGAAATAGACCAAATTTGAGGTAGAATTTAATTACGGCAAAATATTCGGGTGTAGACATCCCCCTAATGAGAATATCACAGTTGGATATATAGCGACATTTGGAATTTACCAAGCAGTCGCCCGACACGGATGCGCACTTTTAGCGGAAACGAATACAACAGTATATTTCACAATACGGTTGAAAACGAAATTCGATAGTTCGTAGGCGCGTAACACGGCCCCTGAGAATTGTTACAATGATACACAGCGAGCGATATCAGAAAAACACTGCAACATAATTACACTTACAAACGAGACAGAAACGTATTACACGTATAATAAATTGCACAAATCTTTTTCAATACTGACTGAAGTTAAAACTAAAATCTGGGGGCAAAACCAATTTTACTATTTGAAATACATTCTGAAAAAATATTTTTGAATGAGGAATATCAATACATTCTAAACTGGGGGCAAGTCCATTAGGAAAATGATATAAATCACTATAAATAACCTTCATAATGATCATATCTAAAAAGACATAAATATATAGGCCGTTGTTTTCTCTGTGTTAAATTCAACGAAAGTTCTTGTACTTCAACAACATTAACAGAATGATTTCGAGCGAAATTGGACCGTCCTCATACATCACAAATTATTTGAGAAGCGTTTTATACGTTGTCCATATCCAATCGATGATTTTCCGTATCAAAACGTTGTTGGATATTCATCGCCGAAACTTAGTTTCAATAAATAAACTGAAATCGTAGCAACATAACTAGACAGGGACAATATCTTTTCAAACTACAAACGCACAAAACGATAATTGATTTGAAATGAAAAATTGAATGAAAACGCAGCCTGTGTGCCTTGTTTATCCTTTGAAATCGTACCACAATGAAAAATACAGTATACAATTATGATAGTAATATGGCGTATTGAAAATTATAACACGTATTAAATACCAATTTTTTCAACGTTTTAAAGCGAATAATTAATATCAATAATAGTGATCAACTGAAAAAAAAAACGGCGTTTAGTAAAAAACGAAATATTGGGCGTTGCACAATGTAAAAAATGAACTATCTATGACCTTATATTGCGTGCCAAAAGACAAAAATCCGACCGTGAAAAAAAATAATTTTGTTGGTGTAACTTGACAATGATATTTCTAGAGATGTATGAAAGTCGCATATCCATTGACGCAAAAAAAAATGGCTGAAAAAATCGGCATTTAATTTAAAACGTTTTAATTATTTTTAAATACAAATTAAACTTCTGAATAGTGCATGAACGTATGAGTCACTACGTGTCCTGCAACTCGAGTCAAAGATCAATCGGAAGCTGAATTTCTTTGCAATGAAACACGTAAGAAATGTAACTGAAACAAATTTTATTCTCGTATCATGATTGGTGCAGAATAATTTCCCTTGGAGAAAATCACTCAGCCAGAAAAGACATCGAGGCAGGAAGTAGTGACTAATCATTGTGAGGGTCCTCGAAAGTAAATTAGGAAACAATTGGCACACATGTGGCGTCAGTTAATCCCAAAACGTCGATCAGATATAATAAATATTTTTGAATGAAACATAAGGCAAAGTGCGGTATATTAACTCATAATGTACCGAGTAATTAAGTCTCCTAAATGTCGTCGCTCGTTGGCAAAAGGTTAACATTGAATCGAGCCTTGAGCGCGTCTTGCAAATTGTTCGGAAGAGAAGTTCTATTTGACAGAAAATATAGGCGATCATTGCATAACAGCATTATTGTGAAAATTTACGACAACGCAATTTTTGTAAATCGCCTACATACTATGCAAAGTTGGTGCTGCATACCCACGGCTTACAATTCGAATTTTGGTAAATATTATCTTCCAGGAGAAATTAAACACCATGTTTAGTCTACAATCTGACACGCAGGTGTATGTTGTTGATACGGCGATAAGAAAAAAATTAATTTCTGTAGTCAGACTCAGATATTCAAATGTGATCAATATTAAAACGACCCAGTCTTATTTGTATACTATACTTTAGCTACTTTGAAATAAGGCATTGCAATGACGCACAAGATCACACAATATACAATATCGGGCAAGCTTATAACTAAGTAGGTATTAAGTTTTTACAAACTTAAAATTTCGAGATCGCATTCGAATATAATATCAAAAATAGAAACGTAAAAGCCAATTATTTCCCTAAAACTAATTGTAGTTAGATGGTTGCAAATTATATATATGTTTATCCAGTTGGCCATGTTTGAAATTATTGGTATTGTCATGAATATTTATTTCATTGTTTCAAACGCAAAGGACAGAAAAAGAAGCAGTAATTAGGAACACGCTGCACCAATTAAGTATTTACAACACATTTGGTAAAAAGAATAGTCGAAAAAATATTCGAAATAGATGCTTTCACACCGGTTAGAGTCGCCATTTATTTCACAAATTCTATGTGGATTGTCAAAGCAGAATAACACAATAATTAAATTCAGAAAGCGCTCTTGTGTGGAGGCGATAAGTACTTGATCTTTATCCGCATATACTGTAATTACAGAAAACCAGGGACACGTGACGTCACAAGTGGGCATTAAAATTTCATCTGCCGTGTAACGGGTATTTGACTTAAAGATCAACCCCCGCTCTCCACAATGCTGAAAATCAGTTTTCTATTTCACGAGGGTACTTTAAAATGTAAAAATAACTTGTTTTGTTTAAAACAATACAAGTTCAGTTTTTTTTTTTGAAATAATAAATCGTGTATGGGCGACGAATTCCAGGAAAATCTTTTCTCTGGGCTAGGCTTTATCATACAAGTGTGAAACCGATCTGCGAATCGTGGATGGCAAATTGAGGAACAAAATTATAGAGATAGCGACACGACTTGCGCATTATTTATGAAGAATTATAAAACGATCAAGCGATTGAAAATTAAAGCTTAGGTCGCGATGGTCGTCGCCGCTTCGCACCTGCCTTTCAGCAGCAGGCCGACGACTTGTCCTAACGAAACACGATGACAAGCTAAGTTGATATTTTTGCCTAAAGAATTCGTCGACAAGACGAAATCCGTATGTCATTGTTTGTTTTACAATTTAATCCGTGAAAATTGATATTAGAAAATAATGAAAAGTAATAGTCATATTAGTAAAGGCTATAGTCAAACGTCTATTCTTAATAAAATTAATAATAATAATTCAAGAAAAAAAAGAACGAAAATATTTTATTCATTTTCGCTCTAATTTTTAAAATAAAAAACTTTCAACTTCCAGTTAATATTTGGATAGACGGTACAATTACAGTAATTATACACCATTATCGCAGGCAATTTGACATTATAAAATATAAACTTCTGTGACGAGAAATTCTAATCGACATTTAAGGTTTTGTAAGATCGGTAAAATTACGTCTAGGACGCGGTAAAGATGTATATCGGATTTATGCATATCGTAAATAATGTTATCATAGACCGCAAGCTGAGCCGCTAGGTTGCTTTATTTCGACGTATTGTATTGTATGCGGAGTGCGACCCGACGGCGTTCGTTTATCTCTTTTTGTCGTGGAGTGATAAATAAAGAAACAGGGTAACGTCTCTCCTCAGGCGCGCGCGAACTTTCATCGAAATCCTTTCCCACGCTAGTGAAGCGTAACGAACAAGATTAAGTATCCAACGATAAACCAAGAAATGTGTTTGGAAGCAAAAAAGGAAAACGGCTAGAGGCGCCGACATAAAAATAGGGTTGCTTTAAAACAAGATGGCACAGCGTACGCTTTTGTGAAATCACAATGGGGTCCAGTAGCCGAAAAGTTGAAAATGTAATTTTACTCCGACGATTGTGATTCGGTAAATATACGAACCCTTATGCGTAATTCAACAAATAAACTCAACGTATTAAAATATGACGAAGATAATAAGCGTGGCGTATCAATTATTGGTTCTCATGCGGGCGGGATCAAATAAATCATCATATCAAAGTGAAATATACCCTGTTAGTAAGCTATGTAACAATACACACATGTCTGTATGAAATGTATATGAAGTACTTTTTACATGAGATATGTGGGAAAATGATTTGACTGATACACCAAGTTAGAAATTTTGAAACTAAATTTGTTATAATAGAACAACCAAACTCCATATGTACAGATAAAAAGTGCATGTGAATAACAAATATTCCAGAATAACAATGACTATATGATAAATCAATCTTTTGCCGACTAAATTTGTTCTACAATGAACAAAAGTGTGTAAAAATAAACAATACTAAGTTCTCATATAAAATCACCTATTGTTATAAAGCTAATATTGACCAAATGTCTACTGAATTACACAGTTGCGGCAGGTAGTTCAATTTACAAGCATGAACATAGAACAAACAAAACCAATGATGTTTGAATCTATTATTTTCTAATAAATTTTCCAAAAAAATAGTGATATAGGATTATTGGTTATCTTTTACTACATAACTACATAAGTTACCCAGGAGAATGGTACAGGGTGACGTCAAAAGAGAACCCATGTCATTTGGAATATATTCTAGAGAGAACTTAACTTTTGTGCTAAGTGTTACTGAAACTTTTGGATACAATCATATACAAACACAAGTTCATGAGTTAAATGTATTTTCTTCATTTTCGCAAAAGTGATCAAGAAATTCGTGGGTTCAGTTTTTTTTGAGTCCCCCAGTACATCAATAATTTTGCCTGTATGGAGTAGATGAAGTCAAAAAATCAAAGTTTGAAACTGAAAATCTATAATACATTAAGTCAGTCATCCTTGAAAGGAACAATGATAAAAGACACCTACTCTTAATTTTAAATAACAATAAACGATAACGAGGCACAAATTATAAGTGGCACTTGGAACTATAGTCGTTAAATTCTCACAAGCGAAAGATGATGCGCTCATAAAAAGAGTAACAATAATTTTGCATGAGGGGGAGACAATAAACAAATTACATAAAATTTATAAAGTAATAAATTCATCATTAGAAATTAATAAAATGTTCCGCTTGACTAAGCAATTTAGGTTAAGAGTTATACATAATAGAAGCTGAAGAAATTCACCTTGTTGGTCAATTAAAATACAATTGTCTACTTGTTCCCCAACGTAACACCATTATACTTAGATATTTTATTTTATGTTAAAGACTTTTGCTTCTGGCGATTAAAAATTCCTGAAGTATCATATAATTAAGTACCCGAAGTAATTTGATAATTATGTTTAATTGAATTATCGCGGAAGTTGAAGCAAAACAAGCGCAAATCAGTTGATTCGAACAATAAAGAGTTTCGTAAGTGGAAGCTACATTTCACAAATGTCTATATATGTCTGGTGTCCATATATGTCTTAAATTCCGTTTGAAATACTGTTCATTTTGCGGATAAACAGTCTATTACAAATTAAAAATATAGTTTTTTAAATAATCCTATTAATAATCAATCAAATATTGGCATGGTATTGCCGAAATTTATGAGGGTGAGCTGTCCCATAATGATGAAAATATTCTAACATATGATTTTTCAAGATATGTACCATAACTCATAATGTTGATGATGCTACTATTACTATCCTGATTCATGAAAATGAGGGGTTTTTAAATATCACTATTTTTTTAAAACATCGAACTAACTAGTTGAAGACTTCGTACCAATTTTCACCAGCTTGATAAAATCAAAAGCTTTAAGCTGCTAAACAATTTAATAGTACACAATCTAATTTTAGTTTTTGATGCTCATATTACCCCAGTTTAACCACTGTACATTTAAATTCTTGCTTACATAAGTGACACAGTATGCATCACCCCTATTACTAGTAAAAAAACAGTCACTGCATCATACATGTAGGGATATGATATAGTGTGCATCATTGACTCAGTATCGAAAAATATAATTTCCAGGTGAACGGAAATTTTATTTCTGTAAATAAACTGTGAATTACTGCCTCCGATGGTTACATTGCTGGATTTTTCATAGTGTAAGCTATATGGAAAATTATGATAACAGCCTTAGTATCCAAGGTACAAAGATAGAATTAACAATGTCTATTATTGAGTAATATAATGAATCGGCATACCGCACATAGGTTAGGATTGTCAGAACATTCATCTTTATCATTGGCACACGTGTCACCATAATAGCCATCCGTGCAAGTGCATTCAAAACTGTTTGACACGACAGTACAAGTTCCGTGATTGCATGGGTTTGAATGACAGTAATTGTAATCACTGCATGTGGTCCCTAAAGAAAACACAGAATAAATTTCATTATAGAATTCGCCAGAAATGATTACAAACAATCAGTAAATAATAATGTTCCATATAAGGAACTGGCACACTCTAATAGATGCCTTAAAATAGTTCAGATTAGAAAATCATGACCGACTGATGTGAAAAAAATGAATACGGTAAATTTTGATGGCACATCAATAAAGTGGTAATAACTTTAAATCTTTCAAAACTCTCAAATATGCTTACCCATATATGTAGATGGGCAAGAACATTGCCATGTATAGTCAGTGGAAGATGTTGCTACTACGCCACACGTTCCGCTATTATCACAAGGTGATGAAGCACATGGAGATACACTATAAAAGAAATAATGTGATAGTTTTATGAATAAAATTCATTCATATTAAATAATTTAAGAAAAAAATAAAATCAGCCTAAATGCCTAAAAATGAGTAAAATCCTCAAAGTTCAGGGTCTTTTTCAAAATATACTATAAATTCTTAAAATAGAAGTTTCGAAAACAATTTTATTTGTACCGTTAATTGTTTTATAAAAAATACAAAGTCGGATAAATAGTATAAATTAGGCATATTCAGAATAAATATAAAACTGAATATTGCAAATTAATTGGTGTAATACATGCACAACCTATAACTAGACGCAATCAGGATGTAATTAAATGGTCTATACATATCCTGTTAACATAAAATTGATATTCAACATTAATAGATATACAATAACGTGATAATCATTTAAATGAAAACCAGCTATTTTATGTATTTGAAACATACGGATACAAATTGTTGATTTCTTCAAATAAACAGAGACGAAAAATTTCCCATTATTATGTTTGAACACAATAGCACATACGAAATTTTTCCCACAAAACTCAATGCAATAAATAGATGAAAATGAACGTAGCAAACATTACCTGCAAACTGAACTTATACATATTTGGCCACTTGTGCAATCCGCATTAGATGAACAACCAGATGCTAAAAAATGAAACATATAATTAACATATTCCAAGCACATTTTTATTTAACTTCATTATTCTCGCTAAAATATAAAACAGCGTCAATACACATAAATTTTCTCAAAAATATGACCAAGGAAGAAATCACATATATCAAGCAATATTTAATCTCCTATTTTATTTCGGTGAAATATTGTGAAGAATGCTCCTATACAGCTCAACTGTACTCATGTGAGAATTTTCATTCCACAATTGACTTTTTTAGATAAATATCTGACTAAAACAATCTACAACACTGTATGAAACAATAGAATAAATAACATACCGTAAACAAATAAAAATGGAAGAAAAATTGCCGCTTGAAAAATAATCCGAAATTGAGGTAAATCCATTTTTTGTTGAAGTTAAATCCACTTCCTCGACATACGATACAATATGTATGTCACAAGAGTAAAATATGATAAAACCTTATTAAATAAATTAACTTGTTCTCTTTATTGCTAATTACATTCCTTCTTTTATTTCAGTGGATAAGGAATTAACTGAACTATCATCTAAAAAATATTGAATACATTATATCAAAAACAGCCTACTACCCCCAAGACGTTCAAATAAACCAGTGCTTCCCAATATTTTTCGTTCAATTTCTTTCTTCAACTTATTTGGAACTCTATGTTCCTCTCTCCCTACACATAAAAAAACTGTATTTATATATCGATTTTTAGCTAGTGTTATGCACAAGAGAAGTGCTACAGTAAGGATAAAGAACTAAACAATACTTGTAAGACTACAGCATATATAAAGCAAAATTCCTCCTCGAGTGACAATATTTCTCCTTGGTAAGGAATCCCTCCCAAGTTGGGAAATATGGCAGTGTTGTAACTCAGACTAATCTGTCTTGCTTCTATAGCTCAAAATGCTTAACTAGAAATATCAAGCTAGCAGTTTAAAAGCATAATGATTATTAAAACAGTTCCCACATTCTATAATATATTATTATACAGTTATGGCACTAATCTTTCAGTGACATTATTGCATCCAAGAGATTAATAAGAGATTAACCTAAAAATCAATACATGAATCAAGTAGTATTGAGTGTGAGATTTTCTCCCTTGTGGGGCTCCAAAATGAAGAGATGAATTTGGTTGAGCTGTTAATCCGAAGATATAAAAATCATATTATTGTTTACCTCATTTGAGAATATCCATAATTAAATATTTTGATAAGGTATTTTATTTTTTTATTTTTATTTATTTGGAGGTGTTCAATTCAGAATTAACATCTTCTTGTTTAAATTCTTAATAATGCAGTAATACATCCAACTCCAATAGACACAATAGAAATTTCTTAGTTCTTTACTACACTGCTTACAACAGTACAATGGCTGAATGGTTAGTATTGTTCATCTAATTATTAATTAAATATTTTTGAAATTTTTCATTATTTATGAGTAAGCTTATTTCAGTATTCACTGACTGCATGCTTTTAACCTTGCTAAAAGATTTTTGGTAAATATACAGAAAATACCATACAAAAAAGTTTGAAATTAGACAAAAATTTTAGTTTGTTCTATACTACTTCACTAGAATTATACGGTACTATCAGACTATAGACAGATAGACGTTTATAACAGTAGTTTGAAATACTCGCATACCAGCATACAGATTTATAGTATGGTACTCAAACTCTAAAATAATGTCTTATGTATGTTGTCGTAAATGACAAAAAGTACAGTCAGCCAATACAACATACCGGAACAGACATAAGACTATTATTTGGTCTCTACTTTCCTTCTTACAGTCTTACTGTCTTATGAAGATCGCGAAAATTTCTGATTCAGATAATTATATTTCAGAATTTTGCATATGATTAACAACAGTTAAAGATATTCAGCTTATTAACTGACACGCTGACAAAGAGGTATTATTAATCCTGTCTAAAACCGGTTCCCTAGAAACTGCATTACCGTACTGCTGTACTGAATTACGGTACCGGTACCGGTACCGGTTCTTCCTAGTTTTGAGCCTATCACTTAAACTTGTCGTGTGTAAGCAAATACTGGAATATCGCTGCATTGCCAATTGCATATTTGCGACAAATATCCCGCTGGTTGCTTGGCTAGTACTTCCTTGCAATAGATAGAAAACAGCTATCAAGTTCCCGTCGCGTCTGGGTTTCTTTATTTACAGATTTACGACAGTCTGCAGGAAATCACGACAGGCAAGCTCCAGTCCAGCAGCGACAGTCGCCAATGGTGCATGGAGTAATAATCTCATACATTTTTGAATATGAATGAGTAGAATGTTAACATCAATTAATCAAAACATTTTTATCTGATAGTTAGCAGATTTTATTGAATATTATGAGTTGGCTCAACTAATAAATATGATTTGGCGGTCTGCGGACGATGGTAAACCACGAGAATACGACTTACAATAGCACGTTGTATGACCATACTTCAGTGCACCAGTTCAAAACCTGTAGCAGGTGATACGAGGAAGAGGATTACTTGGGCGCATGGTGATTTGGATAGTCATTGGTCAGTGTCTGCTTCATGCAACACCAAATGCTATGTATGCATCTTGACAGGTAAGCGCAAAGTGAAAGGAAAGAACTGGTTTATTAATTTATCAATTCGATAATCATATTTCCTCACCTCGAATGAAAAATAAATATTTTTTTCTATAATTTACTGATAAAAATTTGCAATAATCAACGACACTAAGAACTACATGTAGATCGCTATTCATGAATATTTTTTAGATCGGCCAATAGGTTCGAAACAGTCGCTGGATGCACAAGCACATAGAAAGACATAGCGGCAGTAGTGCACGAAACGAGTGGTAGGCATAATTCAATCCATCTATTTTATCAACTTTTTATGCTACTGTCGCAGATTCCACAACAATATGTGTCCAGTGTTTGTCGTATTGATATACCACTGACATTACTCAATGTTTTACAATCAACTGAAATCGTAATATCTATATATAGGATGTTTCCCCGACCCGTGACCCCAGAAAAATTCTCCCCATACTTTGCTATTGCAACATTTTGGTTGCTTATTGAAAAGTTGGCACTTACAAACTTAGTTACATGATCAAAAACCATCATATTTTTTCAAAATATACAACCAGTTGCCGCTAAGAGGTACTGATAGCTTACTTTACTTTAAGCATAGGCTATCGCAGCTTTTCTGGGACTGATTTTTGATTACTGCAACTAAACTAAAGCTCATCGGGAGACATATTGATAATTAAATTACTTCATTTACAACTAATTTTTAGAAACACAACTGAAATCTGACAAATAACACGCAAAACCACGAAAACGAGGTAATGTTTACAACCGAACAGGGCGTCTGTAAAAAAATTACCATTGTTACGTCATCGTTTATTTTTTTGCTGATTGGTCATTGTTACAGAAATAAACAAGGTAATCGATGATCAGGAAAACATCCATAGCAAGGATTTAAATTACGAACTTTTTAATTAGCAAAAAGAGGAATTTGCGTCATTTGCTCATAGATAGTGCGCAGTTTTGATCTTTACACAAACAGCACTTTTTTTCAGGACTGTGACGATTACAGATACTCGATTTTATGCAACTTATGTTAGTGTGTGAAAACACGGGTTCGCGTGTATAAGTATAAACAAAGACGTAAACAATGCTGGGTAAAAACTTCTCCTACATTCGAAAGAGTTTAAAAAAAAAATTCTACTATCGTCTTCGATCTACTCTCAACCGCAGTAAAGTCACCACCATCCCGCTCCATCTTCATTTCAGATTTCTAATTCAAGTCAACAAAATTATGTTTTCCAAACGACACTGAATGCTAAAGAAGAATGAACGGCAAAGGAACATGAGTATGGTTCTCGGATACTTCCAGAATCATTGCACCTCTAAAATGTAACTGCTGTAATAAATAGAAACAATCTCCTCAAAACCATGCCAATTTGTAAAAGTTACAAAAGTTATCAGATCCATTGTATGCTATAAGATTTGTGAAGGCACTGTTGGCAGTGGGCTGGTAACGATGTAGCCTACTATACTCAGCTTACTGTTGAAATTAAGTAGGCTTACCATAAATCTGAAACAAAAAACCGGGACGGTGCGATTTGGCAAACATTCGGTCGATTGCCAGTCTTGATAATATTGGAACGTCTACCATGCCATTGCGGGTATATACGGCTGTAAATCTCTACTGATCATTGAATTGGAAAAAACACAAAAAATTAGTTTGTATTATTTATTTATTTTAGACCAAAAGTATTTGTCCGCAGATGGAACCTTTCTCAAAAATTCTTGTTTTGATTTTGTCATAAAACTGATAACAAGAGACATCACCATGAAATTTGCAGGTTACGGAATTGTTGTATATTTTCTTCTGGCATTCTGCACCTGCTTTCGGACCAAAATTTTTTAACAATGAAAAAAATCCTTTTAACAGATGCCGATGTTCCGAAAAACAAAATCAACCAATATGCAGCAAATTCGAAATGCTAATATTTCTGTTAGAAAAAACGTTAAACATCTTTGTCCACTTAATTTCAACCGGCAAAGTAAGTCAAATTGCATTTGAACCATGCTCAGATAAATATCTCTTTATCAGTATTCGTCAAAAAGTGCATCGCTATTCAAAACCTGATCAGCTAACCAAACATATTAATTATCAATTTTGCAGACCAAACACTTAAGTCCAGTTTATTTCACTCTTCAAATTTGTCCGTATGTGTGGCCTGGCAGCATTGTAGGCTTCATCGTGCAGCTCTATATACGATAGACATTTCTCGTAAAAATCGCAAACATTCTTTTTAAATACAAATTTTTTCCCTGCAAATTTAGCTTTACCTCTGACAGAATATTTGCAACATCTACGGCAGGGGTCGGCAACCTTTTGTCGCCCGCGGGCCAAAATTAAGGGTTGTGAGTCATTGGCGGGCCGCACATATTTTTAGAAAGTTGAAACTGAACGGATGATACTTTTTATATTAAAAATCAAGCAGTGATACATCTCTCGAATAGAATATAGATTTATTTCCTCATTGCATCTCAAAAAATTACATTTGAATATTTTCAGCGCCATTGAACCCTTTGCACTTAGCATCAACTTTTCTGCGTTTTGTTGCCATTCGAGCTTGAAGTAAATCATCATTAAATTCTGAGGAGAACAGCGGGGCAATGCACCAACTCTCATTTATTTCTGACTAAACGTGCAAAATCAGCGAATCCGCTTATCAAACAGCGGACATCAGAAATTCTAACTGTGTATATTTACAAGTTAATGCAAATTTAGCCTCAAAAAAATTTGAAATTAATTTAGAGGTGCAGTCAAAACTTTGGTCATGAATAGCAGTGTGATAGGTAAATGTCGGCTGCCAACGACACAGAATCATCCGAATTTGTTATCGCAAAATTGGTCAGTCGAGTCGATGCCTCAATGTTTTGTGCTTCCTGCTTTGGATATGATCGTTGACATCTGAACGTCCGCCATGACTAATAGAAAAACAGATCTGCAATGCGTACAGTGTACCTTTCCTTCTCCAGTTTGCTTCAAATAAGGTAAATCTTTCTTCAACTCATCAGAAAACTTGTACTTTCTTTTTGGCATTTCGACAACTTAACGACATTGCAGTTAACGCCAGGAAACGCATTAAAACATATACCAATTGTGACATAACAATAGAGCGATTTCTCTCTCTGAACTAGCAAAGTGTGTCGCAAAACAGTGGTAAATGGGCTGTCACCGTTAAAAAAAAAATTTGTAATAATAATGAATTTGAATTTTACCCATGAAAACCGTGCTGACAAACCGGGACATTTGAGTCAACCGGCCGGGACGCCGAGACAGCTTGTCAAATCCGGGACTGTCCCGGCTAAACCGGGACGTATGGTAAGCCTAAAATTAAGTCCAGTATGTTTTTTGCATTATTTCGTAAAAACATGATGGGTCATGCTTTGTGACCCGAGAGTCAGCAGTTCCCCATTGAATAGTATTGTATATATATAATTGTAGAAGTATTTCCGTACATCGAGGATTGACTCTAAACTCGCATGACAGATTTATTTTTCTGGTGAATCTCTGAGAGTATTTCGCAAATGTATGAAAACAACCACAATGTGTAAGACATGAGCATTTAGCACCCGGTGAATGCTAGATAAATATAGGCTGCATAAAAAAGAAACATATAAAATGGCATAAATGATTTTCCATGACACACTTCATATATACATGTATATATATATAACAAGTTGCATTTAAGAAGTTTGTCCAATTAAAAAAGTTTGACCTCGTATATTTCTTAGCCTTAACAGTTGATCATCATCATAGGTTCATTACTTTAAATCGGTTTATAGTATTGAAGATGTTACTCAAATCTTTATTAAACCTGTGGATTTATATGTATATATGCTTAATTTATAGGCCAGCTTAGCGCAAATAACCAAACAAGTAAAAGAACAAATACAAAAGTACCCTGAACTGCGTCAATTTAATTTCAGCGCTGTTATAATGTTGACACCTAAATACTATTTTCATGAGACTGACTGAACAATTCTAATGTTTTTAATGAAAGCATACCTGAAAGAGTATTATTTAGATTAGACATATGAGTAGGCGCGCACCGGAGAATTGTTGTGTATGTGGACATTTTGAACAATCAAACCTATGTGAAAGTGCGGATTGGCCCTTTCTGATCTGGAGGGCAGTTAGATATTTACGACAGCCAAAGTACTTGGAAAATCGAGCTGTCGGTATTATAGCAATTGAGAGATTAGAAGTCAGACCTGTGGCACAGGAGTAGTGTTTCTTGTTTTCTTTTACGCTAAGAATCACCATTTATATTTATGGCTAATTTGAGTTGAGTTAAAACGTATCTCAGTTACTCACTTCATTCGTTAGAATCGCTTCACTCAAAAAAAAAATCTCTGTGCAGGATAATATATATATTTGATGCCCATTTGTTTGACAGAATGTATTTCATTGATACAGATGCACGCTGTAGTTTCAGATTTTGTAGAAGGGAATACATTACCTGGAAGGTCTGTCTAAATTTACTGAAAATATTAATTTATTTTTCATCGAGGAGCGTAGGTTTATCTATAACTGACTTTGTGGGCAGTTATCCACATCGCGTAAAATACGACTTGAATATACAGTACAAAGAAGGGTAGAAAGCTATTTTCGTAAAATAAATGTAAATAGCGATTATTTTTATAACACATTATAATTGAAAATGAGTATCGACGGTAATTCATCAAAATCGAATTACAAAAATACAAGAAATAGAGCTCTTCGATTGAATTGCTTGATGGAACAGGAATTAAGAAATATTGACATCACAAAAAAATCGAACATGATTTACGTTGAAAGTGAAATCAGGTGAATATGAATAAGGGCTTTTTCAAATAATTCAAAAACGTAAAACAGACCAATGATTTCCCATTCGCGTCCCTTTGAAACAATCATCAGGTTCGTGTTCTCATACGTTAATAAGGAAACTTTTTCATTGATTTCAGATTTTTTTGTGTGTGAATGATACTTGAATAAATCAAGCTATTCTAAATTTGAGTCAGAGTAATAGGTAAGGATATACAGTAAATCGGTTAAAGCATTTCAAATTTTCCTTTGGTGCTAGGTCTTTGAAGGGCACTGCCTACTCTCACTTAAGAAACTATAAAATAGACAATCAGGGGGAAAAAAACGCTTCCAGACGTTAAGAATTAACAAATGTTCATTTCCTCAATTGCTAGGAATAGATATATTCACTGCTTTAGTGGTCTTTTGTTGTTATTGACTGATGTCTGACCTTATTGTAGTGCGTCCATCTTGCGTCTTTCTTTCTTTTCAGGTCGTATTCCAATTTGGACATATTTTGTCTTTTCTAACGTGTTATCATAAAATATATGTTCAATGTGTAAATGATAATAATATCTTGTATATATATGTACTGGATATTAGCATAGGTGTATGCCATGTCCTGTTATGGAAAGACATATTCCAATTGCGTGACCCAACACCGCTACCATTATATTCCATCAAGGCGGACACGGAGCATATTTGGTTTATAGAATCTAAAATTATCTCTCCTAACAAACTACTAAGGTTTTCTGTTTTTAGGTTCAATTGCGACTCGTAAGTGTAAGCGTGCTTGGTTTCATTCCTTCCTCCTTACATACCAAATAAAATATTACACACAAATGCAAAAAAGATTTCAATGTATTTTAATGTATCTTTTAACAAACAAAAAAGTTTTTTTCATTGAATTATGAACATACTTTTAGAGCCACAAGGATATTTTTGTCTCTCATTCACAAGCATTGCGGTAAATGCGAGACGGCAATAGAAACTACTGGAAAGGAAAACGAAATGTTAAGGTCTGATAAAATAGTAAAACATTAATTTTTTTCAAATTGAATACAGAAGATTGCTTGGGTATGGGTAGGGGCATTTTAGAATTTAATACCTAAAACTTCATTTTGCGTAAAATGGAGATTATCGCAACTTCTGAACGATTTCTTCTTAGATTATAGGACACGAAATGTACATATGGATCGTTTTGTTTTTTATGTTGTTCTTAGAATTCTTTTTTCTAATTATCATCCTTGTTGTTACGTTATTCTTGTTGTTTTTTCATTAACTGCAGCACCAATTGCCTCTAAATTTTCAGTGGTTGAGTTTTGTGTTTTTCACTAGAAGGTTATAACTTTTATTTATTTCAAAGATTTTTGCGAGCTCTAGACTAAGTGTCCGTTTTTGTGTGCGACACCGTCATCGAAATTAAAATATGCACACCCTGGGGCGATTCCGGATTCGCGATCAGGTGGTCAGGCGAAGTAATGAACACTGCGGTAGCGGTATTCGACTGTGACATATTGCATTCTCACACTACTTTGTTTTGGCTTTCGTGTCCATATATTTGAGCGCCGCTTTCTTGTGTTATATGCTTATGAGAAGTCTATGAACTAAGCTCATAATCGCTCATTTCTGTTTTATTTTTCAAAATATTCCATGCATGCTCATATTTGTACTTCATCCCACTGTTACAGCTATAACAAGATATCGTAATGGTCTAACTAAGAAAACACGCAGATAAAATAGCTTTGTTATGAGAACTGTACAGCGCAAAATCAAATTACATTTCCCAAGTTGGTAAATCGTGTTTGCAGCACAAATAATCGAGCTATTTTGGCACTCGTATCGGGTTTGGAAATTGGTTTTAATTAGCACATTTGTCTACGATTATTTTGTCCATTTTTGCAGTATCTATGTGAAAAGATTATTTTAATAATGATTAGGATATATATATGTATATGAATATTGCAAGTACTTAAATGCAATTCATCTACAAGTCGTACCTACAAGTTCTATTTATTCCAGGAAAAAATTAAGGCGGAATCCAAGGTTGCGTTATGGAAATTATGACGATATTCCCGATCTGACAGCACGTTCGCTGAGGAAGAAATATCGCCAGCAATTCGATATCGACTACGTGATATACCGTCACAACAAAGCCAAGCACATGACGTGGCCTAATCTCTGAGTAAAACATCTAGGTTTGAATAGCGTTGAGAACAACTGTAACAATGCAAGACTGTAGAATGTAAATGTTTTATATATATCAGAAGTTTCTCATCTTCTACGTGACAATACTACTACAGTATGAAAAAAAGGAAAATCAGAGGCTTTTACAGCCCGAGCAGTCTTTGGTAATGACTGTGTTGCATTTAATACGTTTAACTTAGCGTAACTATTTTACTCGAGAATTCTGAACTCGCGGAAGTCGTACCATTTTGTTGCTAAAACCCAAAAAATTTCTGTGGAGGATTTAGTCTTTAGTAAACTCTCCAACAAGTATATTTTTATACATCGTTTATATATATTGACTGTGAATCTTAATATTGAATTTGGATGGAAATGAGATGACTCTGATGACCTCATGGTCGCATCGCTACCCCAAACCTAGTCCCCAAAATTAACTGTATTTATGTATTTATATATAATATATATTTTATTGCACCATTGCTTGTTTTCTGGTTGACGAAACAATGGATATCTCTCTCCCTCTTTATCTCTCTCTCAGCAAGGCCAGGAATACGTGCCCACCGGCACCGTGATTGAGATACAAATATAAATTCTCAGACAGTCTCAAAGTTCGGATGATTCATTTGAAAAAATCTTGTCTTATATGTTTTTAAAACAAATATATATTATATACGAACATACATGTGACTGATATTGAACTATGTGGTTTGTTACGGGCGTGATTCAAAATGAGGTGTGCTTCAAAAATTGAAAAAACAGGCTCTTTTTTGTATCGAACTTACTAACAACAAATTCCCTCATTTCAAAAAATTATGTATGCCCTTATGAAAGCAACCTCAACGCGACATGCTTTACTTGAAACTAATACATAACTGCTAAATATAGATAGTCTTCTGCTACGGTGCGCGTTACCTAATTGCTGTGGTCGCGTAATATCTAATTCTAGACAACAACGGGTTTTCTACTTATCGCTACAATTCGAGCAGGAGTTAGCTCAAGTTCCCTGAATTCTAGCACCACATACGGGTCGTCTGCTGATTGAGGGGGTAAAACAATGTTTTCGTGTTAGGTCGAAAGAGAAAATTTTTTTAAACAAGGAGATGTGAGACTAAATTAAGACAATGTGCTATAATGAATAATTAGCCAAATTGGGTCTTTTCTTGTATCCGACAAAACTTGGTGCTAAAAATTGACACAATCGCATCATTACTAATTTTAGCAATTGAATTTTTCACATATAGGAATACTATTAAATTATAAATAATTTTCTATTCACCACAGAGGAATTGCCTAAACAGCCCTTCTCTAACATTCCCTATATGAGTTTTATTCCAGTTATCGTATCTATATGGAGCAAACAAAGCTGGTAGCATTATAGGTGATGCAATCTATACTGGAGATGACAGCGATGATTACAGTTGAATGTATGAATACTGAAAACAAAATTTTGAAAAATTTGTATTGGTTGAACAATACGCGTGACATATGATATGGTTCAAGTCTATTAGTATCGAACTTTAAGTATGAATTTTGTTAAAGCGTTCACTATCATTTCTTGGTTTGCATCTGATTCCATAAATCTCCAAAAAGTATGTCTTTCCTTTTATTATTTTTCTATTATCTGCGTAGGTAAAAGCTCAACATTCTAGAAAATGGCTTAATCAACATAGTCTACAAATAGTTGTTATATTCTTATTAGTGTTTTATTTATGTACAAAATAACTGAAAAAAGTGAAAACTAACAAATAAAAAAAAAAAATTAGGCATAAAATGTGCAAGGATAAAAATTGTTGCAACAATAATGTTTACAATCAAGTAAAATCACAATTCGTAAGAAATACTTCTCTCGTTAGTCATATTTTTGTTATCAATTCTTTCACCTTATAGACTTTAAATGAAACTACTGCCAGAAAACAAAAAAGCAACAAAATGTTGTAACATAATATGGTTTTAAAGTTCAACAACGGGCAAAGTTTAAACAGCCAGAAGTGTTTACTCCAATGATGTTACGTGCAATATGAGTATATTATAATTATTATAAAGTGAATAGTCTAATCAAGAAACAAAGCATCTTTGTTATGTAGAACTTTCTCCAGAATATTTCTTCCTTTTTTGGTCAAGTGTCGTGATTTTCTAATGTCGTTTAAGGTGATTGAGCATCTCGATTTCGAGCGACGTCGCAACTGAACACAGTGCTGGATTTGCTCTTTTATGGTCTGTGTAGAATAGTATAAATTATTTATATATATTTATTTAATGTTGCGAAATTAATTTATTTCAAAAAAGTATTCGAATATTTGATAAATATCTTCTGAAATTAAAAAAAAATAAATAAAATTTATTTAAACTTAGACGTCGGTTATTGTAATTTCTAAACCTGAAGAATTTGGATTCGGATTGATTAGATCAAATTTAACAGAATTCAGCTTTTTTATAAGTTACTGACTGAAAATTTACTTTTGATTGGATTGGGAAAGAATGATTTTGGCGTTGAATTTTATTTGTTCCTAATATTTTACATTTCAGGTGCTTGAAATAACATTTTTATGACAATTGAACATGAATGAAGTGAACCAAAATTTTAGCCCGATAAAAAGCAATATCTATAACTTTACCTCGATGTTTAGTAGCGTGTTAAATTCCATTAAATCGTGTAGATCATCAAAAGCTTGATGAGAATATTGGAAATTGAAAGTTGAGTAAGGAGTTTTGGGATTGTCAAAAATACTAAAATCTGCTCTGGTGTCACCTGCCTCTCGTGGAACACCTAAGATAGAAAAAAAGTAAAGAAGCGTTCAAGAACAAGGTTACAAGTAACATGTTCTCAAACATACGGCAAAAACATTTAATATTAAGTTTGCATCTCGCAATGTGCGAGGATTACCTAGGAGAGAAATTGAGCTCAGAATATTCAATATAAATTCAAATTCAGACTCAAATATTAGCTTTACGTATGCCAAATGTATTGACACAGGTATCATTGGAGAAACATTCCAAATTTCTAAATTTGTTCCGAAATGTTTAATTGTTTGTTTGCAGGCTTGAACCCAAAAATTTCAGTCTTAAACGAAAGACAGCGGAATGCAAACCTGAACAGAACTATGGAGTATAGACCAACAGATTTAATATATACATAGCATTCGGTATATATATATATATAACTCTCTTACCTGGCTTGGAAAATTTCTTGAATTGTTCGTTGCAAAGTACAAAATGAATAATTATTGGAGCTCGCTCGTTGCCCGTATCTTGGAAGACATAACATTCTTTCATATTTTCTGGATCGTAAACCGAAACGTCAATTTTTGGAAAGGCAATTCCATGCAAACGTGCCCATTTTTCTGCTAGAAGAATTTCCTTCAAATAAAGAATACAAATGGTGGTAGCTCCTACTTATTATCCTGTTATATATATGTATATTGGGGACATTTAAACATGATTTGACACATTACGGACGATTACCTATTTCACTACTGCCATGTCCCTTACCTTGAAAGGCTGGTGATTGTCAGATGGTCGTGCACTAAAATCGAACGAGATGATCAAATCCACTCCCCTCTGTGGTCTGAGTATAGGAGGGTATGGAGTATTGAATGTCAGTCCGGAGTCAACTAAATGTACTTTTTTACGGAAGCATTCCATGGCTTCGGTAACGTGTTTGAATTCATCCACTATTCAAAAATTAAAAATTTGAAAATAATTACAATATCTAGTTAAAAAACTAAATTGCAACAAGTTGTACTAAATATTTATTCAAGTTTCTTTAGTTTTACAAGGATATGATGATTGAACAATAGAGTGATGTATATGTACAAGAAGACCAAAACACAGAAATACCGGTATGAAATCTGCCATAGTTGACTACCGGTATTCACCACTTCGCCTGACCACCAGATCAAATTACGCGAAAGCGGAACCTCCACAAATTGTGCCATTTTTAATTTAGTTGGCGTCATAGCACATCCAAAACGAATTCCATACAGTCCACAGAAATTCTTGAATTAATAAAGTTATAACCTCCTAGTGGAAAATACAATATTTTAGCATTGGTCAAAGCAATTTATCCAGTAGTTAATAAGAAATTTTTCACAAGAAGAAGATTATCAATAACAAGAACAACAACACGACAATAATATTAACAACACGATCCAAAGGTCCATTTTGTGTCCAAATTTTAAATAAGGTAATCCAGATATGAAAAGAATTGCGACTCTTGGTTCCATTACATTTGAATCCACGTACATTTGAACCCACGACAATTGCACCTGCATACTATTGCATTGCGGATATTTGAACCCATACTAACCCTAATGGGTTTTAGCACCCGCATATAGATTGAACCCGCGGATATACACATGGGTTCAAATGTACGTGGGTTCAAATGTACGGTCACCGCGACTCTTACCTTCAGCGATATGATCGGCGCCAGCAAAAGGAGAGATTGGATAAGTGTTACTCAGCGACAATCCTCTCATGTAGTTCAATATCTTACCAGCACGAAATTCTCTCGTCTGGAAAAATAGACCTCTTGTTATTTACACCGCTTGGGAGGGATAATAACTAATTTTGTTCGCGTACTTTACATCAAGTTGTGTGAAGGGACTGAAACCTATGGGCAGGGGTACGAGGGGGTATATTCACTTGACTAACACAGACGGTCCCCGAACTCGTATATAATAGAACTAAAATAAGGAAAATCGGAATAAAATTATGGCTCAACCCTAACTTGGTACACACACTACCGAAGTATCCATTTTTGAATATAGAACTACTACAGTCTGACCTATATTCAGTGCGCTAATAGCATACAATTACCACATCCGTCAAAAATTATATGATTTGTTTCATTAAACAAAATTAACTTTGGATCAGTATCGGTTCTAATTATAATAGATCGGTAAAACACGACAGCCTGATTTCTGGTTAATCCTGCAAACCAATTGGTTCGGACATGAAAAATGAGAACAACTCCTGTTTACACAGCTTAAAAAATACCATCAACTTTCCCAGGTGATTGATAGCAAAATATGGCCTTGTGGGTAATGATAATGTACGCGAGCAAACCACAATTGGCTAAATTGAATCTTGGAATGTCTAACATGTTGCAAATATCGACGTAATCATTACCTGCATTATAGCATAAGAGTTGAACATGTTGGAAACAAAGCTATTCAACATGGATTGTTTAGGTTGTGGAGCAGTCGAAGCGCTTCTTTGTTGTTTTGGTGAAAGTTTTTTTGCCGGCGATCCCCAAGAAAACAGGTTTCCAAGTGAAAACATGCTTCCCCGTTTCTTATCAATGCTGCTAAAACAATAATCCAGTTAGTAATTCGAAATTGGATACATAAAATATTTTAAGTGGTTGTGCGACTATAAGTGGTTGTGCGACTTTTGAAGAAATATATTTGACATAGAGAAAACATCATATGACTCAAATTTGGTTGACAAAGGAAAATAACTCAACACCAATTAATGCTCACAAAATGAATTTTTACAACTTTATTCAAGAGCAGGGGTGGAAGGGAGGGGGTCGCACTAAATGCTTTGGCGGGCTCATGTAGCCCGCGGGACCTAAGATGCCCATTCCCATAATAGTCTAAGAAAGCAAAATCTTGTTTCACAAAATTCGATATTACGAGAAACAATGTTTTGTTCTTCTGTTGCTTAATGTTATATGTATGTAAATATACTGCATACTATATACAAATATATATCTAGTATATATATGTATATCATGGAAGACATACATATAAAATAAGACTTGGGGGGAAAGTAGAAAGGGGTAGTAACAAACGTTGAGAATAACGTTCATCAAACTAATAATTTATAAAACAAAAATGCAACCAACAGAAGTTGTCAGAATACAACAGATAAGTAAAAAATAATTTGAGGAAAAATTGAATTACAGATTTGAAAATATTAAAATATAAGAAAAGATAGTCGGAAAAGCAGCTGCCCAAAGTTTAATTAACAAAAGCAGAAGCAACCAATATTATTTTCGATTAAAACAATATTGTTTTGACTTTATCAATATTTAAAAAAAGACATCAGTTCATACCCTATTTACTGTATACTGTACTGATGTGTATGTATATATTACTTCATGTAAGTTTTAATATAGTAGTCCATTTCAATCACGATATGCGATAATAGCTTACCCTAATGATTTGGTTTTTATTGATAATATTACATATTTTTTCACGTGTTTGTTACATGACAACGTTCTACCTATGGGAAATGACTAAAAGTTTGAAACTCTACAAAGAACGTATTTCGTTGTGTGATAAATATCAAGGCAAATTAACATAGATAAATCTGTAACTCGGTTTTAAAGAAAAAAAATTATTCAAGCACTTTTATTAAGTTCATGCTGAACTAAATTAAGCTAAGCATTGTTGTGAATCATTTCAGACGTTCCATCAAAATCTAGTTTTGAATTTAATTAACAAAAAAACATTCAAAATAAAAGGACAGAAATTATAAAGCTGATGTCATTTATGTACATGCAAACAATCAAAAATAAATATAACTTGCTGAATGTTTTATACCTTGGTCTTTCGCGTATTGCCGGTGACCGTGTGATTCCTGTAAACCATGTATGGCGACGTCCTTGTCTGTGTTAGTGTAAACGAAATGAATAACGTAAAATGAATTTAACGTGAAGCTATTAAATAAATAGGCAGGATGGATAGTGCTGAATCATTATGAAATATGATACATAATTTTGTCAAATTGTTTTCACGATTAGCGCTTCAGAAATGAGTATGGATGTAAATTTCGAAAATTTCATTTTTGAATCGAATTTCAAATCAGAATGTTCTAATTCGTATATTTCCAAATAAAGCATGATTTTTGTTAGTTAATGTACTGTGAATTATACATTGAGATTGACATAAATGGTGACATGGTGACATGGTGAAATGAATATGACATGATTAATGATATACTCATTATTAAAAATTTGTTACGTGAACACATCAAACGTCATGCATTCATTCTTATGTAATGATGAAAGCAAAACTGGTCAGCAATCGATCGCTGAATGCTCACTTTGAAATGACACGGAAATAACTTTGTTTTAATGCAATTTTCTGATGAATTATATATAGCAATCGGTATTGTAGTATTCTGGTACACACGCTGTGATAACTGGTCGTTATATAAAAGTATTTATACATCATGCGGAGTTTTCTTTATACATGTATTTATGCACCCTAGTTGCAATACATTCACATTGCTGAACCAAGCATCTTCAGCCAAATAAGAAAGTTTTCCCTGGAATATGCCACCACACACAATATTAATCATGAAATGTAATTGATCACTGCATATTAAAACAATCTTTTAGATAAAAGTGAAGTCACCAAAGTGCTGCATTGAGCATTGCTGTATGTCAAAATGTTAGTAATGTGTTAGATGTTATAGCACAAACAGATGCTCAAAATTATTATATGAGTGGTCATATGGTTTACACAATTAAACATATTGTCCATACAATCCTTTTCAAAATGCTTTTCTAGTAACTGTACATGCGTTTTAACAACTGGCATTCATTTTACACTGTTATGTGAAAATGACAATATTTCATACACCATTTCATGAGGCAATAGAATCTGCTTACTCTTGTGCAGCTTTGATATGCTCCAAATTTTCATGTGCGTCCACGAAATCTTCATCTTCGTCCTCTTCATCAGCATCTTCCTCCTCAGAATCTTCCTCGTCAGGATTCTTACCTCCGCTGGCCTGGATACCAGCTTAAAGATTTGGCAACATTACTTTTGTGTTGAGGTGGAATAAGTTTTTTATAAGCAAATTAGATGTAGACATAAATATTCTGCATACAATATCAAAAAAGGTCGTGAGTAAAATACTCCAGAAGAGTTTTTTTTTTATAGAGAGTATATACTCAAAGTTTTTATTATTTATTCACCATTTGTGCATTGCTTTAAAACTGTTTATTCTAACCCTAAAAGTTAACTCTGCAAATCTTGTCTAATTGAAAACATACCCATTTCTTTGCTTAAGGCTTCTCTTTCATCTTCATGTTTTGAGTTTGAATCGTTATTTCCATCTTTATTAGACTTTTCGATCAATCGATTAAATAAAATCGAAAATGCGCTTCCCCACACTCCCTGAAAAATATTCAAATTTGTCTTGAAAATTCTCAATTTCCAATGAAAAATTGATGATCAACAAAAAGTAGCCATAACCATATCAAAACTCACCTGTAAAAAGTGTAGCGGACTTTCGTCGTATTTTTTAACAAGAACGCCCATGAAAAATTTGCTTCCAAAATATTCTGTTTTGAGAAACGTTCCGTATTTTGCGATTCCAATTTCATATGGAGTGAACTCGACCCAATCTGTATACATAACGAGTTTAAAAGAAGATCCAATAATATACCTAACGTGATGAAATAACGCAAACTGTAATGATGTTTTACCATGGAATGTCATGGCTGACATATTTGATCTCACATGCAGGCAGGTGAATATAGGCATTGGTAGAGATGCATCCTTGAGTTTAAGTTGCATATCCGACAATTTACGATTTTCCATTTTCTATAATGAATAATCAGATAAATTTCATATATTTATAGAGGACACGAGAGAAAAGAAAGCTAATATTAGCAGAAAGGGAACACAATTTGATATACAGCGTCATTTGGAACAAAACTTTTGTCCGAATCGTTCTAAATTATTGGAATTTTTGGGTACAATTATACACAAACATGAGTTCAAGTGTTGGAAAATTTACTTCATTTTCGTGAAGCGTTGCGTTGTTTGGGTTCACCATGTAAAATATAGATTACCGCGATTACCTTTAAATATAATCTCGACGTATGAGGGACCATTAGAAAGAAAGTATGGTGACGTCACAATATTATTCTAGAACTGAAGTCACCTTCATCAAGTATGCAAATTTTTCATATCATCATTTCATGTTAGTATTACCTCTTTTCCAAGTAGCATTTGTCCGATTAACATTCCAAAAAAGTCCGTGAATGTGACAGGCTGGCCCTGCTTTCGCTTTTGTCTCAATCTACTGCTGTATCTCATCAAACCTTCAGGACCAAGAAACCATAACCAACTTGTTTCAATACTACTTCGAATTTCTTGACTTACTACTGATGGACCAAGTCGCGGGAAATCATCATGAGAATAGAGGGTACTGAGGTACCTGAATAAAAAATAAAGGTTTTAAATCAATTTTGATGGTGATTGAGTAAGTCTGTGGCGATTAGGTAAGTTCATGAAATAGTCGTTGGCGATTAAGTAAGTCGGTGGCAAATAAGTAAGTCGGTTGCAATTAGGTAAGTCATTGGCCCATGTGTAAATCATAGGCAATAAACCAAGTCGCGGCAAATCATCATGAGGATATTGGGTACTGAGGTACCTGAGTAAAGAATAACAATTTGAAATTAATCTTCCAACGTTAGATTACTACAGTAATGTCATTTTACTTAACTAAAACCTATTACACCTTCCACAGCTTTTTGAAATACGCACTGCATTATTTGGAAAGTTTTATTCAAACAAAGGTCACGATGTTTAAATATATTCTGAAAGTTTTTCTATATACCATGAAGATCCAGACAATCCACCGATGTATGTTGCACAATTCAAAATTCCAGAGTCGTAAAGAGCTTTCATCGCTCCGGCATATCCGGTCATAGCACGAAATCCACCACCGGAACCAAGAATTGCAACTGTCGGCGTCTAATATGAATATATATTGAATAATATGTAATTTGTTTTGTTTATCAAAAATATTTTAAATAAATCAATCAAAGGTGTATAAGAAAATTTTTTTTTGGAAGAGGTATGGTGAATGTTTTTCATTTAATAACGTAAAGTAAAACTATGCTTTCTGGTTAATAAGTAGAAAATATTCAATATACTACTGGTAGCATTAAATTGATTGGGAATATACCTCTCGCAGAGTTCTGGGTCCATTTGCAGGAATTGAACGTCTCATTGCTTCTAAGACAACTTTTTTTCGCATTGTGCGAAATCGTTTCTCTTCGTCGCAAAGTGCTAGACTGCATCTTATATCTGAATTGTACCTAAAATGGAAGATCACGATAAAACAAGAGAACAATGATCAAATAAATGGTCACGAAGGCCGAAACGAAGTCGTATCAAATTTTCACAAAACCAGTAGTCTGACCACCAGATCGCTGAAATGTGACCACTATGGTGGCCCATCGTTGTCACGCGTAAAATTGAAAATAAAAATAAAAAATAAAATAAAAAACCGAAAATAAAAAAAAAATAAATGAAAAAACATAAAAATAATTGAAAAAAAAAAATTTAAATTAAAAAAAAAAAATTAAAAATAACGAAAAAATAAATAATTAAAAAAAAAATTGTAAAAAAAAAAAAAAAAAAAATTGAATGAAAAAGAAAATAAAAAGGTTGACAACGATGGTCCGCCTCGTGGCCCATCGTTGTCACGCGTTTTTATTTTTAGAAAATTTGCTTCTGCTTGGGACCAACGTTGTCAGGCTTAATCCTACGCGCACAAATGTGTTCCCTGGGTTTCCAACTCACTACTGATTTTCTCGAGCAATATTCAATATGAAAATGTTCTATAAATTCTCCATGCTACAAGTTCAACAAGAAGTAATATATTTATAATAATGATAAGAGAATATAGAATTGAATACGAAAATTCGGAAAATTTGTTTTTACGTGTAGAAGGTAATTTAATTGGAGAATGCTGGTTAACTACTCAGTTGTCTGGACACTCGCGATGCCGGTACCGTCTTACCAAATACCGGTAGTCGGTTATAGTCGCTTCGCGTCTGACCGTACCGGTAGCCATGCAATCACTCATGAAAGAATGGGAGATACGGATAGTCTCGTAGAATATAGACTACTGAAACACTCTCTGCGCCTGCCCCATATCGTACAGCCGTAACGTACCGATCCAGACAAATGATAAATCGCCCGTGCTCAACCATTTATTTCAATCCATACCTCGATCCTAGTAGAATATAGTGAGTCGAGGTATGGATTGAAATAAATGGTTGAGCACGGGCGATTCATCATTTGTCTGGATCGGTACGTTACGGCTGTACGGTATGGGGCAGGCGCAGAGAGTGTTTCAGTAGTCTATATTCTACGAGACTATCCGTATCTCCCATTCTTTCATGAGTGATTGCATGGGTACCGGTACGGTCAGACGGTACCGTACCGGCATCGCACGAGTGTCCAGACAACTGAGCAGTTAAGCAGAATTTTCCAATTAAATTACCTTCTACACGTAAAAACAAATTTTCATATTCAATTCTATATTCTCTTATCATTATTATAAATATATTGATTGTGGTTGAACTTGTAGCATGGAGAATTTATAGAACATTTACATGTTGAATTTATTGGATATTGCTAATAAAAGTCAGTAGTGAGTTAGAAACTCAGGAAACACATTTGTGCGTGTAGGATTAAGCCTGACAACGTTGGTCCCAAGCAGCATCAAATTTTCTAAAAATAAAAACGCGTGACAACGATGGGCCACGAGGCGGACCATCGTTGTCAACCTTTTTATTTTCTTTTTATCCAAATTTTTTTTTTTTTAATTTTCTTTTTTTTTCGTTTTTTTGTTTTTATTTTTAATTTTGTTTTTATTTTAAATTTTTTTTTTTCACTTCTTTTTTTTTAATTATTTTCATGTTTTTTCACAACTATTTTTTTTATTTTCGCTTTTTCGTTTTATTTTTTCATTTTTTTTTAAATTTTACGCGTGACAACGATGGGCCACCATAGACCACTGAACCACGACACGCATTTTTTAATTTTGATGACGTCAACACGCAAACTTTAAAGTGAAAAACGAATACCAGGCATAGAGGCCACAGCTATTTTTGAAATGAATAAAAGTAATAGCCTTCTAGCGACAACAACAATTTTTAACCACTGAAAATTTCAAAGCAATTGGTCCTGTAATTAATAAAAAAAAAGCGATTCAAATAACAAAACGATTCATAGGTCCATTTCATGTCCAAAAAGTCACGTTAGCAGGTACGACACCTTGTTATTATTATTAAACTATATTATGCCACCATGTCTCACACACCGAATATCCTAGACAGCAGAGGTTAATTGTCGTGATGGTTATTTGCATATTATACAGTATAGGCAGATCGTGATTGATTCTTCCGCAATACATCACGTAGGCTATATAGCCAGTCATTAAAAAAAGTAAGCTACCTTAATAACCTTAGAGTGGTCGACTATAATTGGAGACGGTTGGTTTTAATATATTTTATAACATATCGAAACCGACGCAATGGACGGGTATTACAGGTATAAATAATGATGTTCAAATATTTCTAGAATAGCTGATATTTGTAAAATCAGCTTGGTTTCAAAACACAATGGCTAATTGAACCGTATATAAATATGGATATTCTATGCATATATATAAACGTAGCGTCTACAGCAATATAACGTCTGACAATATAGGACATCAACGGCGTGCACAACAAATCAATGGCCCTGTTATACTTTGAATAAAAAATTCACTTACACTGACTGCATCGTGAATTCTATATCGACTTCAGATGTCTACAATAAAAAATAATATATATGTCATAAAATATTTGAATAATATACAGATTATTTTTGGATTTATCAATGTCAATTTTTTCACGTTCTCCTGATTTACATCAGTTCTTGGCAATGATTCCGATATACATATTGCACGAAATGAATATTAATTAAAAAAATTACTTAAGACAAGGAGGCTGGCTATTCTGCCAACTAAGAATTTAATTATACAGGGGTGTTACCTTATTTCTGCAATTATTTTCAAGCGTGGCACACCAAAGAGACATACCTCGGCTGAATATTTCAACACATCGCTGATATTGATTGAATTAAAAAAATCTTGTCAGACACAGTAAAAGAATAAAAATTAAATTTTACCTCAAAAAAATTAAATGTTTTTTTCAAAGTTTCATCCATTGGTACTTTTGATAGGTCGAACTCAACCGCACCAATTGTTTCATCTAAAGCGTAGTTAGAATCCATGAGAGTTATCTGCAAAATAATGAAACATGTAGTAAAATTTTTCAATAACATATGCAATAAATCAAATTCGATTCCAATTACTTCAAATAGACAACGAAAATACAATTCTATCATAATGCTATTTCATTTATTCCAATTTTCTTAAGTATGGCTAACTCGAATTATAAGATAGTTTAGCATTTTGGTCGTTTATCCCCGAGGTCTTAAGGCTTGTCATGCGTAACAGCGGTCAAATAATTACACTGATAATAGGTTACTTCGTCTCGCCTCGTTAGACAAAAACCAAATCTCGCAAAATAAATTTGTATAGATTTTCCTGAATTGACTAGAAATTTTTGGATTACTAAAAATCAACACAGAAGATACATTGGGTATGATAAAATGCCATTAAAAATCACGATATTAAAAAATATTTCCAAGCGGGATGTTGAATAAAATTAAGACATTTTGTATTAGATTGTATGCAAAGGATTATCAAGCGCATTTTAAACACATAACAAAGGCTGTTCCATAAGTCTTAAAATGACCATTATCTCAGGGTTAAAAGTCATTAAAGATCAAAGTATTGTCACAATCAGACAATAAGTAACCGATGCAATGCGTTCAAAATCGTACACTCTTTTATCACAAGAATATATAAATTGTGTTTTCACGTTATTGTGTAAAAATGGTTACTTATATAGATAGTAAATTTATAATTTTACATGTGCTATAATTTTCCGTTTTTCTTCTGTTTGTGGTTTGAGATAAAAAAGAAGTTCTTCATTCCATTCTGGATTGCAATCATTATCAATTGTTTGCGTTTGTTTTCGACCATCAGGCGCTTCCGGTACGTGTACAATCACATACGGATCGGGAACATCCACTAAAAAAAACATTAATTTTTACTCGTGAAATCGGAAAAATTTAGTTTTCATAATCATTCAAGCGTATTTCCTACATCTTCCACAAATAAGTGGATGAATCATGAATGGCTGTCAATTTTTGAACAATTCTTGTCAGGTCAGAAAATCAGGTCAAAATAATAACGTTTTCTGAAATAAATCGAATAATTGGTGAAATAAATATATAACTCATATATGTGCTCCCAATATGATTTTCATTTTCAGTCAAATATATCTAGGGGAAAGAACCCCAGAATTCGTAGATCTTGTCGTGTTTTCAAATCAGGTTAGGTTATCATTAATCACATGGTCTCCTACGTAATGGTACCGGCATGCCCAGACCCTTTCGCTTTCAAGTTTTGAAATACCTCATCCAAAACTCAAAATATTATGTAGTTTAGCATAAGTTTACTTCATATTACGGATCACATGAAGATCCTCACCCGGGCTAGATCATATGACGAACCATCCCCTTCCCCTTTCATATGATCCAATATTACAAATAAAGCAGTTGAAAGGGAAATATATAGATCACAGGAAATATAACAAGTAATGTAACTTGTAATATATACGGGTAGATTGATATGCTTACTCAAATCCCCGAATCTTCCCTTTGTTATTTCTCTTCCTCGCGTGATTCGAACTCGCAGCATATTGCAAGGCTCATGTTCAACCTATATAAAAATATAAATGATCGGATAATTTTTAATATCTAATGTCTAATTCATAAAAATGATTAATTGCGTCTTTGTCTGGTGGTTGTTGGCATGTTTAAACGCTCTTTACGCCAACAACGTCAAATGGGCCATTATTATACTTTTAGCAAGATAATCCAAGTTGGAAATATTCATTCTTTTGTCTCTTCGTGTAGAATGTAGATTGTACAAAGCGAAAAGGCGAAATACTTCATAAAGGCGTGGAAATCAGAATTGTATTTTTGTTAATCAAACCTACAAGAGAACAAATCAATGTTGTAATCATTTCAAATATTTTCAGAGCTTCGCAAAAAAAATAAAAATTTCTTTGCCACAACACGTAAGTTGAATTATAATCCTTTTGTTAAAATGTAACTCACCTCGAAGAATTGAAACGGATCTGTCTTCCCTCCATTTCCACGAACTGAAATAAGAAAAACATTTTTATTCATAATTGAAATACTTGTTATTTTGGAGTAGAAATGTAGAACGCACGAACAACAATGGGTTTACGAGGAATTCGGCGACACATTTCGTGCATGAAATTCCCCTAGAAATATTTTAAAACTTAAGAGTTTAAGTCAGTTAACGGAAATAAAGCTTATGAATGAGAAATATTCATTTGAAGAAATACATAAGAGATTAGATCACAAAAACAAGATGAATACAAAATGAGCCTAAAGTGAATTCACGACTAATCCACTTTTCTCGTTTTTTTTTTTATTTACAGCAGTGCTTTGAATATTCACAGATTAGAATATTAGAAAGGTTTGTCTGAATAGTTTTATTTTTGTACAAACATAGACTTATTTGTATACAAAGACACTGCGTTTAAATTGCTGTAAAAGCATTCGATATAAACACGCAACGGGACGCAACGAAAATCAAAAATTTCATTTCGTTTTCGCACTTTTGTTTAAAATCTGCTTTTTAATCAGAATCATCACTTTATGAAATCTGCTATTTTAATCAGAATCATCACTTTATGAACTATTTTGGGCTCAAAATAATTGTCACGTCGAATTCCAGCGTGTACGTCCGGGTTCGACACGGGTTTACTCTCAAATTGCATGCGATCAACTTTAGTTGCACACGAGTTAAACTATAACAAGCCGTGCGGAATAATAACCGTATTAGTAACAAACCATGTGTACCAAATTAGGTTGTATGCCAAGCTAGAAACATCTTTGTACTTCATGCACGGTATCTCACAATCCACAGCACATCAATGACTGCTCATTTAGAGCCTTGTTAAAAGCAAATGTATGAAATGTTTTTTTAATAAAACCAACAAGATATTGGCGTACTCTCAAATAAAAAATACATCAACATCAAATAGATGACAATGCCTTTATATTTCCTATTTTTTCCTGTCGTATTACCGGATATGGTAACTGACGCAGATCACATACGCACCGCCTCGCCTAAAATCTAATAATATTTTAAGAAATTGAATGAAATTTACCCAATAGCAACTTATCGATATAATATATCAATGGATATAGTTCAATATAGTTTAGGAATTTTCGGTAAATTGATGGTTCCCTTTGAAAATTTTCCAAAAATTCCACATATTCCAAAAGCTAAATAATTTACCGGGTCCATCGGCAACATTTAAAACAAGATGTGCCCAATCAAGATCCATGAAATCACTCTTGATTTGAAAATATTCAAACCTTGGTCGTCGTTCTGTTCTTCGAGGGCTTCGTCTTCTGTTAACGGCAGCAAAAATGAAAACGATTTGGACGGCACGTAAGCCCCTTTTCTAACTGAAGTCATGATACCTTGAGACTCGTCTTTATATCATTAGATTATGAGACAGATGAGATCAATATTCTACAAGATTTGACAAATGCAATTGATCATATCCTAATTAACCTATGCTATTACTTCATCAACGTCCGCAATATTTCATAATAATTTTCAGTTACAAGTAACACTTCATCGTAATCTATCACGGTGAATAAAATTTTGCTTCATTATAATTATGATATATGTCTCTTGAATCATATTACTTATGCATGATGTTATCAAGATAACTAAGACGCAGTGTTATCTGAAACTAGTATAGTTTATTTTATCGTTGTCACAGTCACAGTATTATGCAATTGTCATGTATACTTAATTATCCGTGCTACTATGTAAAATATTATTCCTACTTTGAGCGTTTTCTGTATATTTTATATAGTTATGTTCACTTATTCTCATAATCTTCGCTATTTTCATTTTAAATTTAAAATATACATTTTCTTTTTCTGAATTATGAAGTCTAGCCTGTATATCAAATGGGTCTTCCTCAAGTCCCAGTCCCCTCAAGTCCTCCACACTCTTTTCATTATATTTTTGCGACTCATTGTTTAAATATATACAGACCTATTGGGAGATTGCTATATTCCAACCCGGACATATAAAGAGTCATAATTCTAATGAAAAAATGTTATGACGGGGCATTATTTATCCTGATAATTTTATCATCAATCTACTATGGCTCAGTGATAATACCTCACTACTTGGTAGGTCGTCTATGATCTATACATAAAAAAAGATCGTTTTTGTTTGGAAAATTATTGTCGTCAGATATCTGTTGAATATCACTGTTCTTGGCATGGTGGATAATAATGTCCGATTCGCTATTTGGACCAAACATGGACGAAAGTTTCCGATCGTTAATACTGATCTCTAATAGCGAATTTGAGTCTTATTTGCAAAATAATGATGGGGCACTTCCGACCGTGCCGAACAATAGCTAGTGCTATTAAAGCGGCATATTATACTAGTAATATAAGGTTAAGAAGGTTAGATCGCGGCACAAAATGCGGCATAATGCCTTACAACCTTGGTATATTCACCTTGGTGTTATAGATGCACAGTATTTGATCTTGGGTGAAAATTAGGTCAATGATGGGATGTTTTACCGATATTGATTGAACTTTAGTGGCAACTGTTTTTCCCACAAAAGACTCATCGCTCGGCATTTCCGGAAAGCATATTTCGGTAGATAGGGAAAGTTATATATACTCATCATCCACTTTAATAGAGTAAATACAGGTCAACAAATTTGCCATCCAAACGATTATCACGTTCTCTACAAGAACCTTTAATGATCTCTCTTTTACGCTATGACTAGTTAAGCGTTACGCAAAACAAAGCTCAAAAATCTCTTCTCAAAGCTTCAAATTCTGCTCTTCATTCCAATCCTGCTGTTTACCATTTCATAGTTTAATCTCTGTAATAAATTTATAGGCTTTTCAAAATCTTTGCTCATAAGTACAGGTTATAATGCGGTTTGTGTTTATGCGGAAACGTCTGTAAGCTTACTTGCTCGAAATTCAATCTAGCATTTTTTCAATCATATACGAAAACAAATAATTCTCCGCTCAACAATCACTGAGTTATTTTTGTTGAAAGAACGATTACTTTTTAAATTCATATGTAAATCCTGCATAGACAATTTACACCGCATGAAGATGAGTAATATTGATGATGAAAGTACACATGTGCGTTATAGAAAGGATTTGGAGGAATTTCCGTTCTGAATCACTTTCTTAATATCCCTGCATACCGATAGAAAAATAGAATAAAAAGTACCAGTTATGAATCTTAAGGAAAAATTGTTTTCAGGGCGCATGAGAAATTTTTTGTTTTTTTTCAAGATGTCACACCATCAGGTCTGTCGGGCTATCAGACTCACCTACACAAGCACGATTAATAAACCAGTTACGACCAGTAATATCCAGTCTCAAAAGTGATTACCACAACATACAAAATTTTAGTAATATTTGAATGGGCGTTCAAATGAAAATTGAGGCTTGTATTCAACTCGATGTAACTGGGTGGTTACAAAACTAAGCCGGCCGAGGCACCAACGATTCTTAAAGCTTAAGAGCCGTATGGTTAAATAACCACATTAGCTTGTTGCTTCACACAGCTGCTTGTATCACGTTGCTCATAAGTTATTATTTACTTTAGTTTGATTAAATACATAATTTTTAACCATATGTGCAAATTATGTCACGAAATGAACAAAACTTTCGAATCCAGAATCTATATTTAGAAATATGATTTAACTCTGGGCGTTTATATACATTATCAATTCATTATATAACCCCAGAACGGCTGCGTTATAGCTTTCGTTTTTGTGAAACGGTAGTGCGCGGAGTTACCCGGTTCCAATTTCCAATTCCAATTATGACTCAGCGTTTCATAAACGCGAGATAATGATTCATCACTTTATGTTATATTTAGAAGCAGAGATGATTAGCAGCAAATTAGGTATTGAGCATTTCATTTCAATTCATTATACTGCAAACATTGCACAATAAGCAAAAATAGGAATGTTTCAAGAACAATCGAAAGAAAACTGATCTCATTAGACAGCTGTGTAAACCTGGATCCCAGGCTCAAATTCCACGTTATATCGTTAAAATGCCTCGCACTTGCCATACTATATTATCTGGATCTATTTCTGAACTAGCCAGCTATGGGCTATATATAATACGTACACTCAGCAGAATGATATCTTTCGCGGCCCGAACCTAAATTACAATAGCATAGACACAAATATTTTGCAAAAAAAAACATGGACATTACATGGCGGATAGGTAAACAGTGGTGATAGGATGATTGAAAAATAAGCTTTTTGTTTTTGTTTAAAAAAAAATAATTTGCTTCGCTGGTACAAAGGAAATGAGTGGTGGCGCCGATGCGTCAGTTGATGTTTTCACGTGAAATCCTGAGAATTACAGTGTTACAAAACAATTGAAAGTAAATATCCTGTTTGTCTGATTCCTAAATTTATTCACCTTCTAATGGAGAAAATTACATAACCTTCAGCCTGCGTGAGTTGACGTTGCCACGTGATCTCTCGAGAATATACAGTGTTACAAAACAATTAGAAGTGAATACCTTGTTTGTATTATTCTAAAAATACCCAATGGAAATTTGATTCTAATAGAGAAAACACGGCACTCAACGTGCGTGAGTTGACGTTTTTACGTGGAGTCGTACCAATATCCAGTGACAAAAAATAAATGAAATTAGGTATTTTGTTTGTCTCATTCTAAACTTAGTCACATCTGGAATTTTGATTCTATTAGAGAGAATGTACGGAAATCAGCGTGCGTGAGTTGGCGTTCTTACGCGGAGTCCTACTTAGTAACATCTAGAAATTTGATTCTAATAGAGAAAATGCACGGCACTCAGCGTGCGTGAGTTGACGTTTATACGCAAAACTAAAAAAACACCACATGTAATATATTAGCATTACTTTTTATATGCTTATAGTAAAATCCGATAGTTTCTGATGAAAATCTCGTATTCAACATTCATCAATTTATTTATAAATTTTTATTCATATACAAAGTTAATGGATTTTTCAGTATTGCTCAGAAACTTTTTTGTCATTGCTATTTAAACTCATCATACATAATTATGAATAGTTATTACGTTTTTCATAACCAGTTCAAACCAGAAATTTTTTTCTAAGCATTTGAATTTGGTGTGCTAAAGTCGAAAAAATTATTGCAACACTCTTTTATCCTCAATAACGAATATACAGTGTATATTGAATTAGAATCATCTTTTATAATAATCAACATATAATGTAGTCTTAAAACTGGTCACTTTTCATCTACCACTGATTCTGACGCTAAATTTAGTTCACAATGTCATTTTTAATTCAAAAAGTATAAAACAAGAATTATCAATACTCTTTATATACTCACCATAAATATCGTTCGGTTTGAAATTGAACATATCAGCAAAACTTGTACTCAAATAATCTTCAGGAATCTCTAATATGTCCGGACTTAACAAAATCTTGCTCATTGTGATTATGTGGATAAATTCCGTGTTTTATATATAAATCAAGTTTTCTATTTTGCTATATTAACCGGTAATTATTCTTCCCTCGGGCAATACTTACACGGACGTACGTTAAATCTACACTCTGCAAGGCAATACGGTTCGGATGACATCAGATCGTATTTCTAATATATGCTTACAATATCCTATAAGCTTATATTTTAATAATAACGAAAATACATTTTCACGATAGCAGAGTGGATCCATACAGCAATTGTAACTCAATTAACTAAGATGAATATAACAAAATAAGCTAATTATATTTAAAATATAGAAGGGAAAAATTCTCCATATCGCCTAAACGGTAAAAAACAACATCCCTCCACCAAGCACAATTATTTTCCATTCTCAGAGCTGCAGATACCAAATTTGTCGAATGAATCCATTAAAGAAAAGTGATAATTTTAGGTTTTTTATCATTGCATTCTGGATGCCATCCCTCCCAAACGGACGAAATTACAGGTACTTCATCCTACAATTCAATACTAATTTCCGTACTTGCAACCGCGATTCCAAAAATATTAACCTGCTGAATATATCAGTAACTTCGTCATCTATTCAGTATGACTATAATGTACATAATGACTCTTTTGCGAACTTTCAACGCAAGTAAGAGTATGAATATCTTCATTACGTAATAAAATACCAATCATCCATAAGACATCGCATGCGCGAAACCGGAAGACATTAGATTTCTCCAATACACCGGGCAAACAATACCAAACGTCCACGCGTGTGATGATGCCATATTGTTATTCCCAGTTTGACAATTCAGAAGAAATGGTAATTAGTAAAATGTTCATAGTTTTCAATTATCGTTATGTAATCGGGCAATTCCGTCGATTCGCTGTTCCGATAGATCGAAACAGAGGGGTTGATATAGCGTAATAGCGACATTGTTGATAAAATCAATGAAAACATCAATAAAACCAAGTCGATTTTGATGAATCTTGTCTAAGCACGGATTAAGTACATTAGTTTTACTATAGTACAAATGGACAGACAGTACAGGATGAAAACGAGATAGACTCGCAGTGGGAAAATGTTGGATCGCGACATCAGCATTTAAATCAAGGGTTTATCCTTGGGGGCCAATTTTACGCCCGTTGAAGGTAAATTAGTCCACATAGCAGGCTGCAACGTTACCGGAATGACAACATTCTCTGTTGCGCAATAGCGGTTATTACGTTCTCTCCGCGTAGAGACGCCTAGTCTAGCGAGTGTCACTTTATCATATTTGACTTTACACACATTGGAAAAGACAGTTTCCATACACAGTTTAGGGTTAAATTTGTCGAGGAATAAACAATTAATTTCTCATGATTTAAACAAATTGTAAAACTAATTTGCTCATTCAATGTAAAGACTAGTAGAAAGTTCACTGATGAAAGATTCCAGAAATACAAAACGTTATAATAATGTTTTTCCACTTTCGGATTCAAACTAGTATCCGAAACTGGAAGTTCATTATGACAATGTCCAAGATTATTCTTGTGGGAAACTCCCTTTATGAATGCAGTTAATAATAAGGTAATAAGAACGAGTATGTTTAAAAAAATATAAAATTCCATCGTGGTATTAATACTCGTATCCTGAATAGTGAAGACGTATTCTCGAATCTTCCACCTTCGCCACGTAACGGCAATACGAAAGTTTTCAACTTTTTGTTTCACATCGACGCAGCCGCACATGACGTTGCACCATACTTACCCGAATGTATAATTTTATTTTTATGTTTTTATGAGGCCATCACACTAATTATCAGCTTTTTTTAAATAGCTGTTTTTGATTGAGACAAGCTACAGAGGTAACCCACAGCCAAAACGTGCGCCTTCATTTTGCCGTGTCATATTATTTAATTTATATGAGAAACGCACTTTAATTTATACGATAAGTCATCCTAAGACGTCATGGGAATTTCATGATTTCTCCAAAAACTAAATTTAGTTTGCTGTTATATCTAGAGAGACTATTTTTAAAATTTTATTTTTAAACATAATAAAAACATTTTGGCATTGCGTCATATTGTATTATTTCATCTATGAAAATTCTCCGTATGAATATTATTATAAATTTTATTTTATCACAACTCACGATTTTTATATTTGGATACGCGTAACACTATATGCGCATATACGCACGACAAATAGTTCGAAGCTGCAAATGCAATTCAGAAAACGAATGGGATATGTGCGGTAAAAGATTGGAAAACTATATTCCTTCGCGACAATTCTAAATAAATAAAAATTGAAATCATTTTGAATCATCAGTGTTTCAGATTTTTCAACCTTTTTCACATTTTCAGTATTCCTAAATCTTTCGACTATAAAGACGTTAATTTATATATATATATATATATATTAAATGCGCTACAGTACCGTCAGATACCATTTGAAGATGAAAATACTCGGATTAGGAAAATTATTCACGCTATGAAGCACACATTGAAATTCATTGATCCAGTAAATTGCGTATGACTAAGTATCTTCAGAGTGATGTACAACTAATCCTAAATTACAATCTACAGTACCTTACACAAAAGCGGTTTTGAAATGTCATAAACAAATCCAAACAAAGATTTTGAAGGAAATATGTAAAAGCTGATATCTATGTTTCGAGGATTAATTTATATAACTTTGGTAAAAATTTGTACGAAAAGTAAAAATCAGAGCATGAGGCTCAATAAAAGAATAAACCGTAAAGAATGAGTAATATGGGTATTCGATCCACGTAATCCTAATATAATACTATAGATATTTGGGTATTTTTGAAGATTGATACATTCACATATATTTTCCACTATTAATTATTTTATGTGCTTTTTTTAATTGCTTTGTTTTAACCAATCAAAAGTCATAATTATAATCAAAATATTGTATATATACATAGGCTATATATGAAATTCCGTCTGTACCTACGAAAAAACACATTTGTTGTCAATTTTTTATTGTCATTTTTTCGAAGAATAAGCTACTAATGAACTTTATATATGTTTTTTTGGAGGAGAAGGTGTGATTTTCCTCGTTTATCAAATGATTTAATAGCGAAGAACTATACCGGTTCCTTTATTCAATTCAAAATCACTTGATTTGAGAAGCACTTGGCAATATTGCAGTTTGGTTGTTATCGTGCATTGATTTGTGTATGAATTGTGTGCAAGTGCAAAAAACAAACTGTAATGAATATTAGAAATTTTTCAAATTCAAGTTCGTATTTTATTGATATGCATTACTATATAATATGAACTATACAATCTGTAGCGGACTCAACAATAATTAATCATGACAAAATTTAGTCATTGACAATTCATAGATGTGATTTTAAACATATTATATATTGATGATGACTAAGGTACTACTAGTTCGATTACAGCTTTCTGTTCGATTACAGTTCGATTACAGCAGAGTTATTGTGATATATTCATGAAGTCAATACAAACACGTACTTATATGTTTCATTAGCTCAATATTATTCGTGCCACTGTATATGTCCGTGATTGGGCCACAAGAATAATTGAACAATACCAATCATAAAATAAATTGGAAAAAATCGACATATAATATATATATATATATATATAGGCTGTAGAAACTACTATAAGAGTTGTAGCAATCTCCGTGAAAATGCATGGTAACGGCAATCACCACGACTGCGATAAAAGGAACGTGCAAACGTGCTAAAAATAAGTTTTAGGGAACAGAAATATATCAAGTATTTGTCGATGCTGACTGACGGGAGACCTAACGTGATTTTTCCTGCTGGTTGTCAAATGTACAATACAAGCGATAGTATATTTGCTATGTGTTTGCACTGTTATTTTCAAATGTACTCATTGTGATTAGCAACAACTTATTAGTCTGTTATTATGATTTCTATTTCTTAGTTTACAAAGCGGATACAACGTAAAAAATTGCAAATTCCATAAACTAATGATACAAACCTTTCGCAAACTTTTTGAGTCGTATGATAAACTGTTGCCGTTCTACGGGATCAGTAGGAAGCTCGTACTGCATTTTTTTCAATAAAGCCTGCTCTTGTGGTGTTAGTTCTTCCGTGACTTCATAGTTATTATTATTACTGTCATCAGCTTCCGCTTTGTTTATCCCGATCTTCTTACTTTCAGAAAAGTTTATGTTAGAAATACTGGCAACGCAGTCATGAAAATGTTCGTCCGTGTCCATCATAACGATTAGTTGAAACTAAAGCGGGATATATTTTCGGCTTGATTTACCTTGCACAATTAAATTAGCTTTTTGAAAAAAATATTCTGTGGAAACAAGCGAGTAATGTTATAAAATACTAAAGGTGCGTTGTCGAACAGAAGTATTTCCGAAATGCTGTTTCGATAAGCGTGGAAGTGTAACATAGGCTGCACCAGGGGTCACCAACCTTTTCGAAGCCGAGAGCTATATTTTGGGTACAGATTAAGCTGCGGGCTACCAGTTCAATGTACACTTCTAAAAAAACACTTGCTCGATTAAGCTTCAATTATTGATATAATTACTGGTATTTAGTGAAGTATAGACAATAATAAACATTAGGATTCTTCAGGAAATCAAACGATTATCACAACGTTGCAAGTAAATTTCTATCAATTACACTTGTATTTCAAAACTGAGTGTTTTCAAATTGATTTTCAACACTCTGCACAAGTCTAAGATAAAATGGACTTAACAGTTGTACTATCAAATGTTGCAGAGTATTATACTCCGACGTGTAACTTGACACTGTAACTCTGAGCGAGTCTTGCAGATTTTCATCAGTGAGGCGTGTTCCATGTTTGTTCCTGGTGGAGTGAGTTGCGTCGCTATGGCCCATCGTGTTAAGCGTTAGGTTCGCAGGTTAGAATCCCATGCGGGGATTGTTATGTGCAAAAGGATTGCTGGACTCCTCGCCGCCGTAGGGTGGTTGACGTAACCGCTGGTCGGTTAAGGCTTCCTTCGCCATCAAGTCCAGGCTTCCGGAAACAAATAACTAACTAATTCCATACCCGACATCAAATGGTAACTGGCGAGAAGCCGTGGTTTATCATATGGTTAAGCCGTCCTATCGCTATCTGCTATCTTCTCCCCCGGGATAAATATGTAAATCTCCTCCTATCCTGAATTTATGTCAAAAATGTTGATTCGAAAGGATAGGTTGAAACAAACGAGGGTCTCGTAAAATAGGATTGCTGTATGATTTGAATCGCGAGCTTTTTCTGTCCGTACTGTGCTGACCAGTGGGTAGTTAGCGCGGAAGATTACGTGACAAGATGTGAAATATCTCTCCGCTTTGCCGTCGCTAAAATCGCCCCACTAATGAGATACACGCAGGCTGTTTTCATGGTGGTATAAATATATCTACCTCCCATTCATCGTGAAAATGATGGGTTTTTCTTTGGAATCAATAATTGTATTATTACTGCTCCGCTAACCAACGGACAAGAAAAAGCGCGGGTTCGTGGAAAATTTCTCAGTGTGATGTCATAATTGGAAGAGTGTTAATTGACCCGTCACATTACTGAGGTCAAATAAAAAATAAGGTTGATGGTTACAATAATTAATATAGTGTCATTTCTAGTTCCCATATAAGTGTGATTTATACTAAAATAGCAGGACAAAATATAATTGATGTAGCTTACTTATAACAGCCGTTATTAAGCTTAGTTTGGAACAGACCTGCGGGCGACTAATATGGTCTTCGCGGGCGACTTGGTGCCCGCGGGCAACGCGTTGGTGACCCCTGGGCTACACAAAGAATACTACCGGTAACTGAAAGTCAAGAGCACTGAAGCATCAATATATACCGAGTTGTAGACTAATTAAACTTTTCAAAGGTTTCTCTTTATGTTAAATGTAAGACAACATTTCAGCACCATTAAGTTCAATAAACTATTCTTATCTCGATCCACAGAAAATCGAGAATCGTATATATCATTAAATGACCTATTCTGTCTATAGCTGTTTTCTTGACAGATATAAGCTGGTATTTTCTGCCAAGTCCAAGCGAAAATAACTTTACATAACTTTTATTATGTCTTTAGTCTATTTCAAACAAGTAATATTCCCACTCTTAGTTGATACTTGCGAATGTGCTGGGGCTAAACATATAAAAAAGACGCTTTCTTGCATATGCATCCCAATGCAAGCCTTCGTGTAAAATAACGAACAAGTTGACAAGCATGGCGAGTTTGTTAATTAGTTAATTACAACAGTTATTTTTGTTTCCCCTCGGGTTATTTCATATATATGGATAATAAACGCCGAATGAGTATTAGAGGGTCGCGCACATCAATAAACAGTTAACTTCGAATATGCATATACAGTACAACATATCTACATGGATATAAATATAAATAAATGCACAACGACCCCAGAATATATGCAACCAATGCACGTGGACCTATTTCCTTAAACATTTCCAGTAAGTGTAATGAAATGCCTTGATAGAAGTTTTGGGGTATATATATGTTAATATAGTTCTTGTACTTAAAACGGAAAATGGCGTTTGAATAATTCGTTGGGGTATATTTTTTCTGTGATTTTAATATGCATATCGGACAAAAATCTAATTGTTCAGTATGTACTAATGGGAAAATGCCGGATTAACACCTTGCTTGAAGCGTTACATGCATGTTAAAACATTTCATTAGATAAAATATGCCACAATAATGACAGGTCCCGTAAACTGCCAGTGAAAGGTAATCCCCAATTTTCCGCGCAACCAGGGTGGTTCATCCATAGATTATCATGAGCTGTGTAAATCCTGATATTGAAAATTTGCGAACTATAGATTGTTGGCCAATTGTGGTAACTCTATATTCCTTTAAAGCAGTCGTAAATGGAACATAGATGTAGGCTATATACGAAGATATACTTATGATTATCTAATTGCAAAATAAGTACATTATACACCGTTATATACTTTTCAAGCGTATACGATTGCCCTCAGAACCGATTAAATAAATTCCAGCAAATTGAGTTCATAAAGCTTCAACTTAAAAAATAATTTATATCGCCTCCGATAAGAGAGTTTCAGACAGAATAGTTCAAATTCTTCTAAATCACTCCACAATCTGTCTACCCTCAAATGTGTGCTGTTTACGCAGCTCCCCGAAACTTATATAACCCATCTCAAAGCGTTGAGTTTTGCATTTTTTCGCTGAAAAATTCCGATGTTTTTTTTCCCTCACGCATGAACCGCCGACTCAATTGAGAGCAAAATACGAGAGAAAATGATTACATAAGGGTGTTAGTAAATCGTAATTGCTAAATATGTAAAGAAATCACATAATGCACAGATTTTGCATTGGTTACCATCCGATCTGATTTCAAATTCTGTTACAAACATGTATGCGCTGCAGCGCTGATACTGATTTCATTCAATTTCACGTTTATGGTCATGTTGTAACCAGACGGAACCGCTTCCAAAACAAACATGTTTTTCCATAAATAAGCAATTACAGAAACCTCAAATTGAATTTTCCAAGAATTTTTGACAGATATTATCCATGCGTATATTCATTGAATTATTCTGGCAATAATGTAGATACCATAATACCACAAAAATAAGTAATTCAAGTGCATTTATAGCAATAAAAAAAAAATAATTTACTCTACTCTGAATTAAAATTATGAAAACGAAGTTAATTTTTCTAAATTTTAAAAGATGAGTTCCGTGAGAAACACATCATACAATTTAAGTTTTGAGAAACTTGTTTTTGTTCATAGCTAATATCAAATTAATATTCTTGCTTGCTAACTTGCTTTCCTCCTGGTACGACTCTTTCAATTACTTTAAAAATCGAATTACGATTTATTTATGATTCCGTTTTTTATATTTAGTTCACCGTTTGATTCAGTGTATCGATAGAAAGTTCTAAGATTGTATACTGTGTATGGTTTTTATTCTTAACGTCATTTTCGGAGAAGCATTTTTAAAAACAAATGATTTAAGAAAACACTTCGTTCCTGCTTCATTGAAAACTAAAGTGCCATTTACGTTTCTGAAGTGAACTACCGTAAGATGGTAGCTTTGGTTCCCTGCGGCTTCCCTTCCCCAGTGAAATGTGTATTCTATATTATTCGTCTTAATATTGCATGTTAATTTTTTTTTTTTTTTTACTGGATGGAAAAAATAAACTTGACTATGACTCTTCAACAACGTTTGGGGTATCCTACGGACTAGGAAAGTCGGTTGACGAGTTTGTAAACAAAACCTTCGTCAGCCAATAAAATCGAAACTCTGAAGTCTAGACAAGACGTTCACTTTGAAATCTCGAATATAAAATTTTAATCTTGACGCCATTTTCAAAGAAGCATTTTGGAAAACAAATGGTTTAAGTAAACACTTCGTTCCTGCTTCACTGCAAACTAAAGTGCCATTTACGTTTCTGAAGTTAAGTACCGTATATCGAGAAACTTAACACGTACTGAAATATCAGTCACGGCAGTATGACTTAGGTATTTAGTTTATTCTGATTTTCCGATATTGGACTTAATTCACGATGCGATTACATATCTATATATGCAAGTAGAAAATTATTAAATTACATTGCCTAAATAAAATGCAAATGAAGACGCTTCAATTTAATTACCAAGTTATATAAAAAAAAATATGGTTACGCAGAACCGCTTGTTCTGTTTTTCCGACGTTCGATCATTAGTTGCTTATTGGACACGAAATGTACATATATATCGTTTTGTTTCTATGTTGTTGTTGTTCATCGTGTTCATCTTGTTAGTATTCTCTCTCTTGTTGTTATAAAAATTGCCTTTCTCATTAACCCTCAGACCAATCGCATTGGAACTTTTAGTTGTTAAGATTGTATTTTTCGCTAGAAGGATTTTACTTGTTTTGTTTCAAAAATTTCTATGGAAATTTTTATACTCTCCTATGAGACTCGTTTTAAGTGTGCGATGGCATTATCAAAAATTGCGCACCTTGTGGCGGTTCCGCATACGGGTTAGTTGTTTTCTGGTGGTCAGGCGGAGTCGTGAAGACTGCGGTGCTGGTAGTCTATTGTGACAGACTGAATACCAGTAACACTTCATTTTGGTCTTCGTGTCTATATATTTGCGCCCCGCTCTCTTGTTTTTTTGTATATAATATACTTTTTTAAATAAAATAGATTAACTTATTTATAACATCAACTTATAATGCTTTTTACAACCCAGTATTGACACATGAGATACACGTAACGGGTGTGTTCGGGGAAACGCAGTTAATCATTCCGGATACTTGAGCTTTAGTGGCGAAACATTTTCTAATGCACGAGTAAATAATTTTAGTATTTGAA